CATTGATTCAACAATGTTGTAATCCGACATTGTGTTCAACACTGATTCAACATTGTCGTGCCTGCTGGGAAGTGATCATTGTGTCGATATATTTCACACACCACAGTCACAACTCCGTGGTCTAGTGGATAGAATGTCAGCCCGAAGTGCGGAAGGCAGGTGGTTCGATCCTCGGCCACGTATTACCAATAGACGTTAAAAGATAGACTAAGTACTTTTGATTCCCTGCCTGGCGCTCGGCATTACGGGAATAACAGGACTGATCCGTTTGGAGTCAGTACACTGTGTCTAAGTAGGTTATCCACTCTATGTAGTCTTTGAAGTAGGGATGATGAAATATAAATGTCAATACCTAGTATTAGGATAAGGATAAGTGTTGACGACAAACATCTTATGCAAGCACGTTTATGTCTGTAAAACACCAAAACACATCCTATAGTTTGCACATGCCTCGTGCTGTAGCGGTTCACACGAGCACAGGGTGTCATTTCTGATTTTGACACTTTCAAGAGTGAGTGAGTATGGTTTTACGCCGCTTTTAGCAATATTCCAGCAATATCACGGCGGGGGTCACCAGAAATGGGCTTCACACATTTTACCCATGTCGGGAATCGAACCCGGTTCTTCGGCGTGACGAGCGAACGCTTTAACCACTAGGCTACCCGACCGCCCCGACACTTTCAAGGACCATTATTTCTGTCAGTCTTATGGATTCTGCTTGTCAAACAGTTGTGATTTACTTGGTTTCATTTATTGTTTGTGTATAAACTAGCGATGCGGCGTATGCAACGCACGGAGCGTCTACGTATACGGGCTATTGCCATGCTCGAAACTGGCAGAAGCCAGGGTGCAGTGGCCAATACGTTCAATGTTCACAGTCTGTGTTTAGCTCGTTTGTTTGTTGTTTAACGCCGCACTCGAAAATGTTCCAGCTTTACGACGGTGGTCTGTAAATAATCGACTTTGGGCCAGACAACCCAGTGACATCATGAGCATCGATACACGCATTTGGGATACGATGACAGGCTTCGACCAAGTCAGCGAGCCTGACCACCCGATCCCGTTAGTCGCTTCTTACGACAAGCATGGGTTGCTGAAGAGCTATTCTTACCCGGATCTTCACGGCTCTTCTGTGATTAGCGGACTGTGGAACAGGTACCAACAAACCAAAAATGTTGAAGATAGACCCAGTTCAGGGCGTCCAAGGTCAACGACCAGAGTACAGGATCGATTGATCCAAAACCAGGCTCTACGAAATCGAGATCAAACGGTGAACCAAATTACTGCAAACTTACACCATGATACTGGAGTACGAGTTACTGGTCAGACGATTAGAATCGTATACATGCAGCTCATCCCAATGCTCGAGGGCCTCGTGATGTGGGGCTCCTTACAATTTGTCATATTGCCAACATACGTCAATGGTGTACACGTCGAAACTGGATTAATCGTTTCTGGTAACATGTCATGTTTTCAGATGAGTTCTGATACACTTTGTACTTCTTTGATAGGCTGTCTGGCGACGTCAGAATGAACGTCAAGCCAATGTCAACCTGATTCCTCATGTAAGAGTTTGTGGTGTATCGATTATGGTGTGAGGTGGCATCACTATGACTGAGCGAACCCCGCTCCATATTGTTCAAGGAAGAGTAACTGGACAGTACTATCGGGACAACATACTGACACCCTTTGTTGTCCCGTATGCTAGGCGTTTGCTAGGCGTGTGGGTCACATGCTCACCGTGCACGAATCGTCAATGCCCATCTCAAACGGCACAGCATCCATAGAATGCCTGGGTAAGCAGTAAACCTAGACGATTCCCCTATCGAACACGTCGGTGACATGATTGGGACACGTGTACGTCAGCGTCATAGGCCGCCGACCACGTTGGCTGAACTTGGCCAGTCGCTGCTAGAGGAGTGGGGCGGATTTCCCCAAAATCGACATTGGGAGACTTATACGCAGTATGCCTCGTCGATGGAATGAATGTTTGACAAATCGTGGCGGGTATTTCGCACCACTGAATCAAAAACGTCAACTTTGAGATTTCCCATCTTACCCCTATCGTTCTTCAAGATCGTTGGGGGGGCGGTCGGGTAGCCTAGTGGTTAAAGCGTTCGCTCGTCACGCCGAAGACCCGGGTTCGATTCCCGACATGGGTACAATGTGTGAAGCCCATTTCTGGTGTCCCCCGCCGTGATGTTGCTGGAATATTGCTAAAAGCGGCGTAAAACCATACTCACTCACTCAAGATCGTTGGCGGTCATAACATCCACTCCCATACTTCACTTCCGGTTGTAATCATGTGTTCCCAATTCGTTCATTATTATCATACAACTATTAATAGGACCTATATTTCGTACAATTTTGGAAATTTTGATTTATGTCCGAGTATCCCCGTCTTATTTTAGAGAACACACACGCGCATATGCACATTAAACCCAATTTTACCCCATGATCACCATTGAGACCCATTTTGTCGCCTCTTAAGACTAGCATAGGTCGCCTGGGACCTATTCCAAAACGGAATCTCCACGGGGTCCTACACAGAACAGGATATATGTTAAAAGTATCTACGAGGATCAATCAATTACTTGCAGATTATTGTTGATGACATCACGTAAAGACAATGAGAAAGATTTCACTAATACACAATTCCTTCTGTAGTTGGTTACATACATGGCAAAGTCAATATCTTCGAGAATGTAACAGGCATCGGTATCCTCCCACTCTCATCACACATGCCATTTGTCCCATAACTGAAAATACATACATGTAGGACGGGGATGACTGCATGGCTAACCCCTTTCCAAAATTATCCAGGCAGAGCAACACAACACCAGATTGTTGAGAGTATCTATGTAATTCATCACTCTTCAGCATTATGATATATTACATCTCCTTAAATATTGCTACACAGTGGCATACAGCATTAAACTACACCATGTTCGTGGACTGATTCATCACTTTTCCGCACTATGTTTAATTAATATCATGATTACAGCATCATAAATATGTATTATGTACAGTGCCATACAACATTACAGTACACCACGTGTACTTATTCATCACTATTCAGCATTATAGTATGATTATATTATCTGAAATATTGATATACATCACATTTGTCGCAATGTCATCAGTGCAATACAAAAACAGTTGTCTACATTTGTAACGAACACGCTTATTACGAACTGAAGCATGTAACGAACTATGTTTTTGGTCCAAGCCATTTGGTGAAAAGTTCATTTGTTTGTTTTATTTGTTTATATATTACATGTGTTGTACATCAGCAGAATAGAAAAAATGTCACCAGCACAAATGACACAATGTTATCCGCACAATATACTCATTGCACAATCACACAATGTCATCAGTACAATTCAAATAATGCCAACAGCATAACAGACACAATGTCACCAACACAACTGACACAATATCATACATACTGTACATGCACTCTGTGCACTCAAAAGAACCCACTCGTCCGATGGTAGATGACCAGATGGTGGAAACACGAATACGTACATACACCCCAAACACAAGCAGTGACAAGTGTCAAACTTGTGGAGTCACCCTGGACAAGTAGCTTCGTTCAAATGTGCCTCTGTTCACCTAGCAGAGAATGGGTACCCGATATGTGAGGCGGATGTAAAACAGCTTCTAGAGCCTCTGGGCAGCTTTGGTTGGGAGTTGAGAATGGCAACTGGAATTCAAACGGACCAACTGGTCGGGGATCATAAAGGCGAACACCTGGTATTAATACTTTTCTTAGTGATTCATAACACATGCTCATGATAATGTCGGAATCGTAAAATCGACTCTGCTTTATGCAGAGATTTCTATTGGATATGGAAAGGGCTTTGTCGCTTTATTCGTTTGCATCAACACAATTAACACAATGACTTCAGTGCAAAAGACACAATGTCATAAACACGATTAACAAAATGCGTCAGCGCAATAGACACAATGTCATCAACACAATTAACACAATGCGTCAGCGCAATAAACACGATGCCATCTTAGCACAAGAAACAATGTCAAGCAAAGCCATGTACATGTAGATAAAAATATCAATGCATGAGTGAGTGAGTGAGTGAGTATGGTTTTACGCCGCTTTTAGCAATGTTCCAGCAATATCACGGCGGGGGACACCAGAAATGGGCTTCACACATTGTACCCATGTCGGGAATCGAACCCGGGTCTTCGGCGTGACGAGCGAACGCTTTAACCACTAGGCTACCCGACCGCCCCATCAATGCATGAGAATAACCAATCTACATTATCCGCCTAAACAGATTCCATTTGGCAAAAAGCTGTGAAAATATATAAACTGACAACTGAAATTCAGTGAAAATCATTAGGCGAAGAGGGCAAGCGTACAAGTAAGTATTTATTGCCTGACGCTGCACAGCAGTACTCGTGCCATACGACGGGGGCCGGTAAACAAACAAGACAATCAAGTGATTTTGTTGAATATAATAAAAAATATTGTTATCTTAATTTTAAATTTCGTCTGCCGTATACAAGTGCAGAGTGTCTACTGCTTATAAGTAAAGAAAAAGACGTGACAATGACATGACATCACAATGAATCTCAACATACATGTCCTGACCTAGATATTCACATCTCCTGTTAATGCGTCGCAGTTCTTCCGCTGAACTACACCGCGAGAATACAAAGTCATGTCATGTCGAAATTTAACACGCTAGACCTCAGGTTCATACATCCAAGAGCTCTTTCAACTACAATTCACGTCATTCAATACGCTCTTGCAGAAAGTACTGAACACTTTAATACAAGAAACACGTTAGTTATAGAAACCCTTCTTCATACCCACTGTTTTTAGAGTCACACTATACATTGGCACACGTCGTTTAGATGCATCACAGCTATCATTTTACATAACCACTGTACAATACCCTCAGACGTGGGCAATATGACCCAGAATTGAGATAGATCATGGGGGGTGTGCCCTTTCCAGTGTGTTTGCTAGACGACCGAGCTGGCCTCGCTCTGAGTTGGGGCTAACCATGGCCGGATCTGTGCGTGCATGTACTTGAGGTTCCGTTCTTAAGACACGGCCACGCCAATTCCTCGCCGACAACGTGTGCGCGGTGCGGGGGGTACAATCTTCAAGCAAGGGTTTAAGGTCATCGCTATTTCCACACAACGATGTTGCGATTATTATCTGTACTCTGTCTTGTCACATATTCAGGTAAGAAATGTATGCCACACAAGGTGACAATATGATTAATGCAATGGGTAATACTATGTATTAATAACCCTAACGCTTGTAAATTATTTATTTAAAAAGTTAAAACGTTTTGTTTTACGTTTAACGGTTATATATTTTAACACATGATGGCAAACGGACATGTGGATTAAGGCGTCGATATTCTCTATAGCTATGTTAGATATGCCGCTTGTCGTAAATATTAATTCTCAATTTTCTACTTGGTTTGTCAGCGCAACACGTGTCCTCGTGGAATTCACATACTTTATCTGTTTGCAGACATGCGTTTTTTGTTTCAGTTTATTTCGTGAATTTTATATAGTGTGTACTTGTCAATTTAATGTACGAGGAGGGTCCCAGGTGACCCTACAGTCTGAGTCTCGGTGCAGGGCTGCCTCTGACTGATCATGATCATCTCTTGGTTTCGATTCGCAGATTCTTTCCCATTATGTTCCTTGGTATGGCGACCAGCACCACACCCGTCGGTTTCACCAAAGTGGTAGGGGCGGTCGGGTAGCCTAGTGGTTAAAGCGTTCGCCCGTCACGCCGAAGACCCGGGTTCGATTCCCGAAATGGGTACAATGTGTGAAGCCCATTTCTGGTGTCCCCCGCCGTGATATTGCTGGAATATTGCAATTGCTAAAGCGGCGTAAAATCAAACTCACCCACCCACCCACCACCAAAGTGGTAAACGTCTAAAACCGGCTTTCCTCCTTCATCAAGGTGCCAGGTCGTGATATAACTGAAATAAGTTCAAAACGGCGTTAGACCAAACCCACTCATTGCCACTCACTGTAGAAGGAATACCAGTAGTTGGAGACGTTTACACCATTGGTGAACATAGTGAGGACAATAGTAACGTATTGGTTAACTGATATTCAACTGGAAAGACATTGCAAGTTTGAGCTAATTGGTTTACAAATACTTTCATTCTGTTTACATCATAACTGCTTTGTATTTCAGATAGTCACCTGATTAAACTGTGAATACATGACACTTTTTATGGATAGCAACTTTTTTTATTCTTTGTACGAAGTTTCAGAGCTACTTCTTGCTCCTTCATCAGGTGAATCTCATTGCTAGTGAAAGACTATCAAAGGCTTTAATTAAATTATGTAGAGATTAAAGAATAGATCAAAATGACATATTTCATGATCAAGACAGCGGAACATAAGACACCGTGTGTTGACGTCACACGGTTTATGCAACAATATTAATTATCATTTCATTTGTGTATGCACAAATAAGAATGTACTTGCGTGTCTGCACATGTGTGTGCTTGTGTGTATATATATAAATGTACATGATTTTGTTGGCTTGATCCACTATTCTCTCAGACCGGGAGCACGTTAAGATGTATATACATTTATTTCTACGACAGAACCGCGGATTATATTTCAACATTTTATTCATGACAAAGATAACAATGGAAGGGTTTATTTTCATGTCATGTGTTTTAAACTTTATCCTGACGGCAAACACACAACGTCCGTCATATTTACACCTCGCCTTAGTGAAGAAACCCTACACTGTAGCTGCCAGAGTATACCACGTGGGAATATATGTAGCAGGGGCCTCGGGCCTGTGTCAGCTAGAGGTCCTGTTTGGTTAGGCCGGCATATCGGGCTGAGACACCGAGATGAGTGTTGTGTACACTTGCAGTACCCTCGCGTGATTTACAAGATAGACGGTTGAAGGCATCTGAAGTTGACTCCAAATACCCATATAAGAAGCCAAATATTGTTGATTGCAAATCGGTTCTTTTATTGGCATGTTAACGTTGGTGTTAAAATGTACCACCTGTAGGTCCAGAGAGAAGGTTGTGAAAAGAGTGCTGAAGTCTTATGGAATTATAGACTTTTCTTGAGTATGTTCACCATCACGGCCTCCAGAGTAAGCTCCCCTCACAGTGACATAGCTTGACGACAACACGCATTGACCTGATTATTCGTAGCGTTTATCGTTAAATTAGCTATTTATCCACAATTGCGATGTTGCTGGAATACTGAATAGTGGTCCTTATGTTTATAAATATGTTAAATAGTCGATTAACCATAAAAGGGGATTATATAGTGACCAGGTTGTTATTCAGCCTTGGGCCCAACAATACATACACCATGTGCACTCAAAAGAACCCACTCGTCCGATGGTAGATGACCAGTTGATGGAAACACGAATACGTACATACACCCGAAATACAAGTGTCAAAACGTGTGGTGCAACCCTGGACAAGTGACTGGACAATTGTGCCTCTGGTCCACGCATGGAATGGGAACCTATATGTGAGGTGGATGTAAAAAACCTTCCAGCGCCCCTAGGCAGCTTTGGTTGTATACTGCCCATGGAGTTGAGAGTGCAACTGGATCCACTGGTCGGGGAACAAATAAAACCGCATTTGATCAGATACTAGTACTTGGATACCTGCGGTAAAATGAATGTATGATAATAAGAAGAAGAAGAAGGAGAAGAAGAAAGGGAAGAACAGGAAGTAGAAGAAGAAGAAGTAGTAGTAGTAGAAGAAGACGAAGAAGTAGAAGAAGAAGTAGAAGTAGAAGAAGTAGAAGAAGAAGTAGAAGAAAAAGCAGAAGTAGAAGAAGAAGACAAAGAAGAAGAAGAAATAGAAGCAGAAGAAGAAGTAGTAGACGTAGAAGAAGACGACGAAAAGAAGAAGTAGAGGTAGAAGAAGTAGAAGAAGAAGAAGAAGAAGACGAAGAATTAGAAGAAGACGAAGAAGTAGTAGAAGAAGAAGTAGACTAAGAAGAAGAATTAGAAGAAGAAGTTTTACATAAGACATGCTTTATAATCGAGTAAATCATTTCTCAAGCGTTCAGCAAGTCATCACTGATCTGTGTTACAGACTGCAGCCTGTACCCGTTTGGTCCCGGGGTAGGAGACGTGGCCCTGCTCACAAACAACGCACCCGTCAACCTTGGCAACAGTTACAACTACTACGGCAGGAAGTTCGACACCGTTTACGTGAGTACATCTGAGGGACTGTCTTACGATGTCACAGGTAGCATGTTTCGTTTATAGAAGTGTATCACGTTTCTGTCACATCTTTGATGCCCGAAAAACTGTTGATTGGCTCTACTTTCCCTAGCTAGGTCCAGCCTGCCACATTTGGTTGAAGCTCGCTTGCATGTAACAAGCAATTTAGGGATGGGACGATACGTTTACATCACGTACGATACTTGAGTCACGATACGTAACACGATATTTGATTCAAGATACGATTCATATCGCGATACTAAATTTGCACCATTTTCGCGTGACATTTCTGTAATTGTAATTGGCCTTTTAAAGCAAAACCCTGTTGTCATTTCCAAATTGGAAAAAAACACACATTGGAAGTAGTCATTGTACGTATTTGTTGCCTGCTGACGTCTACGCAATGTATCTTCACATTAACTACAGAAGTGAAACTGAGTTCTGAATAGCTTTCGTAATTGTTCTTGTCATGACGCGTACGTAAAATATGGGTCTCGTTCGTGAAATGATGCAATGCTTCTCTGGAAAACGTCGCAACGTGTCAGTGTCTCAATATCCTATAGCGTTCCATAATAAACTCCTTTGATTCTCTGTATTTGGTGAAAATAAGAGTAGGCGAAGAGTATCATATACCTGGTACCTATATACGCATGTTCACGGTCGTCTGTTAGCTGGTCGTCTGTCGCCCCGTTAGCTTCCCGGGATATAATAAATGACTCATATAGCTATAGGTCCCTAGCAACATATGCTGGCCGTAGGTAGTGACCAAATTGATCGGGTGGTCAGGCTTGGTGACTTCAATGTTTGGATATCCTCGAATATCGGGGACAGTTTCGGGGACAAATGTTCATGACGTCAATCACTGATCCAGACTCGATTATTTACAGGTCGCCATGAATTAGTTGGTATATTGCGGCATTAAACAACAAATAAACAAATTCAGTCACGATGTTTCAGTAAACTCACGAACCGTGAAGATCCGGAGTAGCATATGTCTTCAGCAACCCCCATGCTTGCCATAAAAGGTATATGCTTGACTATATGCTTGTCGTAAAAGGCGACTTGGTTGATGTATGTCATCGATCCAAATTGCGTAGATCGATGCTCATGGCATTAGTCACTGGATTGTCAGGTCTAGACTCGATTATTTGCAGACCGCCGTCAAATAGCTGGAATATTGCTGAGTGCGGCGTTAAACAACAAACCAACAACAACAGTAAACTCACAACCCTACTTGCAGAAACTACTAACCCATGCTGTATGTCTATGAATAAGGTCAGCAAAGATGGTGTTGTTGGCCTTGACCCGGACGTCAAGTACGAAGAAGTCCGTTTTCAAAATGGCGACCGTGACCCCGACCATGATCTTCCCTTTCTGGCACCGTTCCATTTTGATGGAAACAACATCACAAGTGATTCGGAGGGGAAGATCTACTACAGACTTCATTTCAACAACGCTAGTGAAGACCAAGACTTCCTGATGGAGCTACAGTACTACATGCTGAATGCTACAGTTGGTACCTCTCCGTTCGAACCGACTGTAGCTCTCGTGGTCACGTGGGAAAACGTCACAGCCGCGTCACAGGAGCCGTGTGCAGAGGGAGCGTGTCAGGTAATACATGACATCGCCATGTTCCGTGTCATTCAGAGCTTTCACCATTTTTTAGGCTGGTATTAATTATTTTGACTTTAAATGTAATTCTATCGATGGCGTTTCAATTAAATTTCGCACTTCAAAATACAGTGACGTAATAATACAATGAATGACGTCATTTTTTATATTGGTAACCTGAACCGCATTGTGTGCATAGAGGAGAGACATTAACTGAAGTGAAGCTTGTATACAATATACAAAGAATACATGGTTCATCTCGCCACGATATTAAAATTTGGAACTTAGAAAAATACTTATTAGTAAGTATTCACACGCAGTATGAAGTCAAGAATATTGCTTCCCATTTGACAAGGTTTATCAAATACTCAGATTGCAACACACATTCCCACAGTAATAAAATTCACAAAGTGAGTTAGTGACTTGTGTTTAAAGGAGCTTTGAAGTATTTCAGTGATTCATGTACACGTGTATCACTGCGTCACATCTTTTAAGTTGCTGACAATGGTTATATGGGGGTAAATGAGAGATTTGAACCGTCCATCAGCAAAGAATCCTGATACACCCAAGGTACGCAACTTTGTAAGTTTGTTGCAGCGCCTAAGACATTTTTTAAATTAATGAAATAAATTTACGTTATAGTTAATAAACAAAAATATAACAGTGTCCTTTATTGCTTTCAGAGAGCCACATTCCAAATGGTCCTTGTTGCCTGCGCACTAAATACGTTCATTATCTTCAACTACAACGACATGCCTTTGCCCGTACAGTACTATTACCAGGTACGTGCATGTATTAAGTATTTCAACATACATTGCCGGGCAAAAGAAAGTATACCCTCATGTTTGATGGTGGCTAAAAATGAAACATACAAGAAACGGTTATTCGATTGTGATATATTTGATGCGGGCATCATTGGCGACATTCCATGCGTCATGTCAATAAGTACCTCACATGTGATGACGTGCACAGACGTCTCCAGGAACATGGTCGTCGTAGTTTCACAGGACACAGTAATGAGTAATCCAATTTTTTATTTATTTCTTTTGCCCTGCATTTTACAGCCACGGTGACACACTGTATTCATTCTTCGTTTTTCGGATAGACGAAGTCAAATATTATAACTACATGAGATATGATACTTTGACGATACGCGATATCTATGTGATTTATATAATGTTTGTGGTCATAACAAAAATGAAAATGAATTGGTCAATGGTCAACGGTCGAGTATATGTTGTCATTACAGCGTGTTATATATTATCTAGTATATTTTCCATGCATCTTTATGATAACAATCCTGCTGTAGCTTTGTGTGTTCTGAAGGCGGGTATAAATGGAGGTCATGGCGTTGGGTGGACGAGCGTATGTACCGGATGTAACCTTTCCGACCTGCCTTCTACAAGAGGAAGTGACGTCGCTGGCAGATTCATTTTCCGAGTGTCTAATGATCAACTTGAACGTTCAGGCTGCACTGTCGATGGAAGTATGCACTACAGTTGTTTGTCTTATTATAATATGGTCATATTAACCTCATCCAGCATGGGTCTTAATAGATGTTCATGTGGGGTTGTATTTATTTTGCTTAACTTCACTTTAATACCGTTCACGGATGCAATGGTATACGTATTTCTTGCGCACAATTGCGTCATCTAGCCCTGATCCACTAATTGTAGGATTGAATTATTGTTTCTCCCTTATGATGATCCTTGGTCGGTATGAAACAAACCCGCAATCTTTGGATTCACGGATCAAACGGTGTTCATTTGAAGGCTCTCTTTCAAGCTAAAGTTAAAACGCCGTGATATAAAAGAATGAATTTAAAGCGTCTTTAAACACAAATAACCCTCTCACTTCTTTTAGGTACGCTACAAATTTTCCCAAAATATGCCGGAATGTTTGGAGGGGAACTTCTGGACATTTCCGGTCCGTGTATGGACGATGTCAACGTGAACGTCATGTGTCGGTTCGGAAGTGGCGAGAGTGCATTTACCTCCCAGGGGTTCAGGTTTAACTCCATGAGGTTGAAGTGCCCAGTGCCGAGACTCACACAGAGAGGGTCAGTGACGGTAGCTGTGTCGGTGGATGGTGGGATCATGTTTAATGGAGAAGGAGCTATCAACGTTGGTATGTTATTGTGTGACAGCTGCAGTATTCATCAATTACTTTTATAATTTCATATCACGTATTAATGTTCTTTCTGCTTCATTGAAATTCTTGTGTATTTTCCTGTCCTCTTAGAAAGTCATAACTATAAACAAATTTGAAAATGTTCTACGCACAATTATGTTGAAAGCAAATTATACCTTTTCTCATAATTTGGATATATTTTACAGCAGTTCTATTGTTCGTAACAAGGACTTATTTGTTTGTGTAATACGTCAGATTAAGGAAATTTCACATTGAATTATATATGTATCAACTAATTGTTCTTGTTTTAACGTTATCGCTATCACTATGTGACGTCGCGAACACTTGATGACGTCACATTGTAACGTTATCAAAATGACGCCATATTGCTAAACATGACCAATCAGCTATTAATAATCACGTGTGCATATATCGGAAAGGTATCACATCCAATTTTCAAACCTTATGGGTAACATTTCAACCACATTTCCTTTCCCCTGCAATAAAACGGAAATAGTGGTTGACCATGGTGGACTGATGTCTATGTTTTCTAGTTATGCCACTACGTCTGCCTAAATCAAGTCTAGTACTGAACCCGGCGTGGTTCGAGGTGACACCCCAAGAACTGAATATGACATGGGACCCAGACACGATTACCTCTCACCCAGACGCGAGGGTGGACATTAAGCTGGTGGGTTACAGGGAGACGGAGACAGAGGTGAGAACTTGACATGGAGAAAGTAAAGGCTGATACTAAAGTTGGCATGTTGAGGATGCGTATTACTATGCCAGATTTGCTTTGTTTTTCTCTCAAACGGGTACTACATGTACTCCACACAACACGTTTTAACGAGGGACATTCTATGGACTACCCCTGGGACAGAGGGACAGTTCTGTAGAAAGCCCCTACTAAGATGTAATTCTACGAAAAGATCTCTGGCAGTGCAGTTAGCTTAACTATAAATTACAGTAAGCCATCGACCAGTCAGTCAGGATATACACTGCTCGGCCAAAGAAAATATACACCCATGTTGGATGGTGGCTACAAATAATACACAAGAAATGGTTATAACTCGGTGGTTGTATACTTTATGCGGGTATTATAGCTGTGTTTTGGACCTAATGTTTACAGTGGTTTCAGCCTAGTAACGTCTTGATGACGTTCGTAATTGTTTGGTCAAATTCAATTGTAAGTGTAAACTTTCTTCTGCCCGGCAGTTCAGATGCATATAGAGTATATCCTAAGCGTGTTGGTAAACATACCAAGGTTGTATAGAACAAATCTATATTTTCTTTATATCCCACGATGGAATGTATCATGAACAGAAATATTACATGGTCATATTTACAGTCTCATTGTAGTTCTTGATGTGAAAGTTGTGTTGACTGCAGTGGTGTTTTGACAGTAATCATCTTGGAATCATCTTTTATAACTTTTCGATTGTATTCTGTCAATTTAGATACCATTTCGTTATGATTGCTTTCATTAATCGAGATAATGCTTACATCTGTCCTTTTTCCCTGTCGGAAGTTGTTCACTGTTTGTTCAGGTATGTGACTCACTTTCCACCTTAAACCGAGTCGGTTCTTTCTTGATAAAACGTGTTGATGACAAAGATGTATTTAAATGATTAGCGTATTTACATGATTATTAATGCGTACCTGAACCAAAGTCAGTTTGATATGCTCCCTGCATCTATGCTATTGTTACATCACTATCCTGCTCGAATTGTGCAAAGTAACCTCGTAGAATAATACTCACTCAATCACTCACACCTTATGATCATGGTCGAAATGTGACTTCAAAATAGTGTTAACAATGCCAGATAGACCAAAATATTTAAAAGTCATTTAGGTGCGGGGGCATGCATGTTTCTTGTACTAAGTAGCTAACTCTTGCTAACAATTGTAATAGAATTGCTATATCTGTAAGCTGTCACTGGTGAGCTACATCGTCACGGAGCCACATCGTGATGCTTTGCTGAAGATCAAATCAGACTCAAACTGAATCCTTCCGGGGCACTGACGAAACCAAATATATCTAAGAACATACGACCGTATCCCAAGGTTTATGGAAAGTGTGTTTCAAATTTAAACGTGTTATTTCAGATTATTTTTTCCGCTTAGAACACATGTTACACGCTCTCCTTCGGATTTGGTCAAATATGTTAACATTCGGGGTTAGGACAAACACTTCTCCCCTCTCCCGCATGTGTAATTTTCACTGGTGGCCAAATGGTGTTGGACGGCTGAGACTGGAAAGCAGTGTTGTATCCCTTTCAAATGCCAGGATTCGGTGAACCCAGATTCGCCCTGATTATGAACCTTTTAGTATGATAGCACCTTATCCACTTTATCCAGCACCGTAGTGGCAAACGTCCATGATATACGTGAATTATAAGTTTCTTCCGACAAATTCAAATGCAGTATAATGTATGCAAACCCCTCACTATTCCCCCTCAGATCATCTGGAAGACCTTGAGCGTCTTAGCCTCTTCTGTCGCCAACACAGGAAACTTCAGCTTCCGCCCCGCAGACCACCAGTGCCAACCAGCTGACTGCCAGCTGTTCGAGGTGGGCATCGTGGAGGTACAGCTGCAGACTCCTTACCACACCGTGGCCACGTCAAGAGTGTAGGTCCTTGTCGCTACTAAATGGAGTAGATCACATTTGTACACCACTGTTTATTGCAACAATGAAAACGGTGGAAGATATCACGGATAAGCTTCACATATCTTACAAGTGGGAATAATTCGTGGAATTATTTTGAATTATAGATGCACAGTAATGACATTTAACTGCCTATTTGTGTTTGTGTACATTTGATGATCCGAGACGAGTGCGTTGTGTAAGCTATTTTTTGAAATAGTACAGCAATTTGTAAGGAACCCACCACACGTGGTCTTCAGCTATACGGGTAAATGCTTCTATCACAAAGCTAACCAAGCACCTCACGATCCCTAATGCCTGAGGATACAGTCTGGTCCAGACACGATTATATACATACCTGCCGCCATATGCTGGAATATTGCTGAGTGTTGCGTCAAACAACAAACAAACATGACATGTTCTTGTATTTATAAAGAATTCTCACAAACATCCGTGTTACATTTTACTACTAGTACATACCTGCATTGTGAATATACAACACTTATGGTCAGTCCAAAGGTGTAAGGTATCATTACCAAGTTTCACAACTGGAGAAAGTGACCGAATACTATCTCTAAAAGTATCAAATAATACTGAAAACTATATCACAATGCTACCCCGTGGGGATTCCGGTTAGGAATAAACCCAAGCAACATGCACTGGTCGGCAGAGGTAGCCAAATGAATCGGATGGTCAGGCTCGGTGATTTGGTTGATGATGTGTCCTCTTACCCCGACGGTGTGGATCGTTGCCCACAATGACGTTGACTTCATTGTCTGAACCAGACTCGATCATTTACGTCATATACAGGTAGCTCGAATGTTGCAGAGAGTGGTGTTATACGACATACAAACAAACATCATTGTGCTACCCCACCTCGTATGTTGTATGTTGTATGTTTGACGTTGCTTGGAAAACTATTTCAGTTATACCAAGGCTTTCATCACAGTAAACGTGACGTTCATCACATTCGATTTCCTTTTTTTATATAAGCTAATACATCCTAACATAACTGAATTATTGTTCACACGGCTTAAAACTAAAGTTACAAACTCACCTATACAACGTTGTAAGTAATATAACGTAATATAAACCGTTACGTTGTTTCAGAGTTATGAGCCCTGAAGACCCTTTCCCCTTTGGCTGGTTCGTAAACAATGCAATGACCACGCAGTACGGATCCAACTGGCCACCCCAACTCTGTACACGTTGGTCAGACAAGGACAAGATGGACACGTCCTGGATGGACAAGCTCTTGTATTGTCCATGTAATCTTGGTCAAGCCCTGACGGATTTCGGTCGCTGGCAGCCTGACCTAGGCTGTAACATATGGTCATCAAGTTCATCCAACTGCTTCTATCACAAGGGGGCTGTCCATTGCATCCGGTCATTTCAACCATCGTAAGTATCAACAATTATAACTACCAGGGACAAAGAGATGCTTTGAACAGTGGGTTACTAGATCAGGAGCAATCCATTTGTCCAACATGTATTTTTTAAAAGTTCTGATAAGAAAACCTGAAATATACTTTTCCTCTTCTTTTGTGTGTTCCAAATGTATAACACTCTCTCGTCACTTATAAGTCACAGTTTTGGAACAACTATTTTGTTTGAGGTTGTGTTTGCTTGTTAAATGTTATTTGTGATATTATGTACATTTTATTCTACGAATGAAGACCATAGTGAGATCATAGACCCTAGTACAATTTAATTTCAACTAAAACGAGACGGTAGGGCAAGCGACTAACTTTATTAAATATATCAACACTTTACGTCAAGAATGGTCTTTGCATTACAACAATCATATATGGGTGGAGATACGTCTCGCTCCCCCCGGGCTCAACAGTGACAGGCGTCTCGATGTCTTTGTCGATGGAAAATTCAAGTTGTTTGATGCTGCTGCCATCTTTAAGCAAGAGTTCAGCGGTAAAGCCTTAATTGAGTCAGTTGTCCTTGCAACTGATGTGTCTTCAGAAGGTCAAAAAGACATGTGCTCATATATCCATTTTTCATTTGAAATTATAAGTCACTGTTTTGGACCAACTTTTTTGTTTGTGTTGTGTTTGCTTGTTAAAGGTTATTTGTGATATTATGTACATTTTATTCTACGAATGAAGACCATAGTGAGATCATAGACCCTAGTACAATTTAATTTCAACTAAAACGAGACGGTAGGGCAAGCGACTATCTTTATTAAATATATCAACACTTTACGTCAAGAATGGTCTTTGCATTACAACAATCATATATGGCTAATAAAAGGGTGTATTGTTACTGTAACAGTATTTGCGTTGAGGTGTAGAAACGAGATCTTATTGGTGCTGGGATACAATTGTACTGTGGCGTCATAAAGAAAGACGTTTGACGTCAACTTTCTTCCGTAAAATTGGCCATGTGTGCAGGATGTACAAAATATCTATTATCTCTCGTTAGTTGGTAATGTTATAAATCATTATTTCAAAATATTTCAGCATACATGTCTGCGTTCAATTAATCAGGCATTATATCTAAAAACTGCAATTATTACATAAACAGTTATGAGTCTGAAAATGGGACTTTGCAGAAAATGAGTCAAAGTATTTGATGCCATGATGGTTCTCTGTAATAAATATAAATTGAAGCTTGTGAATTGTATTTTTGTAATGTAATATATAATGAAAAGTCAAAATGTGATGTTTCACCCTAAGGTCCCTTATCTCATGGTTGGTCACCTATTTTACTGGTATGAAGTTATTTCGAGATTTAGGGATGAAGTCAAAACGTCAAAAAGAGATATGGATGTTGTTGACAGAGAGTCGAGTAATTAGCGTTCGTTTTATGTGGCCCTGGGTAAAATTCAAGCAATATCCGAGACACCAAAATTCGTCTCACACTACTTGCCCGTGAGACTGAAGGAACTCGGCATCAAGCGGGGCGATTGAACATTGACACACAAGGGTTTTACCGTGCCCTGTTAACAAACACAAACTCCAGTGTTGTACCTACATCCATAGAAACTGGGCCTTATATTCCCAAAGGATCACGTTAAAACAGCTGGCATGGGTCTGTCTGATTAAATTGTGCGTGAGTGAGTTAGGTTTAAACGCAGCTCCGAAAAGCGTTTCAGTTCATTCAGGGTGTGTCAGCGTGATATGGGCTTCTCAGAAATGATGATGGTCCGAGACACTTTCCACGAGCACAGGTATGGTGGCGGCCAACCTAAAACATTACCAAAGCGAGCCGTATTTTAGTAGAAGTAGTAGAGTAGTTGTGCTAAGTTGATACTATAATGACTGAGTGAATGAATGTTAATAAACGCCACTGTCAGAAATATTAAATCTTGGTTTACAACCCATGATCATAGGCTTAGGCAAGCCTAACTGCATAGCGATATGTGCGCTTTAGACGACTGGTCCACTCGTGTCCGCACATAATGGATCGAGCAACATACATGTATGTCGACACATTGTTGGTCAAGTCACAGTCTTTACCTTCAGATCTACAGGTGCAGGCAACCAGTGCTGCTACGGCAGTGATGGGGTGCTGAAATACGCTGCCGACACCTACCAAGGCAGCACCCCCGACCGCAGCCACGACTGGGGCGCCGCCCCCTACAACAAACCCGGGTTTGTGCCCGCTTTTTCCCACTGGATACAGGACGTCGTCACCTTCTACTACTGCTGTCTGTGGGTCGGATACAGTCACTGCGACTACTACATGGAACGTCGGGCCACACGGGACTGTAACGGGTACCGCCCTCCTAAAGCAGGTGAGGGAACTATATTGAGCCACCCGGTGCTATAACGGGTACCGCCCTCCTAAAGCAGGTGAGGGAACTATATTGTACCACCCGGTGCTATAACGGGTACCGCCCTCCTAAAGCAGGTGAGCGTACCATATTGTACCAACAGGTGCCGCCTTCTTAAAGCAGGTGAGGGAACCATATTGGACCGTCCGGTGCTGTAACGGGTACCGCCCTCCTAAAGCAGGTGAGGGTACCATATTGTACCAACAGGTGCCGCCCTCCTAAAGCGGGGTGAAGGAACCATATTGGACCACCCGGTGCTGTAACGGGCACTGTCCTCCTAAAGCATGGGAGGCAATCATATTGAACCACCCTGTGCTGTAACGGGTATCACCCTCCTAAAGCAGGTGAGGCAACCATTTTGGACCACCCGGTGCAGTAACGGGCACTGCCCTCCTTAAGAAGGCGAGGAAACTATATTGAACCACCTGGTGGTGTAACGGGCACTGCCCTCCTAAAGCAGGTGACGTTTGAGAAGAGCATAGTATAAGGTGTACAGTCCCTTGAAATACATTGACTTGTGCTGAATATCGCAGTTTTGAGTTCTCTGTTTCTAGTAAGAATTTCGATATGCTTCTTGCGACAGCCATGGCTTACGGAGACCCCCACATCATGACATTTGACGGAAAGCTGTACAACTTTGGTGGCAAGGGAGACTACTACCTGGTGAAGTCGGACCAGTTTTCTCTTCAAGGGAAGTTCGACATGGGACAACAAGCCCATGGTAATATGGAATTATGGAAGATATTAACGTTTAATATGATTGTATATGCCATGTAGATCACTGACTTGACCATTGACTGAGTATGCCAATATTTATATGAATGTCATAATATATAAAATGTACGTTTGTTTTAGCTGACGGTAGTAGCTTCAACGCCACCGTGTTGACGTCAGTGGCCATGTCGGGTGACTCTGGTTCCAGGGTGGAGATACGTCTCGCTCCCCCCGGGCTCAACAGTGACAGGCGTCTCGATGTCTTTGTCGATGGAAAGTTTAAGCTGTTTGATGCTGCTGCCATCTTTAAGCAAGAGTTCAGCGGTAAAGCCTTGTGTCAGTTGTCCTTGCAACTGAAGGTCAAAAAGACACGTGCTCATGTAACCATTTTTCATTTGAAATAGTGTCTGTTGTGACCATTTCAGACACAGCGTAAATAACCATGAAAGACACTTAATTGTTTTTGGAAATCGCAATGACGGCATCTAAACATTTTGTTAAGCCTAAAACATCTTGAACATAAGAATAATCTCAAAACATATAGGTGGTGTATCTGTCATCAACATTGCTGTCGACCCCAACGACAACCGTCACGACAACTTCACCGTTATCATGAAGTCAGGAGTAGGGGTACAGGTAGCGGCGGTGAACAGACTCCTCCACGTCATCGTCAACATGCCGCCCAACTTCCAGGTGATCATAAGCAGTAATCATTTATTTCTTTAGGGACAAAATATGTTTTCTGTCCCTGTTATAAGACATACGTTCAACAGCCTGCATCACTTACTTCATCACCGCACCACATGGGCTTTCCTCCTACATCAAGTGGGGCAGTGAAGTAGCCTAATGGTTAAAGCGTTCGCTCGTCACGCGAAGACCCGGGTTCGATTTCCCACATGGGTACAATGTGTGAAGCCTATTTCTAGTGTCCCCCGCCGTGATGTTGCTGGAATATTCCCCAAGGCGGCGTAAAACCATACTCACTCCTCGCTGTTACCTAATAATAATATATTTTAATACTGGTCAAAGCAGCGTTGAAACCTGATTCACTCACTCAACAGAACATGACGTCAGGCCTGATGGGGACATGGGATGGAGACATGTATGATGACTTTACAGCTGTGGACGGAGAGGTCATAAATGTTACGTCATCAGCAGAGAACGTTTACCAAACATTCGGGAAAACATGTAAGTATCGACAATCCTGCGTGGTACGATACTCATGATATCAGTCACTGGATTGTCCGGTCCAGACTCGATTCGATTGTTTATATCGCAAGAGAATTGTTGCGTACGGTGTTAAACAAATACTATGAACGAGTGAATGTTGTGTTTCGACGCACTTGACGTTTTTACAGCTGTACAAATTTGAGCCAAATAGACAAGTGGTTGATGTCAAGAACAACGATCAACGTTGTCTCGCTACGATGAACCCAACCAGCCAGACCGCATACTTCAATCTCTGAATGGTAGAGACGAATGTGGAGATAACGACTTACTAAACCTTCATACAGTTCATGTAGTATCATTCTCTTTTAAGGGGAAGTGCCAGAAAGGGAGTCCTTATTCTCGCATCACGACATCGCCGACATGCTGTTCATGCCCGTTTTCGCCGCTCCCCAGGGCTCCAGTATCACGGAAGAAAACCTCAACACAACTTGTGGGGAAAATGCCCAGTGTCGCTTTGACTACCTTGTTACTGGAAATGCTGACATTGCGAATGCTTCCAAAATGGCGGCCGGCTGGTTCACGGAGCTGCAGAGCTTCCAACAAACCAGTACGCACTCTTATATTAAAACTTTATTGCCGACAATTAAAAAACTCAAAATTATTAAATCAAATTAGTACTTCATAACTCGTATAGATGTGACAATAAGTGAAGACTTACATCGTCTTTCATCTCTTTCTTTAACATCACAAAGGTATCAGTAAATATGATTCGGTTAATAACGCTCTTTCAAAAAGAATTGGTTGAAATCTTAATTCATATCGAACGGGAAAATATGCCATAATGACCTCCTATGTGTCAAGGTCATGTCGTGCTCATCAGATGTGAACACAAATTATCTACATCGATTTGGTTCACAAGTAAGTGATTACAGCCAATGTCAATTATTCAAATCACCTCCCTTACTGTAGGCGAGTCTTGCGGCCTCCTAGACGTACAGTACTCCATGAAAGATAACTACAACTACAACCTCAACAACACCGTCACCATCACCGATTGTAGCAACATGGGCGTGCTCCGTGGTGAGACCACCTACACGTGCACCAGAGGCGGTACTGGAGGACTAGGTTGGAGCCCTGACATCACCGCCGAGTGTAGCAGTAAGTCGAGCTCCGTCATTGTCGACACTTATATACCATGGTTGTCATGAATATGTACGTACACAAACAGTTTTTTAGTCCGGACACCGTTAAAGGGAACATTCTGTCTTCTGGGTGTTTATTGTTGGGGACTTCGTTCGGGAAAAGTATCGCTTGAGGAGTGAGTGGGTCAGTTTGGTTTAATGCCGCTTTTAACAGTATTTCAGTTACATCATGGCATCTTGATGTGGGAAAAAAGACCGAAGTGATGCAGATCTCAGACATTATCACTTTGGTGAAATCCACGGACAAGGGTAGGGTGCTGACAAACCTAGAATCGGGATTTTAACCAACGCTCATTTGTTTCTGGCGTACACAAGCGTCGCCACTCTTACGGCGCCTTAGACGACTGGGCCACCCGTGTGATTCGTAATTACATTCTAAGATATCTCACAGAAATTATTCCCGGTTGAATGTACCCACATATGCCTATACGCAATATGCGAGCCGGAATAATTTCGCTACCCTTGTAGCGTCTTGCAACATAGTATTGGTAATTGTTGCTGTGTAACGTCAATTATAATGTCAATACATGACAGTAGTGCACACATGGATACGATTAGGTCTGGGAACTCAACAGAGATGTTTCAACTGGCAGAACGTGAAGGCGGCCATGTGCGTTATTTGAGATTCAGATCAGCATCAATAGGGAGATTAGGAGATTAAGTAAGTTTGCGCAATCGGTTGAACGTTGCAGGCTTAAAAATTACCAGCCCAATGATTGGCATCAAGATCTGCAATTTCTCAGGAAGCCTATTGCCACACTAGACAAGCTGTAGTGTGAAAACTCGTTAATCCGGACTATATCGTTCCTAGTGTAATTGTTTGGATTAATGATTTTAAGAATCAATAGTACAGAGTTTCATTGCCGTAAATATGTATAGACGTTCTGAACAAGTTCATAAAAAGTCGTCTTCAGAGCTAACAGGGTCCAGATTAACGAGGTTTCATACTGTTTTCCGCGTTTTGGTTTTACCTGATATTCGATGTGTTTGTAGCTGGGAGTCTCTACCTGTTCGGCCCTAAGGCTGGAGATATGACCCTACAGACAGACGGCAACCTCCCAATATACCTTGGGTACGAAATCAACGTCTTCGGTAGAAAGTACGACACTGTCTACGTGAGTACATTGTGTATAGTCTTTTAAAACACATTTCGAGCAGGCTAAGGTTTCAAACATGTGTGCGTACATGATTCAATATATTCGAAATGCGAAGAAGTTATCTCAAACCCCCTGGCGACAAAATTGATCGGGTGGTCAGGTTCGTGGACGAATAGATATCATCATGCCTCGACAGCGTGGATCATTGCTCATAATATCGATCACTTGATTGTCTGGCCCAGATTCGATTATTTACGTGCCACCGTCGAATAGACGCAAGACAGCTAGTGGTGGCGTTGAATAACTAACAAACAAATTAAAAATTTGAAAAAATAAAAAACAAAAGGTATTTCGTACAATCTGAACAAATCGTAGTGACCAATTCATTTTCATTGTTTCAGGTAAATAAAGATGGAGTTGTAGGATTTGATTCACGGGTCGGATATGAGGAGACTCACTTCAATGACAGTGCACGTGATCCGGGTATGGACTTACCCTTTGCCGCTCCGTTCCATTTCTCTGGGAGAAGTATCCTAAGTGAAGACGATGGAAAGGTTTATTACAGATTAGCATTCACCAATACAAGCGGGGACTTTCTCAAAGAGCTGCAAACGTACATGCTGGATGCCAACATTGGCTGGGAACCATTTGAACCGGTGGTGGCGCTGGTTGTCACGTGGTATGGCGCTGTAGACGACGCCCAGATGGGATGCAAAGCAACAAACACCTGCAAGGTAGAGAGTGGATGGCCATGATTGTGATCAATGGCCGTTGTGGTACTAGTGTCATTGACAGGAACTGTGGTCGCGAGAATGCAGTATTGGTATAATCGTTGGAGGAATGTTGTAGTCAGGGAGAGTAGTGATAGTACTTAGCAGTAGTAGTAGTTGTAGTAGCAGTAGTGGTAGTAGTAGTCGTTGTACTAATACTATAATAGTAATATTTCTTGATATTATTCAGATGCTGATGTGATCTAGGTCAACTTCTATTTCAGACCGCGACATTCCAGATGGTCCTAGTTGCCTGCGAGATGCACACGTTCGTCGTCTTCAACTACCTCACTATGAACATTCCGGTCCAGCAGTTCTACCAAGTATGTAATATATAAACCGCAAGTCTATTTCAACTACCTCTCAATGAAGATGCTATAGCTGATGTACCACTCCAGCAATTCTACCAAGTATGTAATATAGAAACCGCAAGTCTATTTCAACTACCTCTCAATGAAGATGCTATAGCTGGTGTACCACGTACTCCAGCAATTCTACCAAGTATGTAATATATAAACCGCAAGTCTATTTCAACTACCTTTCAACGAATATGCTATAGCTGGTGTACCACTCCAGCAGTTCTACCAAGTATGTAATATATAAACCGTAAGTCGATTTCAACTACCTCTCAATGAATATGCTATAGCTGGTGTACCACTCCAGCAGTTCTACCAAGTATGTAATATATAAACCGCAAGTCGCTTTCAACTACCTTTCAACGAATATGCTATAGCTGGTGTACCACTCCAGCAATTCTACCAAGTATGTAATATATAAACCGCAAGTCGCTTTCAACTACCTTTCAACGAAGATGCTATAGCTGGTGTACCACTCCAGTACTTCTATCAAGCAAAAACTCTATTCACTGCCTCATCTGTTGTAGTTACATGTAGATACATGCATTACATGCCTCGTTAACAACTCTGAGGCCCAACACCACTTAGCAGAAATGTGAATGACTTCGAATGAACCGTTGCAAAACAAGCGTGTTGGTTTTGTTCAAAAGGACAGTACACACCGATATTGCTCGTTAAACAAATAAGAGTAAAAATAGATCTGCGTTCCAGCCGGCCTATTCCTTTGACCTCAGTCTCGCTCGGTTGCTGCAGGAGCCGTATTGACCGTATAACTGACTGTCTGAACATCGACCGACCTTGAACCCACCTCGGCGATGTGTGGCTGATTGTAGTCAATTATTAAGCATGCTGTAGGTCTTCATATCGTGTCAGCATTCAGAGGAGCTGTTGTACGTCCAACACATGTGTGGCCTGTGTCGAGGTCATGTCTTTTCTCAAGATATGTCGTATTGCAAGTTGATGTCCTTATGGAAAGTCTTATATGTGATGTGCTTCGTTGTATTGCCAGTTACCTGCTCAAATGACCAGCATCAATACGAACGAATTCGGGTATGGATTAATGTTTTCAGTGCAGATGTGGCCCTTCTGTACTGAGTTCACATGTGTATGTGTGTGAGTTGTTGTTGCTTAAGGGGACATTAAGGCTGGACAACCTAAATAGATGGACCTGGACGCGGTGGATTTCCCTGTTTACGTATGATGCCATTGTTACTGTTAATAAACACTTCACATGATATATGTGTAGAAACACCCAGGACGGGTAAAAGCGCACGATGACGTGGGATTAAACAGCGCTTGGAAAGAGCGCTTGATGGATACCTTTAACGCTGCAGTCAACTATATTCTTAATATGTTTTGAAGGGCCTGTGAATTATCACGTTATTGGATGAAATAAACCAGTGGTTGATATTATGAGCAACTTCCACGCCGTCTGTTTGTTTGTTGTGTACCGCCGCAATCATGATCAGCAATATTCCAGCTATACGATGGCGGTCTGTAAATAATCGAGCCTACACCAGACAATACAGTGATTGATATGAGCATCGATCCACGTAACTGGGATACGATGACACATATGTGTATTGACATGGTATCCAAAATAGATAAATATTTCAAGAGGTTGTTTACCGATGTTGGCACGTGTATTCATGGTTTGTATTGTTCACAGTGTTTTGTCCTTGTAGTGGTGAGAGTAGAGAGCGGATGTAAGTGAACCAGTGGTTGATATCATGAGCAAAGATATGTGCCAAACATATGATGACACTCAGCACACACACCGTTGTAACCACGCGACTACCATCACCATTCATGTAGGGTTCCTGGTGACCTACACTGCCTCGTATTGTCAAGGGGATTTGTGAGTGGGTTGGTTTTATGTCGCTTTGAATCATATTTCAGTTATTGCACTGGATGACAACTTGATGATGGAGGAAAGCCTAACATTATGCAGGTCTTAGGCGTTTAAAACTTTGTTGGTGAACCTTGTGCCCGGATGTAGTGCTGACATACCAAAAATAAATGATTTATGACTGTATTTACAGTGTCGTACAAGCTGTTCAACTGTTTGAGTGATCTCATTACAGGCTGGTATTAATGGAGGCCACGGCGTTGGCTGGACAAGCGTATGTACCGGATGTAGCTTCCCTGACCTTCCCAACAAAAGAGGAAGTGACGTCGTTGGAAGATTCATATACCGCATATCGAAAGATTCAATTGCGATCGGTGGTTGCGCAGGAGACAGAGGTAAATCACTTGTAATCTTCATGATTATATATCATCATGTATCTTCGTACACACGATACAACATATTCTCTCCATAAATGACACATTTTTTTAGAATGTCTGTTCTCATGGTCCATGGTGAAACGTATGGTAATGTGCGCAGCAGCATCGCGTGAGATAGCACATAACAACATAATCTATATACTATTTATATACCTAATAGGTCGATTTCTATCGTTAAGTATATTTTCGACACCTTTTGTCCCTGGAGATCCTGTATACTCACCTACATATACTAATTGATGCTTTGAAACATAAATTATTGAAACTTTTCAGATTTACAGATTCTTCCAAAGGTAGCCGGAATGTTCGGAGGGGAGCTTCTGGACATTTCCGGTCCGTGTCTGGACGACAACGTGAACGTTGTGTGTCGGTTCGGGAGTGGCGAGAGTTCAGTAACCTCTCAGGGGTTCAGGTTTAACTCCATGAGGTTGAAGTGTCCAGTGCCAAGACTATCCCAGAAAGGTTTTGTTACGGTATCGGTGTCTATAGATGGCGGCATGAACTATGTTGGGAGTACAGAGATTTATATTGGTAAGTCTCAAAGTGACATGACTATAAACTTCACGTATGTTAACACGGGAAAAAACTCTTGACTTTACAGATAGGACATCGTTCCACAAATCGATCGTAGCGCTACGATTGTCGTAATTCTATGTAAAGGTAGGGGAGGTACGTATACAATCGTCTTAGTCCTACGATCGTTTTGTTGAACGAGTCTCTGGCCTGTAACATGTGAACTGTCATATGAGGTTCTGGGTTTGGTGTATGTCCAAGCACCTGATGTTTGTGATAAATGCCAAAGACATATTGGCTCGAGGGGTTACATTGTGTGACCATTTATTTTAAATTTGTTTGTTGGATGAAATATTTTGTAAACAGCCTTCAAACACTTTGATTTATGAGGGTTGATTGATAAGTTCTAAGCCTCACATAGAAAGAATTACATAAAAGGAACATCTTTTGTTGTGGACCTTCCGAAATTTCATAGACGTGTTAGTATACAGAAGCAACAAAAAACTTGCACCATCCCCATGTCGTTGGTTCAACGTTAGCATGACAGTTTGTTTTATGAATTATCAGTGATGGTGAATGCAGTGAGCCAAAGATTAGAGTTGGTTGCGACGGGCGAAAGTAACCCCTGGAGAGAGGTCAACCCGCCAAGCCTCACTATGAGATGGGACCCAGATTCACTGTCAAAGGACGAGGGGGTTCTAGTGGAGATCCGATTAGTTGGCTACAGAGAGGATGGAGACCAGGTGAGCGGGCAAGGGATGGGAGAAACCCAGTAACATAGCAAAAACGTTTGATATATGAAGAAACAAATGCTTATCTCAAACTGGAAATGAACATAATGATAACCTAAGTCCTTCACAGGTTCGGCAAGTTAACGTTACCGTCATCAGTAGAAAAGGGCGTCCGAATAACCAATGCCAAAATTGCCACCTGTTGCTAATCTTGGATTCATTGACATTAAGTATTTTATTGTAAGGAATGAAAGTACTCGCCTGACATCACAATGTCGTTAATATTGCTTAACGAAGCATCAACGTTTTATCGGCGGCATTAGTAATAAGGATCTGGTTTAATTTGTTTTAAGATGTTCTCGTCAATTACGAACCATCTGGTAAATGATACGTAACTGTATATTGTAATATTACGAGAGTTGGAACAATGGTTTTGGTTTGGTTTGTTGTTTTACGCCCCACTCAGCAATATTCCAGCTATACGACGGCGGTCTGTAAATAATCGAGTCTGGACCAGACAATCCAGTGATTTACATCATGAAGATCGATCCACAAATAGGGATCGATGACATGCATCAACCAAGTCAGCGAGCCTGACCACCCGATCCTGTTAGTCGCCTTTTACGACAAGCATAGTCGCCTTTTACGGCAAGCATGGGTTGCTGAAGACCTATTCTACCCCGGATCTTCATGAGTCAGGAGGAACAGTGGCAACTGGTTACTAACGGTGACGACAGGTGTTGCGTTACCTGATTTCAGTTGATTGTGGAGTCTGGACAACTTAAAGGCATCGAGACATGTGTTTCTCTTCCACAAATTGTATGTGAATGATTATTGTCAGTGAAATTCTTAAGTTTACATCATCAATATGGCGTGCGATGTTTCACATAAGATCATCTGGAAGATTCTACGCATCATCTCCCCTGAAGCAGCCAACACAGGAGAGTTCAGCTTCACTCCCTCGGACCACCAGTGTCAGCCGGAAGATTGTGGCGTGTTTGAGGTCGGCTATGTGGAAGTGGAGCTAAAGAGGAATTTCCGCACACGGGCCAACACTAAGATGTAAGTCCAGCCTTTGGTGACTATTTTACAACTTGTGAGGTACAATCGAGTATGCTCTTTCTAAGATTTCAAAGAACCTCATAAGACTCTTGCTTGGAGGTTGTTGATCAGGGTTACAGGTAGGCTTTCAAGAGGTGACATGGTAGACATGTTTCGCGCGGACATGTCCAAATTTGACAAAAAGAGATCCGATGCAATTGCCTAGTTTTACTTACCATATGTTTCCGTGTTTTCTTGTTGACTAGTCCTTGCATGTGTTTATGACGGATATCATCGGTAGAGCAGGATACGATCAACTTTTCGCGAACACCTGGTATCATCACTTTTTTATAGTGACTCATAAACACATGCTCATGATATAGTAGGAGTCGTACAATGGACTATACTTTTAATAGATATTTTTTTATGATTATGGAAAGGGTTTTGTCTTTTGATTTCTAGACACAATGCTGTTAAATAGCACGTAGCACAGACACACACTGTCATGCATGTTCGTGACGGGTGATGACGGATTTAGTTAGTAAAAGACATCCCACCATGCAACCAACATAAAAGTATGTCTACGCCCATACAACGTGGGTTTTAGAGTGGGTTTGTGAATCTTTATCAGCAGAATATTCAATGAAAGGGTAACATGGCAAGTGGAATATCACTTAGTTGACGTTACTTTCAATCAGAGTGACTCTGGTCAACGACCCTCATTTGGTGTGACGTCAACGACCATTACGCCATTATGACGTCATTAACGATTGAAAAGAGTCATAATTAGCATTTATATTATGTCAAATGTAAAATATATGAGAAATCATTTCATGTTTATTTTCTTAAAGCATTACACTACTTTAAGCCTGTTATCATTATTAAATATCATTTATGTACTTGTATTATCCAGTGACAACATCAGCGAAAGGGCTTTATATCGAAAATAAATGATAAAGTTAGAGACTAAATATCGATGCAAATAGAACCACTTAATCTGCATGATATTATTAAAACATTTTCAATCTATTCCAGAGCAGTAAAATCAGAAGTAACACCTTTCGGATGGTTCGTTAATGGTGCAATGAGCAGGCTCCATGGCTCCAACTGGGCCCCTAAGGTGTGCATGACGTGGTACAACAAGGACAAAGTCGACATGTCGTGGATGGACAAGCTGTTGTATTGTCCATGTAACCTCGCCCAGGGACTGTCCGACTTCGGCCGCTGGCAGACGCAGTCTGGGTGCAGCATGTTCTCGTCTAGCCCTGACAACTGCTTCTACCATAAAGAGGCAATACACTGCGTCCGGTCCCTCCAACCATCGTACGTATGCTGGGATCTAAACCTGCTCATGATCAGAGGCTGATATTCGGCCCCAAATCTGTAACAAATACCAGAAAAAAATTCCCAAATGGGAATTAAACAATTCCCAGTTCATGCTCATGCTAGTTTTTCTACTGTCGTGGCTTTTTGGGTTTGTTTGTGTATTATTTATTTCACTCATGACAGGAAAAATAATGAGGGGGAGGCTTAATGCATGGTTTCTACATGGGTGCTACATGTATACAGTGTTAAAATAACATGTTAAAATAACTCTGATATTTCGAAGAAAAAATCATTTATAATCACAATTTAGAATATAAAAAGTCAACGCCAGAGAAAAAACAGTCTCGATTATCCGACGAAATAGATTGAAATAACGATTTTCACTAAATTGCTGGACAAGGGCACTTAGTTTTGGAATCCTAGATAAATGCAAGGTGTGTCTTTGTATAAGCATATATCTCAAATCTTTGCCTTACCTGATCCACCAGGTCGTCTACAATGGTAATAGTCACCATTGTCAAACCATTCGAAATAAGAAGAGCGACCTGATTGGATATCGCGTTTTCATCGAAAGGGACACAACTCGCGTTCAACACCGGATGTGGTCACGCCAAGAAAAGTAGGCTTGAAATGGCAAGGGGGCAAAATAGGCTTTGACATAGGCTAGTGGACACTCTTTCCTCGGGATGATGGGGTATAAGTGTTTCATAACTCTTCTCAGGCTTTGTTATATTATTACGTTTTGTTTCATGTGTAATATATAGAATGCACTTATTGAGTATGCAGCGGCGGTCGGGTAGCCTTGTGGTTAAAGCGTTCGTTGGTAACGCCGAAGACCCGGTTTCGATTCCCGATATTGGTACAAAGTGTGAAGCCCATTTCTGGTGCCCCCCCGCCGTGATATTGCGGGAATATTGCTAAAATCGCCGTAAAACCATACTCACTCACTCACTCACTCACTCACTCACTCACTCACTCACAATTGAGTATGCAATAGTGGATGAGTGAATAACTCGTGCTTTAACGCCGCTTCGAGAAATACGTCCATTCTATGATGGCGCGTGAGGTTCATGTGAGGGGAAATTCTCAAGTGACGAGATGCAAGTCACAGACCTTTGACATGGATTATAACCGGAACGACCAAGAGTTCGAAAACACTCTATAGAGGGCACAACTTTTAGACCCCGCGTCACTGTTTTATCTTTATTACTTCCCGAAAGTATTTCATAGAAATGTATTTTTCAGATCCACAGGAGCAGGAAATCAGTGTTGCTACGGTAAAGACGGCCTACTTATCTACGCTGCCGACACCTACCAAGGCAGCACCCCCGACCGCAGCCACGACTGGGGCGCCGCCCCCTACAACAAACCCGGCCACGTCCCCTCATTGTCTCACTGGATAGAGGATGTTGTCACCTTCTATTATTGCTGTCTGTGGACGGAGTACAGTCACTGTAATTATTACATGGACCAGCGGGCTACCCGGGACTGTAACGGATACCGCCCTCCTAAAGCAGGTGAGGGTACCATATTAGACAACAAGGTGCTGCAAAGCAGGTGAGGGTGCCATATTGTACCACTTGGGGCTGTAACGGGTACCCCCTCCTAAAACAGGTTACGGTACCATATTGGACCACCTGGGGCTGTAACGGGTACCCCCTCCTAAATCAGGTGAGGGTACCATATTAGACAACAAGGTGCTGCAAAGCAGGTGAGGGTGCCATATTGTACCACTTGGGGCTGTAACGGGTACCCCCTCCTAAAGCAGGTGAGGGAACCATATTGGACCATCTGGGGCTGTAACAGGTACCGCCCTCCTAAAGCAGGCGATGGTACCATATTGGACCACCCGGTGCCGTAACGGGTACCGCCCTCCTAAAGCAGGAGAGGGTACCATATTTGACCACCTGGGACTGTAACGGGTACCCCCTCCTTAAGCAGGTGAGGGTGTCACATTGGACCACCCGGTGCTGTAACGGGTACCCCCTCCTAAAGCAGGTGAGGGTACCATATTGGACCACCCGGTGCAGTAACGTGTACCCCCTCCTAAAGCAGGTGAGGGTGTCATATTGGACCGACCGGTGCTGTAACGGGTACCCCCTCCTAAAGCAGGTGAGGGTACCATATTGGACCACCCGGTGCTGTAACGGGTACCCCCTCCTAAAGCAGGTGAGGGTGTCATATTGGACCACCCGGTGCTTTAATGGGTACCCCCTCCTAAAGCAGGTGAGGGTGTCATATTGGACCACCCGGTGCTGTAACGGATACCCCACCTAAAGCAGGCGACGGTGTCATATTCGGCCACTAGGGGGCCACTATGACGGGTACTCCCTCCTAAAGCAGGTGAGGGTACTACATTGGACCACCTGGAACTGTAACGGGTACCCCCTCCTAAAGCAGGTGAGGGTGTCATATTGGACCACCCGGTGCTGTAACGAGTGGCCCCTCCTTAAGCAGGTGAGTGTGCCATATTGGGTCACTCTGGGCTGTTATGGGTGTCACCCTCCTTAAGAAGGGTACCTCCCTCCTAAAGCAGATGAGGGGTCCACTCGGGACTGTAACGAGAACCGACTCCTAAATCGGGGAGAAAATAGGAGTTATAGAGGGCTGTAACAGGAAACAATAAGACACGATATGACTACATTTTCAAGAGAGAAATATGTTTTGTTCATGTCAGCAATACCATAACAATCGCAATATCACGGCGGAACGAATATAATCGAAAATTCGAACGTCATTGCCAGAGAATAGTCAGTATCCAATATCTGCCAATTCCATCGGGGCAGGGGTTTTGAGATCAAGACCGACCCGTTACGTGAGATCACCAGACAAACAAAGCACCAAACATCATCAGCTTCAGTTGCCCGCGGACAACCCCTATATTGAGAAGACCTTTAGTAACTTTAGATAAAATATTCGAATCGAGTGTTACATTTGGCATGTATGACCAATCAAAGTCACAAGTCTGTATTGTTTACTTCCTTCTTCTGATTTCAATTCCACTTTTAGGACACGCTTTTTGATTGGTTTATCAGAGTGTCATTTAGCTAATTGTGTAACATATTGTAAGAAGTCATAGCATGTCCCCATGGCTGCTCAAAATGTGTGGGGCTTTTTTTTTCATTATGGCCTAGAAATGGATCATTTCATTTTTTGTGATGAGAAAAGCCACAGGGATACGCAAACTGATTCATCAAAATCAACGAAAACCGAAAGCTGTAAAATACCGATTTTGAGATAACAAAATGTTGGTCAATTTACTAAAAACTTGTCAAGGGACAAGTTCATAATTTTGATATTCCTACACACCTACATATGGCATAATTTTAAAAGGCTACTAAAATAAGTAATGACATCAGAAAAAGCAACAGCAATTATTGATATTGAAGATATTGTTCATTTCTAGCATTCGCGTACGGAGACCCCCATATCACGACATTTGACGGAAAGCTGTACAACTTTGGTGGCAAGGGAGACTACTACCTGGTGAAGTCAGACCAATTTTCTCTTCAGGGGAAGTTCGACTTGGGACAACAAAACCATCGTAAGATGACATTATAGACATTTGTTTCTGTTTTAGTATTGTTGTTTTGTTGTTGTTGCTATTGAAACTGGTTCCGACGTTTATAAACAATAGATGTATGTTTCAGCTGACGGTAACCGCTTCAACGCCACCGTGTTGACGTCAGTGGCCATGTCGGGTGACTCTGGTTCCAGGGTGGAGATACGTCTCGCTCCCCCCGGGCTCAACAGTGGCAGGCGTCTCGATGTCTTTGTCGATGGAAAAGTCAAGCTGTTTGATGCTTCGGTCATCTTTAAGCAAGAGTTTAGTGGTAACAAGTGTTAACTGGCCTTTCAGTAGATGATACTTCAGTTTGTCAAATAAGGATATTGGAAAATCTTCCATTCTCAAGGGGGAAAATACTAATATGTATCACCCCGTTGGGATTCCTGGTTAGAATACGCCCCAAAGTTGGTCGCAAGAGGCGATCTAAGGCATTGGGTGGCCAGGACGGTGACTTGGTTGTTTTTGTATACTCTTAGGGAGCAGGGTGGATCGTTGCTCAAAATATCAAGCACTGGATTGTCTGGTCCAAATTTGATTATTTACATATCATAGCATAATATCATTAAACCAAGAAATCATGTCAGTTAAGAATATCATGTTATAATGTTCAGGGGGTGTCACTGTGATCAACGTTGCAACTGATTCCAACGACAACCGTCACGACAACTTCACCATCATCATGAAGTCCGGAGTGGGGGTGCAAGTATCGGCAGCAAACCGACTCCTCCACGTCATCGTCAACATGCCGCCAGATTTCAAGGTTGGAGCTATTTTGACACTCTGAACAGCCCTTAAAAATGAAATATAGTGTTGTACATGTACGAATCAATAGAGTTTCAGGAACTCAAAAATATACACAAACCCAGCGATGGATATTTTATAGTGGGTGAGAGAGTTAGGTTTAATCCTGAACACAGTGCGCGCCGTTCGTTCTCCCCTTCGGCGGTAAACACGCGGTCTTACATCAGCTGTGTACAAAGAGAAACGGCTTTCATCACTGAAGACGATCCTCTGCCAGTCACGTCGCTGCCAACGACGTACAGACCGGGCCCATCTCAATTTCTGACGAACATGTTGCGCCGTCCATAACTTTCATCTGTAATCCCTAGTTCCGTGAGCCCTGAATCGCCTGGCCATTGTCTGTCGACTAACCTATGCCCTAATCGATTCCGGAGATGCAAAGTACGCAAGTACCGGTCTTCATAGGGCGTAGTTACCCTTGGTCTGCCTGTTCTTCGCCTGTCTGATGTCTGCCCGGTCTGCCTGTAACGTTGCATCAAGTTAGTTACAGCAACACGGGAGCAACCAATAGTTCCAGAAGTGTGGGCATGGGTTGCTCCTATCTGTATCATGCCCGAACAACGCGGGTGCCAGTCGTGGCATTTCTGTGGTGGTTTTTAAGTATTGTGAGTGTCTAACATGCCGTCCGTATCATTTATATACCTTTATTGCACATGTAGTTTCGGCTTCCCAAGCTGCAAAAAAACTGCCGTGGACGTCTATGACTACCTGCTTAGAGCATTGTTGTGTTTGGACGATGTGTTTTGAATTGATTATGTTTGGACTTGTCTTTTGGCCGTCAGTTTAAAATACAAAATGGCCATTTTCTATTTGATGCATGTAAAGGGATAAGAAAGTTCAAAATAACCCGTAGAACATCCAACTGAGATTTATGATCATCATCTTAGTTGCATTATTGATGTTTAAGAATTTATATCAACTTCTAAAATTACATATTCCTGACGCATATCAGAATGATGGCAAGTAAAGTCAACCTAGCAACTTTTAATTTTAATACTTTAGGGCATACTTAATCACAAATGCTTGACAAAAAATAAATGTTGAAAAAGGCAAATAGCGTAAAACAGACGATCCGCGATAAGCAACGACAGACCAAATCCTCCCCCAGACGAAAAATTCCGCCACTGAGGGGATTCCCCTTACTGGGGTTGAAAACGGGCACAGCACAATGTTAACCATTATGACGGTTTGGCCGATACACAGTCGGCCTGCTTCCACCTTGATTTTTTTTCAAATACATTTTATGGCTTTTTTTGTCTGCTCATCCATATGATTACCGTATCCACAACTTACGTCACCTTATGCCCTTCAGTAACAACACTGAAAATGCTTGAAATCAGTTGTTTGCTCAGGGGATTAATCCCTTGACAGGCATTCATTGTGTGGAATAGAACTGACGGTAGCTGGTGGTTTATTACCCTAACAGGATGTCAGGGAAAATACGCTAGTTACCGATTGTTAATTATTATTTAAATTTTTCACATTTGCAAGATCAAAGGTCGCTTCACACATTCAACAATGTATGCAATGTTATTATTTTGGTAGGATTGACTGAAAGGGCAGATATAGTACATTTATTAGAGCTAAGAATTATAGAATAGATAAGCACGGCACAACTCAGTAAAACATACACGAGCCATGGCCACTGTGTCAGTTTCATAACTGTCACATTTCTTTAACATGCTGGAGACGATTGCCGTAAAATCATGAAACTGACAAGTAACTCAAATGAACACTATCGGTTGTATGAAGTCATACTGTTCCATTGGCAATCACGTTGTACCAGCAGGCTTATTCTCAGTAAATCTACACGTTAATGTTGAATCACATCATCATCGGGGTTGTCATCTGGCTTCGTGTAACTTGTCAGAGCAAAAGCCATCGGTCCCAAATTAAAATAATAGGTATCGTCTCTCAAATTTCTAAACACAGTAGGTACATCTCCTCAACAGCCACTGATGAACTGGCCCCATAAGCATTCATGTACCATCACACACACATACATGGATGAATGCAACACATGAATGATACTCACATAAGTCCATCGCTCAAAAAACAAAGGAAATGCAACTACTAAACACGACAGGGTAGGCTCGTCGCAGAGTGGGTAAACCGAGTGATGGCGATTTGCCTCGGTCAACCTAAGAGCCCGCACTACTCTGCTAGTGTTAAAGGTATCTTTTTAAAGTGTTCGAGCCTGACCTGCCTTTGATACTGTCTTGATATTTCATTTTGATTCGTTAAAAACTATATCAGAGCATCAACTCATGTTTGTTTGTAATCGGAAAACTACCGTGAACTCTTGACCAATTACTCTGTTATCACCGTGTTTTGATTCTCCTGATTCATTAAATGACAAGGACAGCATCGAAACAATCACGATGAGAAAAGGGAAATGTCATTTCTCAATCGATTCCTTTTTATGTTTGCATTAACTCGAGCCTTTGCTTTTAATAAGACATTGCCAACATTAAAGCCATCATGATGATGATAACCATCATTTATAAAGTTGGATTTGTTACAATTTTTGAATGTTTTTGGAAGCATTTTTTTACATTTTAACAGTTATACCAGAGTTGTACAAGATTTTGAAATCGAACAGAAGCACAGTTTTGCAGGTTTATCGCAAGTCAGCTGTGTTTCGGGTTTTAGACAGGCAAAAAGTTCTCAAACCAATGATCACAATCTAGCCAGGAATAACAACTATTGGCACTACTACAGAGATGAAATATTATATATTTTGATTTACAAGAACACGACTTCTGGTTTGATGGGCACCTGGAACGACATGGAAGCTGACGACTTCACCACGAAGAGTGGAGATGTCGTTGACATCGGGGCCTCGAATGAAGACGTCTATCAAACATTTGGCAAAACATGTAGGTACTTCTAGTCTTGGTTTAATATTTGATGCACTCAAATGCATCAGACAAACATGCTCCTGAAATAACTTGTTACTTGTTAAAATTTCACATGGATACAAAGTCCAAAAGTGTGGGTCTGGTGCTGACAGACCTAATGCCACAATAAGGGGAAATCGGGGATTCGAAATGGAGATTATGGGGTCATGGCACGCCGGAAGACTGCAACTCGCACAACGGATTTTGGCATCTCAAATAACTTTGCCACCCATGGTTCCACTGAACATATACATGATTCAAAGAATATTTGTTATTGACTTTTTCAGGGAACGTGCTGCAAAGTGAATCTTTGTTCAAGCATAACGACGCCGCTGACATGAACTTCATCCCCATCTACGATGCTTCCCAGATACCTGCAGGGTCGGGTATCACCGACGCAGACCTTGACAGCGTTTGCGGGAGCAACGTTCAATGTCGGTTCGACTATGCCGTAACAGGCAATGCAGAAGTGGCGAATGCTTCCAGGCTGGCGGCCGGATGGTTTACTGAGATTAAAAGCTTCCAGCTATCCAGTACGTATTATTAATATCACTCTGACCTGATACGGGTTTTTAACATGGACATGTGTGGAATAGTGAGTACAGGGGTTCTGTGGGTTGGTGTAGCACGGTGGTTTAAGGTCCTGCTTCGGTTCTCTACATGAGTACAACGGTGTCCCCTGCCGTGATCATGTCGCTGGAATATTGCTGAAACCAGCGTAGAACCTACTCACTCACTTTATTTCATCATTCTAATACGCATTGTAATTATAACAGGCCTGCCGTGGTTCCATGATATGCCAGGAACCCGTTTCACAAAGCAAGCATATCACTACGACTATTGCAAGTCAATGTTAACTATCTTGGCCCGTTCCACAAAGCGGTCTAAACGCTAAGACGACCGTAACTCCCGAACTTTGACACATGCGTTCTACAATCAGAGCGCTAAGACGGCGGTGTAGGACGGACCCAGGGAGCTACGCTACAGGAATTACGACAGCCGTAGCGCTTGATTTAGTTTGTTGTTTAACTCCGCATTCAGCAACATCCCAGCTACATGACGGCGGTCTGTAAATTCTCGAGTCTGGACCACAAAATCCAGTGATTGATATCATGAGCATCGAACCACGCGATTGTGATACAATGACATGCATCAACCAAGTTAGGTCGCCTCTTAAGACAAGCACGGGTTGCTGAAGATCAATTCTAACTCGAATCTTCAGGGGTCGTAGCACTTGAATGTGGAACGGCGTCATAGCTGATCCAGCTTCGTACGCCACGTTAGCGATACCCATGCTATCAACCATTGATTTGTCGGTGCCAGGCTCGACAATACACAGGCCACGAGGATAATTGGTCATAAAACAACTTATCATTAGTTGTTAAAGAATCTAGCTGTCTGATTGGCCAGTCGCCCTCTTATATCTTTAAATCCATACACGTTGGTTAAATTAGCCGGCCTCTACGGCTTTCGTGACGTCATAATGTTGGATGTAACGTCACTTGCTTGTCACGTCATATTTGATCCTGTTCGAACCTTGAGTTACCAAACGGAAAGTCAGATGGGTTTAATTGTCACAGAAACACATTTCACCGAAAATAAGTCTCTGCCAAACTCGTAATGATAAATTGTGTCAATATCAAGGTGAACGGGAGTTTACGAGCTGATGGTCTGTGTGCACCTCTCGTCCGAATCATAACCCCGGGACTTCATATGGCACTCACACATTGTTGGTTTCGTTTCAGCACAATCCTGTGGTCTACTTGACGTACCGTTTGCTACAAAATCTAGCCGTAACTACACATTTGGAAGTACCGTTTCAATCACCGGCTGCCGTAACAAGGGCACGGTGAAAGGGGAGACAACCTACCAGTGTTCCAAGGGCACCAACAACGAGCTCAGCTGGATGCCAGACGTGTCGGCAAAGTGTCTTGTAATCGAGGACAAGAAGCCGGAATACAACGGTACCTATTAATGGTCAACAATTTCAGGGCCGCCTTTCAATCATGCAATGCTTGTCGAAGCTCTTTTGAATCTTATTACCAAATATTACTAAATAACTGAACTGGGGCACAGATGATTCAGTGGTTTTAGCTTAAAGATACCGATAGTGGGTTCGGTACAGGTAGGTTTCACCAATGCGTTTACAAACTGCGTTACGTTTGTCTTTCTTCCCACATTACGCTGACCATCTTCTCGAGGCAAGAGAGTTAACTGACTATAAAAGTCCAGTTTCCACCCTTGCCGAACTATGCTGGAATTCCTGGGCTCGATCGTAGTGCCACCAGTGGCTATTACGAGTTTTGTGCTTTCCAAGCCTCTCCTATGGACCAATCAGATTCCACCTGTCGTATCACTTGCATTTGCTTCAAATAAAATGGCGGCGCCCAGTCCAGACGATCTAATCGATAATCAAGATCTATATTGTGATAAAACGGGTTTTACGTCGCGAAATGCATCAAATCACGTGAGCACCTTCATTAAAAACATGAAAAAAATGGAAAATATCTCTTGACAACGAGTTGGCGGTGTACATGCTTTGCAAATCCTGCATTCGACCGAAATCTGCACGACAGTTTACGAACTGGATTTCGATTCCGTTGCGCGATTTTGATTGGACTATGCTATGCTATGCTATGCTATGGACTCGTTAGTCCAGCCAAAACTCCATAATACCAGCCTAGTTATGCAAGGGTGGAAACTGGACTTTCTTATAAAGTACGTTAACACCTTTGCCGCGGGAAGATGTACGCTGACAGACATAAATACTATAACAAATGGCGTCAAAGCCCAACTCACTCCCTCACCCTTGTGTGTTTTAAATCTTCCGCCCCAGTCAATGCTTGTATGAGTATGGTTTAAAGCCGCTTTTAGCAATATTCTTGCAAAATCACAGCGGGGGACACCAGAAATGGGCTTCACACATTGTACCAATGTGGGGAATCGAACCCGGGTCTTCGGCGTGACGAGCGAGCGCTTTAACCACTAGACTACACCACCTCTCCCAATGCTTGTAGTAAGAGGTGACCAAACTGCATGTAAATCTTGATGCATCTTAACAAGCATGTGAAATACAACTGAATGTAAATGTTGACCATCTTTACAATCATGTGAAATACAACTGAATGTAAATATTGACGCATCTTAACAAGCATGTGAAATACAACTGAATGTAAATATTGATGCATCTTAACAATCATGTGAAATACAACTGAATGTAAATGTTGACGCATCTTAACAATCATGTGAAATACAACTGAATGTAAATGTTGACGCATCTTTACAATCATGTGAAATACAACTGAATGTAAATCTTGATGCATCTTAACAAGCATGTGAAATACAACTGAATGTAAATGTTGACCATCTTTACAATCATGTGAAATACAACTGAATGTAAATATTGACGCATCTTAACAAGCATGTGAAATACAACTGAATGTAAATATTGATGCATCTTAACAATCATGTGAAATACAACTGAATGTAAATGTTGACGCATCTTAACAATCATGTGAAATACAACTGAATGTAAATGTTGACGCATCTTAACAATCATGTGAAATACAACTGAATGTAAATGTTGACGCATCTTAACAATCATGTGAAATACAACTGAATGTAAATGTTGACGCATCTTTACAATCATGTGAAATACAACTGAATGTAAATCTTGATGCATCTTAACAAGCATGTGTAATACAGTTGAAAGTAAATCTAAAAATACGAATACCTTTCAGGTCCAGACAATGTCGGGGCGACTGTTGGCATCATCGTTGGCGGTTCTCTTACCGCCATCATCATCATCGTAGTAGTGGTTGTACGCAAACGTCGGAAATATACACGACAGGGTCTTTTGAAACAACATAAACTTAAACTGTGAAGTAAGTTGAAAGCGGTATCTTTAAAGGAGGTGGGGGTAAGAAGACGAGTCTGGCTTGATGTATATATTAGATCGTCAGTACGCACCCGTGAAGTATTAACGATCACCTATAGCAATACTTATAATTGTACTTTAACATAACTATTCAAACTTGATCATGAATACACTCAGTGACGGATCAAGTTTGTCATTTCAATTAAACGAACGATTCGGGTTTATTTCTCATTATTTCATTGATGGACGTCCTGTAAATCACCAGAAGACCTGAAGTTTACTATTATTTACGTTATTCTGTCTTGTTTACAGAACCGTGTCCCGATTTGAAGATAGACAGACGGCACGACAAGCTTCATGGAACCAAGAATACGCGAAGTGAAAATACATCTGTGTTGATTGTCTACAGGAATACTGTCTCCACACAATATTCAAATCACCATGGTGGTGGTGCATGAATTGACCCCGAATTGCTGTGTTTTCACAGATAATTGAAGACTAGTGTTTCTTTTGTGACTGTCATTTATGAGTACACCAGAAAACTAAGACTTTTGGGTTGACTGCCTCTGCTCAAATTAAATCCTATGTGATTACAAAAATGCATATACATTGCACTACATTGGGGTGAAATTAGGAACCGTATCGGAACGTTAAGTCACTATACGAAACCTGCCCGCTCATACATTTACCTATTTTCAACATACTGTTCTCCTATCGTAACTCCTAAAAGTATAACAATTATTTACCGTAATACATCGTGCAATACCCTAGAGAGGGACCGAGAGAACTGCAAGCCCAGTCGTCCAATGTAAGGCACCGCAAAGTGCCGTGCAGAGTTACCTCCCTTTGTCTCCTCGTGGATGCGAGTCACAGGTTCGCTCTGATTATTATTCTTGGTTGTCAGCATGCATGGATTTCACAAAAGTACTTAACATAAAAGTCATGCATCACTTCAGGCTCTCCCAAATATGTATTGACACTGCGACATGACTGAAATACTGTTCAAAGCGGCGTTAAACAAAACTCACTAATTCCCTAAAGCTAGGCTCAGTTGCGCCATATGCGCCATGGCTACTAGATTTATATGTATAATGACATAGAGTGGGTTTAACGCCCGACTTAAATCACGCTTGAAAATGCGTCAAAACCCAGTCCCTCTTTTAATAACAGATTAAAAAAACAGTGTAAGGAAGACACAATTTGATTTCCGGTTTTAACACACTACTACATTCGTACATGTACTTAAACAGAACTTCTTCTCGACTCTTTGTCCTTAATCTGGTGGGAATTCGTATAAAGAAGATCGCGTATTAATTATAGCATTAGACTAAGGTTAAAGTCATAACCAGTCATCGATGACTGATAAGTGTTTCAGAGCCATTACGCACCGCCTATTCAATACATGTATGTCATTATCTCCTGGTGTCAAAGGACGACGCTAAGTTATGTGTGAGCTTACGTCTGCTTTGTTCCATGAAAGTCACACCAATGAAGACATTTTGAGTACTATTATTCCGATCTATCAGAGTGACATTATCAGAAGAAAAGAAAATATTACCAAAAAATTAAGCAGGACCTCTATTTTGGCACGTACTGGTCGTTGTAAGTTATCTGTCTTACTGAAAAAAACTTTTAGCTATTTGTAACGCTGTAATGTTTTGTAAACACCGTTCGCGTGCCTTGTAATGTCTGTGACACCATTTAACTACTTTTTTAATTATTCTAGATTTAAAATATAATTCTTAAACACTTATACCAGAATGAATATATAAAGAATTTGTCGCATGCAAAGCCTGTGATATCATTTCAGCCTTACAGTAAGGACAAGTTGAATGTTTTCATGTTGCTCTTTTAACCTTCATCATAATGTGTATGCGAATGATATTATTATTGCTTCATCATAAAGTGCACACCCTCATTGTTAATCAGATATTAAAAAATGTTTTATATATATTTGTTTCATTGTTTGGAAAATAAATACTCAAAACGATTGGTTCGGTGTTATGTCCGATTTGTCAACCTATAGCTATATGCGAAAAGGCGACCAAACAGATCGGGTGGTCAGGTTCGGTGAACTGTTTAACGGCGTGGGAGACATAGAGAATCTCACCCGAGTGTCTTTTGATATCAAATATACCATCACGAGTTGATAAAAGTGGAAAAATTCCGAGGCTTGCCGAGAATTTTTGCCACTTTTATCAACGAATGTTGATATATTTGACATCAAAAGACACGAGGGTGAGATTTTATTTATCATCCAACATCATTCTTTCAACTTTTTCAATTTGTAGACAGTAGTTAGGAGTGTCTTCAGTGTAAAATGTACTGCAAACAGCTTCAGTAGCAGAGCCATTAGTGATGTCATTTGATTGTGACGTCATGGTAACCAGTGACGTCACAATGGTCTGCAAAGCATTGTGATGTAATTTCACACTGTAGATAACGCTTGATCGCATCCAAGCGATATCTCCTGTGGGAGCCAGTTTTGGATGATAATGTTCATTACATCAAGCTATTTACGGGTCGTCATGACATGACATTGCTGGAGTATTCTACTGTGGCGTTAGACACATTCCCTCACTCAGTGTTAACTTAAAGATTTAAAACAACACGTTCAAAAACGCTGAACGTGACGGCATGACTACAGACGTATAGTGAACGTATGAATGAGTTAGTTTAACGCCGCTTTAAACTGTATTTCAGTAATACCACGGTGTCAGCTTCATGTGGGGTCCTAAGTTGGTTGATGCATGTCATTGTATACCAATTGCGTAGATCGATGCTCATAATGTCAATCATTGGGTTGCCCGAGAGTCGATTATGTGCAGACCGCCGTCATATAGCTGGAATATTGCTGCAAGTGCTGCGTTAAACAACAAATAAAGCATTTTGGTGAATTCGACGAGCATGGGTATGGTGCTGACAAACCTAGAAACAAATTTTAGGACGAATATTCGACCATTTGTTTTCTGGCACGCCAAAGGGTTGCAATTCTGTTCAGCGAAATGCGACTAGGACACCAGGATCCCCTTGCTACAGGTGTGTGTGGTCCCATATAACATGTGAACACCTGGTGTCATACTCCCCCATAGTGATTTACCTTTTTATGATAATGGAACCATGGTTTTGTCAGTTACGTAAGCTACATCTCTGTGGCAACGAGTGTAATCTCTGTCAATCGCCGCGACAAATACAGTGTTTTTATGCAGCTAAAGAACAGTGCAAAACATAGAACTCATTTTGTGGCATAAACAAGCAAGGCATTAGTGAAGCTTTCAAAACATTTTATGGTAGACATGTCGAGGACATTTCCAAATTTGACGCATCAGTGACAAAAATTATGTTCCATTCAATTGCATGTTTTATATTCCATCTTCCTTATTTTTCAGGTGAACACTTAACTTGATTGTGCATGTGTTTGTGACGGGTGCTACCGCTGGGGCAGGATACGCTCACCTTTAAGCGAACACCTGGGCCCACTTGCACAAAGCGATCTTAGCGCTAAGATGATCGTAACTCCCATACTTAACATAGGCTTACAATAGTTGTAGCGCTAAGATCGCGTCGTGCAAGTGGGCCCTGGTTTCATCACTATATGACAGTGGTTCATAAACACATGCTCATGCTATAGTAAGATCGACTCTGCTTTAAGAAGAGATTTCTTGTGGCAATGGAAAGGGTTTTTGTATGTCAAATGCAACAAGATGACTTCAAATGTGCCTTGTGAAGATCCGGTTTAGAATTGGTCTTCTGCAACCCATACTTTTCGTAAGAGGGCACTAACGGGATCGCTTGGTCAGGCGCTCTCTTGGTTGCTGCATATTATCGTATCACAATTGCGTAGATCGATGCTAGATTGTCTGGCCAAGATTTGACAAGGTAGCTGTGCAATTGTAGCGTTAAAGTATGCTTTGACACTGTTCATTCTCAGCGAGACATAGTTTGAATGTGACTTTTTGCTTGGAGATGTGATCGCTGAATATATTGAAAGGTATATTAGACACTGCCGAGGAACTGACGTATTTTCAGCTTCATTTCAAGTCCAAATAATCATGTGTTCATTTCCACCACAGGGAGCTCTATAATGGGCACTGTGTCCGTTCATCAGTGCCCTTGTCTGGTGCCTTCAATTCGGTTTCGAGCTGACATTTATCTGGAACAAAAAATATCCCTTAGTATGATTTGAATAAATATATAGATCTCATTTCAGGTTCATATCTTAATATTGGTATTTCACCTAACTCGTCTCCACGCGGCGGATCGGGGACAGACTTGATTGAACGATTATCGGGCGGGTACAATGTTTGACTGGCTGGCCACGTGTCATAATCATCTCACGGTCGGCTGTTGCACCGTCAGTCAACCATTGGTTTGACTTGATTGCATACAGGAGTAAAACACCATTAGCTCACTTACTGATAAGACTGGAGTCCTTTTACTGTTGAATTATGGTAATCACCTATTAACATCATATAACAATGTTTGAATAGTTCACAATCGAGCATTTTCGTGCAGAGAAAATTTCATACAACTCTTGCTCAAAGGTTTTCCTTGATGTGGATGGACAAATTTGACGCACAGGTGACCATAATTATGCCCGATGATTTTCCGTGGTTTTTGTTTCGGGTGAACACCTGACTTGCTTTTGCATGTGTTCGTTATGGGTGGCACCTTTGGACAGGATACGCCCACCTTTTCGTGAATACCTGGTACCATCACTAACTGATCCATAACCACGTGGTCATGACATAATAGGAGACTACAATGTAATCTGCTTTCAGAAGATATTTCTTGTGATTATGGAAAGGGATTTCGCGTTTTTATGTATGGAACGAAGCACGTAGCTGACCCTAGCACAGCTAAACACTCATGTCATGATCCTGCATGTCCACGGCTGTAGATGACGGGTTCACTTCGTACATAGCACCCAGCAGAGAGCAACAAATATAATGATATGTATAAGTCCATACAACGTAGGTTTTAGAAATCAATATTTTTAGACATTTCTTACGAATTTGGAATGGGGTTAGTTCCTTTTATTTGCATCGATATTTTGCTCCAAAATAGAACCAGGTCATGTCTAAGTGCCGGTATATGACAGTCATAGAGGATATTCCGTGTGTCTCAAGTGCCGGGGGGAAAGGAGCTATTTTCACGAGTGGCGTAGCCACGAGAGAAAATATCTCATTTCCCCCGTCACGAGATGTGAGGAACATGATATTTCTCAAGACACACGGAATATCCTATTTGTTTTATGCTTTTTGTGTAGTTGTCTACCGGAAATTAATTTGTCTCATTACAAATGTTAAACCTTGAAACATAAACCAGTAATTGCACCTTATAAAGTAGTTCCGAGTATGCAAAATCGTATGAGAATATAAACAAAAGTAACAAAACATATATAAGGTCACTAAAATTCTTTATCATACATTTGGATATGATGATATACAAAAACAACTTCTACAAAACCTACGAGACCGCTGTTGGAAGCGAAGGAATACACGCTAGTCAAGTAACAAAAATGGCGCTTTGCGAAACAAACAGTCTCGATTGACGATTTAAATGGTAAATTTACACTTTATAACGAATTATTTTCAAGAGAATAACAAACGGCAAGAAAGTTAACGATACGAACTCCATGAATGACCACCTGTCATTATTTTGCCTTGTCTAAGTGGAACTAACGTAAAAGGAAAGTCAACAGTTTGTGTGAGGACCAGACAATTACAATAAAGGGAGACAATTTGCGGGGAGGTAACTTTTGTATGAAAATAGTTCCGTCAAAGTGTTACGTTCACTAAAGTGAAATATCAAGAGTTATGTTCACTTCAGTGAAATATCAAGTGTCATGTGCACTGCAATGAACCTACAACTTTTCTCAAATTGTGAAAAATCAAACCGAAGTATGTAATAAGGAACATTATTCGTTTTCCACCACACATTTTGGTCAATACGTTCATCAGGAGACGTAAGAGTGCGAATTACTGTTTTATTTAATGTTTTTTTAGGTTTAGAATCTTGGAGAATATGTGTAATAGTGATAAAAGAATGTGATAAATATATGTTTTGTTTATCCTTTTAAACTTGACAAAAATCATGGCTGTCATGCTCTTCGGCTGACCTAACCAAGTGAGAAGAAACGTATGAAGACGACGAGAAATTGTGTGTTGGGTCCCGGGTGTATTAATGACTCTGTTTTAAAATTTGAAAGTGTAATTTGTTTGTTTTTCACGGAAATCACGAATGTGCAAACGGGGCTCCTTATGAGCCTTCATTTTCCTGTCAATAACCAAAAAATTAAACGAGAAAATGTTTCATTGAAATCAACCTGACTTCATAACTTTACCTTTATCTCTGAAGAAAACCCACGTGAGGATGACGTCAACAATTTCCACCAATGTTAACACACTGCCACCTAGGCACAACCCAAGAGTTCCGCCGATGTCGCCTTGAATGAGAATAGTGTTATGTACATTATACAGGAGATTTCAGAATACTTTGTTTTGCCTTGAAGCATGATGAACATAAAACACTTATTATTTAAGAAAAGAACTAATAGATAATGGTGTTATTGTCTTAACGCGCAACGCCGTGAATACCAACACTACAAATAGGATTGTATGGTACACTTTTGCCGCAGGAAAACATCATGGAAGTTATTATTTGTTTGATAAGTGTACAGTTATTGACCTGAAACATTGCTGAAAACAGGATTAGGTGTTAATACAATATAAACAGAGGGGCAAAAGAAAGTATACCGCATTTGTGTTTTTATGTAATTGAAAATTAAAAGAACTGTTGTTAATTTGATTGTGTCTATTTAACCATCACTCATTCCTGCAACAGTTTGTAAAGGGTAATCTGTGACTGCGTATTCTTGTGTAAAAAAAATTGGTTCCATGAAGCTTGGGTAAGAAACGAATTTGGAATCCCTTGGTGCCTACCATGTTTGAAATGTTGAAAATTTGCACCAGAATATATTTTTATTGATTTTCAAAGATAAGATTCTGAGAAACCCATAAACTGTTGTTTATTATGCGAAATGTATTTTGTTTTTAATTTATAATTTTTTTATATCATAAACCATGTAGAAGTACTCTTTGAGTGCTGACTGAGCGCCAGTACAGTCACATATAAGATATTTCTTTTGCCCCTCAGTTTACAATCCTTGTACCTAATTTTATCATTGCGCGAAGTTACCATCGTTTTGTAATCACTATGTTATTCTATAATTCACCAATCAGAGACATCCATGGGTAGCCCTCCATCTGCCTGACTTCAGTGTACGCCATGTCGACCAGACCGATGTCAACTTTCATCAGGTTAGGCCCGGGGTTCCTAAATGCAGAAATACTGATTGGGTGGTTTGGTTAAACGCCGTTTGAACTGTATTTCTGTTATCACAACATTTTGGATACGTTGTGGGAATCATACGTTATACCATGAGTGAGTGAGTTGGGTTTAACGCCGCTTTTAACAGTATTCCAATAATATCACGGCGTGTCAGCTTAAGGTGGGAGGAAAGCCCGAAGTGATGCAGGTCTCAGACGTTTCCACTTCGGTGAAAGCCACGAGCACGGATATGGTGCTGACAAACCTGGAAACATAATCGGGGCGAACTGGGATTCGAACCCACAATCATAGGTTTCTGGCGTGCCCAAGGGACGCAACTCTGCACAGCGAATCGCGGCCCCTTAGACGACTGGACCCCCACCCCCCCCCCCCCCCCCCCCCCCCGTGCCCCCGTCATAACATGACGTTAAGAAACGTTGTGACTCTATATAAATTACAAGAAACTATTGTAAGATCTGTTGCTTTTTCTTGTTTTTTTATAATCAAAATCCAGTCCTGGGTAAGAAATTATATGCTTTCAAACCTAAAGCATGACCTTTAATTGAACCAAGAAACTAATTTGGATATTAGAAACAGAGGTCAACATCAGCCCATCAGCCTCATGGCCTCCAGTAGAGTAAGGCCGCTCAAAGAACCACATTCCTGAAGCAACAGTCCATAAATGCATCAACACCTTTAACATAATAAAGATCAACACTGTCAAGGAGTGATGTGAATATATGACACGCACGTCAATCATGAATAAAAGTATAAAGTAATGTCATGTTGTAGGAATGTTGCAAGAACGTTTTTGGTAACGTTAGATCAGTAGCATTAAGGAAACCTGTGACGTTATTTGTTTGGTGAGACATCACGGGGTGTCAGCTTAATGTGTGAGGAGGGTCCAAAGTGATGCAGGCCTAAAACGTTCCAGGACGCGTGTATGGTGGTGACAAACCATGAATCACAATCAAACATTTGAGCTCATGATCATAGAATCCTGACACGCCTACAAGTATGTACTCGTATCTGTACAACGCCTCAGAAGATTGGTCCACAAGTACCACCTTATGAAGATGTACATGTTTGATAGGACTTTCCCCGACACAAACGAAGCTTCTCTTCTCACGAACGTTTTCTTTCTATACCATCGTGAGTACTAAGGAACCGTCTTATTGATTTTGATATCTTAGAGAAGAATTCGAAAACGATAAACTGTCCGAGAAAAGATCTGAGGAAAATGATTACGCTTCTGACTATTGTCCCCCCAAATGCATTGTTGTAAGATGTAGTAAAATATAGGCTCAGAATAGAGAAACTCACATCGCACACACGACAGGAGTAATGAAGGCTGTGAGTTATGTTTGTATATACCCAATAACTCTTAAAATTAAAACTCAAAAAATTAAAAACTGAAAATATATAATTAATTATAATATAATTATCATATGGACGCGGTGTCTTTTCAGATTAAATGTTCTCACTGCGACATACACGCATGTGAAAATAACTTGGTCTTTACATGATGTACACTAAATTATCACACTGTGTTGATCTCCTGAATAAATTTACGGTATTAAAAGGCGACTGTCATTGGACAACACCTTACCTGATCATGTTCTCAATCCCAGCTTTGCTTATCTTTGATTGCGCCCAATACTCTTCGATGACATCTTTGTAAGCCTTGCATTGGGAAACCATCTTATCATACGTGGCCAAAAGAGCTGAAACATTGGCACGCAATCTGGCAAAGTCGTCACTGATCCGGTCAAGATCCACGCTCCTATTGACCATCACGTTGGCCATTATATCCGGGGCCGATGAAGACGTATTCCTCTTTTCAGTTTCGGACGAGATTCCTTCCAAAAGCGTAGACATAGCTTCCTCAAAATGTCCAAAATGTTCTTCAATGTCATGGAAAAAGCTTTCAGTGATGGAACATGTCTCTAAAGCATTCTTTATATAATTAACCTGCTCAGCCGCGATGTAAGCTGTCAAGCACCCATTTAAGTTCGATGAATTGTTACAAGATTTGGTACCAATCTGAATATTTGTTCGTAATGTTAGATCAAACCGGAAGTCATCGTATGTTCGGTACAGATCGGATGATGTGTTCAGGGCATCCTGAAAGATGGGGAAGTCTCCGGTGATGCCATTGCTAATGTAATATATATTTTCAAGCAGATCTGCAAGAGCTGAGACATTGTCTGTAACACTGGGGTCGATTTCATTAAGGAACGCCCAGGACTGCACGTAGAGAGGGTTCTCATCTGGGTTATCCGGCCAGCTACTGACGTCACTTTGGTCTTCAAGACGCGATGTTATGATGGATCTCTTCGACATCTCTACTTCAGATAGGATGAGATTGTAACGGGTCACGTTGCACTGGGTGGTGCAGTTTGAGAACTGAGGTGCCCTATCCATCTTGTCTGAAGACAATATAATCCATGGTTGATATTTTTCTAAAAACGTTTTGATATTCCCCTTTTAAAGGCCAACAACTTAAAAAGCAAGAACAAACGACACTTTAGTCAAAAAGAAAATGACGGTATAGATGGGAGTTTTTCTTTCATTTTTAGACATGATGACAATCAAGTATCCTTTCTGTGACTGAATTGAAAGGTTAAACAACACTATTCCAGTGGGTTAGCTGGATTTCACGCCCCTTTTAAACAATATTTTTTTATATATGACGACATGTCAACTAAATGTTGGAGAAAGCCGGACGAAAACAAAAGAGTAATCGTATAGGAACACTTAATTATAATGCAACATCAGCCCTACTAGAGTAGTATCTAAATGCAAAGTTTATTTTGTTATTTTTTTCTACTCAAGACAGACAATTAAAACTATGGGTGTCTTACCTAATCGATTCTTCACACATCCGATCAGCTCTGAAAATGTGCAGTAGGTTGTATTCGATGTACCTAAAACAATTCGCACATTGGTAAAAACGTGTGGGGCAATATCGCCCCTGTTAATTGTACTACTTATATATGAACGAGTCAGCTTAATGTTAAACAGCAGTGGGATGGGAGGGAGACTCAATTTAACGCCTTCTTGGTTTTGATCCCATGTCCAGATTCTGACAGCCATGGCCCGATGTTCAGCGCTGTGCTACCAGTGCTTACCAATTTTGTGAATACCTGGTGTCAGTGATCCATTCATATTATTTTTACCACTATTTTGCTTTTTACGCTCTTTGGAACATGTTTCGGCAGATAATAGAGACTGATTGACGTTGACGTTTAATGTTAGAACCTTGAATACACAACTCACTTGGCATGAAGAAATGTAGACATCCACATGCCTCCCGGACGTATCGAAAGAGATTGTTAATCATGCAGTTGGTGGTTGTGTACAGGGTACCAAGAGGTAGTTCTTTGAGATCAGTGTCCGCACAGTTTCCGTGAGGAGCAGCAAGACGCGATTCCTGTAATAATAATAATAACTTTCTGTATTTATCGAGCGAGTGACTTCCACGCTGTTTCAGCAGTGTACAATACTAACAGTGAGTGTCGCTTACCCGTGTTTCTTCTAAACCTATAGAGGTCCATGTACCGGATGAAACCGAAACTCCGCGACTAGTTGTCAGTGTCGGGAGCTCTGCCTGGTCATGGATGTAGATTAATGCGCCTATCGTACCACGTGGTCCTCGAATGTAGTCCCACGGTTCGAGCGACAGGACTAGTTTTAGGCCACCATCACTTCCTGTACAGATATACACAGTCGAGCGTATATGAAAATAATGAAACAGTTTATTACGCATTATTTAAGTATGTTTTTGTGATATTATTTACAAAAAGTCTGAAAAATGATTTTACTTTGACCCATCATGGGCATTCATAATAAGGTATATTATCAGCTTTGCCCATCGCAAAAATTGCTATATGGCTGAAATAGTGCCGACGCGAAGTTAAATATTGACTCACTCACTCACCCCTATCGCGAAAAAACAATCTCAGATCTTAGCGCGCGCTACGGCCACACATAGATCGGAGGACTTCCAAAGACAGGTCGAATCAGATCGACCTTTCACCCGACCAAATTGATCGCGAACATGGAAGTGGAAATGTGTTTTCTAATCACGCAACCTCGAAAAGGTAAACACGAGGAACTGCGAACGACAATTGCGGGCTGTATGACTGATTCCGTCAAAATCATTAAGCATCTCTCGAACATTTGAAAGGGAAAAGACTTTCCATATCCCGAGGGAAGTATTGCCAATAAATCTCGGCAATCTGTTTGACATTCCACAATTTCTTTGTTCAGTTTTCAAATTTTGACTTTTAAAAACCTAGTCTAAAATGGAACTAGTGCTGTAAATATTAAAAAAAGGTACTTTCTGATTGGCTGGTGCCGACTTTCTGTTAGTAATTCCAGGGAATGAAGAAAAGGTGATGATACAGAAGAGCGTTTGTCTCTTTGTGTGTTGTTTAACTCCGCACTCAGCAATATTTGAGCTATATGACGGCGGTCTGTAAATAATCATGGACCAGTGATTGACATCATGAGCATCGATCTACGCAATTGGGATACGACGACATGCATCAACCAAGTCAGGAAGTCTGACTACTTGATCCCGTTACGACAAGCACAGTCGCCTTTTACGGCAAGCATTGTTTCTACCCCGGATCTTCACGGGTCAATCAGCGACGTCATGATGAAAACTATATATTGTGTAACATTGGAATTTCATCAATAGCATACGAATAATTCGATAGTAAATGTATGAAAATAATCTTCACGATTTAAGTCAAATCAACGCAAAACGTAAATCGAAACTCACCCGTAAATTTGTGTGGATCGATGCTCATGATATCAATAACTGAATTGTCTGACCCAGATTCGATAATTTACAGACCGCCGTCATATAGCTGGAATATTGCTGAGTATGGCGTTAAAACACAAACAAACAAACACCAAACGAATCTACTGACGCATGATGGTGAAACTGACCTGAAATCTCCGTGTGGAGAGACGCGTTCTGGTTAAAGATGTAACACAACCCAGCGTCCGTGAGGGTAGGAGTGAAGTCATCAGGGCCACAGCGCTCATTCCTCCACTCGCACCTGTTGATACCGTCATACATATGCCATGCCAAATATACCGAAAATGCCATTGTTAAATATGCTACTATAATAAACAACCTCAAATATACAAAGCTGAATATATTTATAAATAGTATACATTATCACCTGAAAGATACATTTAAATTATACCATTTCAAACATACATCATCTCACTTATACAAACTATACTATCCTCAATTATACAACTACACAGTACTATTTTCAATATTATATTTTACCCATACAACATCTCGATCATACCAATATTTATCCCAAATATACCATTATAAAAACACAAAATAAACCATTTTCAAATATACCTTAATACTCATTACGCTCTGAAATATATCCTATGTTTACATAAACAATTCTGAAATATACATAAAGTAAACGTCACTTTATTGCATAATAAAAACGGGGAAAAGATGTTAAATGTACTTTTACAGACGGTGACATACTAATTTTTCGCGCTCCGGATGAGAAAATGACAACATGACTGGAGAGCAATCATCCTTATCCCACAACACATACTCTTGGTGTTCATTGAAAAGAGAAACTGCGTTTGAAAAAAGTTGAAAATCCCAACAAAATATTGAATATATACGGCAAAACAAGTATGCAAACTAAAAACCCGTTGTTTCAAGTTGGAAACAAATGCACGACATTCAAAACGTGAATATCAGGGTTTATTATATATTTATGTAAACATGTCATAATTTGTTTGAAAACGATGATAATATCATGAACTTGAATTTTGACCATCTCATTCAACAAGGTTAAGTTTATTATTTTATTTGTTAATGTGTTTTATCATCCAAAACTGGCTCCCACAGGAGATATCGCTTGGATTAGATCAAGCGATATCTACACTGCAATGAAATTACATCACAATGCTTTGCAGACAATTGTGACGTCACTGGCTACCATGACATCACAATCAAATGACATCACTAATGGCTCTGCTACTGAAGCTGTTTGCAGTACATTTTACACTGAAGTCACTGCTAATTACTGTCTACAAATTGAAAAAGTTGAAAGAATGATGTTGGATGATAAATAAAATCTCACCCTCGTGTCTTTTGATATCAAATATATCAACACTCGTTGATAAAAGTGGCAAAAATCCTCGGCAAGCCTCGGAATTTTTCCACTTTTATCAACTCGTGTTGATATATTTGATATCAAAAGACACTCGGGTGAGATTCTCTATATTCCTTGTATATGCAAATGAAATGAAGGATGGGTGTGCTTACTGTGAGATGATGTGGGTCTATCTCTTAGGTCTAACATTTCACATCTACAATTCCACTGATTAATGATTATGAATTAATTTATCCAAAGCATTCTGGCGTCCATGCGATTCCTTGAAAACTTAACTTGGTTTTGATGGTGATTTCTTCTCACCTATGTATGAACGCTTCTGCCTTGTGTGACGCTGCCGTGTAGAGGTCACGTGGTGAGATCCTGTCCAGGTATGGTCCCAAGACTTCCAGAAACCTCTTTGTCCTAATGTCTGTCTGTCCATCACTTGTGTCGGGAGAAGGGTTGATCAGCCTGTAGTACTCTGTAATAGCTTCGTATACAGTCGGAGAAGCATGATCCCCTTCCTCCATGGCGAACAAACTGCGTGTTCTGAAGAAGACACATATTTCATGGCACCAGGGACTTTGAGATATTGAGGTATTTCTACATCCAGCTACTGAAAATACTGTATGCGCGGGTCCGAATTTTAACTTCTAAAGACGTCTGTTTCAATGAAAATGTATTGACATCAAGTACCTGAAAATTTAAAAGCTAGGAATATTAAACAACAAAAATATTTTGTTATATCTTGAGTTTCCCTTGGACATTAAAATTGAAGTAGTTTCAAATATTCAGTCTTAGGGATGACACTCAGTTATTTTATAACATTATCCCATGGTCACTTTTCTATTTAGATTTGAACACACTCCGAGATTTTTGCACTTCACAGCCATGTATACCGTTAGTTTAATGCAACGAGCCTGTCAGTTACGTGTATTATATTATGAATACTGGTATCATTGCTTGATTGATCCTCTCTCGTGTCATTCCTGCAATATCGCTATAAACGGGAACAAAATCCACCTACCTCAGTGGGTTGACGTTGCACAAGGTCACGGCCGGAAATGCCATGCTGCCAGGGGAGACAATCCTCCTGCTGACTATTGTCGGATACATCAAATACGTGTGGATGTTGTCGTAGAGTTGCAGTGCCAGCCAGACCGTCACAGACAGCAGCGACAACACCCAGATGGTCTTAAATTGGATCAGTTACACGAATTAATCACATATGAGTTAATACTAATGTAATAGTAAATTCAAAAGACGTTAAAGAAAACTCGATTTTGTCAAATGACTGAATTAATTAATATACACATGCACAAAAGCTAAGCGCCACCATATTCATAGTCTTTTGATTTCACGTGTGGGAATCAGAAATACGAAATATGATGATGTATGACTGAACTAGGCTTCCATAGTTTCATGAACCCAAATTTGTCCAGATACCAGAAGGAAAGCATGCTTTACGTGTTGTTGCAGTTCTCCTACCCTATAAATAGTGAAATTCAAGTTTCAGACACGTGGTTGCATTTTGCTCCTGTATGAGATTCCCCTTCCAATAGAGGTTGAAAATCAACCATGGTGAGGAGAAAGTTAACGAACGCTGAAAGATGGCAAGTAATAGGCATGAAAAACGCTGGCATGTCATGCAGGGCCATTGCAAGACAAACGGGTCGTCATCACAGTGTTATCACTCGTTTGATTGTCAAACATGGTCAAACCAATGATGTCAATGACAGGCATAGGTCTGGTAGGCCAAGAAAGACATCTAACAGAGAGGATAGACGTCTTTTCAGGATAGTCAGACGAAATCCATTTGCCACTTCAACAGATTTAAGACTGCAGTGGATTACCCATCAGAGACTCTCGACGATGACCGTAAGGCGTCGCCTCAGAGCGGCTGGCTATAACGCCAGAAGACCAGTAAAACGTCCTCAACTGACTGAGAGGCACATGCGGAATCGTCTGATATGGTGTCGTGCCCGTAGTCGATGGAACTTGGCCAACTGGAGAAGGATCCATTGGTCTGACGAGTGTCGAATGCTGCTACGAACTGTTGATGGTCGAATACGTGTTTGGAGGCAACGTAACACTCGTTTTACACCCAGGGACATCCAGAAGATGTGGCGGGGGTCTGTCATGATATGGGGTTGTGTTTCCTTCGGCTGCAAACTTCCGCTGGTGACAATTCGTGGAAACCTGAATGGCCAACAATACCAAGATGCCGTTCATCGTCCAGTGGTAGTCCCTCATTTTGACAAACATCCTCTTCAGACAAGACCTGTTTACATGGACGACAATGCTAGACCACACAGATCTCGGGGAGTTTTGGCTTATTTGCGTCAAGAAGCTATTGCCACTCTTCCTTGGCCGGCCTGTAGTCCGGATCTTAATCCGATTGAGCATCTCTGGGACATTCTTGGCCGGAAAATCAGACATCGTGATCCCCCAGTTCAAAATCTCGCTGGACTTGAAGCCGCACTTCATGAAGAAGGGATCCGTTTGCTTCAGAGAAGCATTCAACGACTTGTAATGAGTATGAGGCGTAGGGTTGAAGCTGTGGTCAATGTCCGTGGATCATACACACGTTACTGAAGTTTCTGTCTTGCAATAGACTCTGCACTCTCTATGGTGTCTATGTGACACCTGATATGGTCTGCTGATATCATGACAGTTACATGACAAAAAAAATGTTTTTCAATGTTTTATAATCCTTCAATTTCTGGTCTTCGGTAAAATTCCTTTCTACTCATATTCTTTTGGAACACAATTGCAAGATAAACTTGCTTTGGGACAACTTTTGCATCACATGAGGTTTACATATACCGCTTATAACAATCGTAAATCTCGTTATAGTAGTCATCATTAAGTGCCAAAAGTAACAACTAACAAATATGGTGGGTGGCGCTTAACTTTTGTGCATGTGTTTATGCCATGTCACGATTGCGTTGTCTTTATGAAGGCACATCTAGTCACTGGGCACTGATGTCCCAATGGACATAGACGTTGCAATTCGAACAGCTGTGCAACAAGCTGATAATTGTGGTGTCGAATCCCAGAGTCGCCCTGACTTTGATGCTTGGTTTGTTAGCTCCATGCCCATGCTCATAGGTTTGAACAAGGTTATGAAGGTCTACGACCTCGAACATCGAACTGACAAGCAGCGATAAACTAGCTCTTTCTTATTTGGACAAAGTTCAGATGTTTGTTGCTCAGATATTTCCTGTGAGTATGGAAGGGGTTTTGTCGCGTATATTTTCATAATGCAACTGTCGTTTGAGAAATCCGACTGTGAAGTAATCAAGAAGTCTTTCACGCAATTACCTTCTTATTATTCCACTGTCTCTTTCAAATATCTGTTTCACTCCAGATATGCCGACAATTTCGGCTATATTCCCGGTTAGCTGCATCTTGAAACTGGAAAATGTTCAATAAATATTATGTAATTTTATAGAAAATGTTAATTTTATACATTATGTTAAAAAATGGTATATATTTGTGGTATATGTGTTACACCCAATCAAACATGATTAAAAGCACTTTCTGAAATATAAGGTGTTTGAGTTGAGTCCTAAATGAAATACAAATTAACATATATATCATGAAGTACTTAACCTGTCATGATTGCAGTCTAGACGACATAGTCTAGACATTGTAGGTATAAGAAGAATCCATATGTTACTTTTGAAAGCGTTGAAATGCGTTGTTTTGTTTGCATTGAATACTATTCTTTTGTTATTCACTAAACCACAAAGAAGTAGAGTCAGGTTGGTTTATCAAACGTTGCGTAAATAAACACGTGCGCACGTAATGGAAAAGCGTGGCAGTTGACATCAGGTACAACAATTTATTCAATGGGCAATGGATCGGCTCCAAGTTATTACACGTTAAAAGCTAGTTACATATACTAGGAACAATGTTTAAGGGAACCCTGCTATTTCAGCTATAAGAAAGAAATGACCATCTATGTTGCTCGAGACACAGTCACTGAACGCGTACGGCAAATTCGTTTACACTTTGCACATTGCACATGCAAAACATGCCGTCGCTGGTGACACATCCTGGTCACTGGACTGTGCCAACCAAATACACGTCCCAAACACATGGTTCATTGGTCAGGTAATGCATAATTGTGCGCAGTTGCCAGACACTTTGGTAGATCTAAAATCGTGAGGTGATGTCGGCAAAAGAGTGGGGTTAAGATTAGGGTGGTAGAGGAAGGCATGGAAAGACAATCCCCATGCAGGATCGATATGTACGCACTATTGCGTTGAGGAACACATTCATATCTGCACCAGAACTGAGGGACGACTTTCGGGCTGCCACGGGAATCCGACTTTCGACGTCAACGATACAAAACTGTTTGAACACTGCGGGTCTGATATAAAGACGCCCTTCGAGAGGCATGCGTCTGACTGTGGCACACAGGCTTCTAAGACAACATTGGGCACAGCATTTTCGAGGTCGGCATTGGAGATACATGTTTTCTGACGAATCAAATTTACGTTTACGCTTTGCAGATGGTAGACAACGATTTTGGAGACAGCGTGGAGAAAGGTACTATCAGGCAGCAGTCCAAGAGCACGATAGGTACGATGGTGGCAGCATCATGTTCTCAGCAGGCGGTTCTTATTATCATGCAAGGGAACATGGCCTGGCATCGTTATTATGTGGACCAAATGGTACGCCCAGGGGTAATCCCGTTTGCCCAGCGCATAGGCCAGACCATTCAGTTCCAGGATGGCAAAGCACGGTTTTGTTCAGGTGAACCCTTGACTTGCCTTTGCATGCGTTTTGTGATGGGTGCCACCGGTGGGGCAGGATACGCTCACTTTTTTCTGGAATACCTTGTATCTTCACTTCTAATTATTCCCAAACAAACGCTTATGGTGCATTGGTTATTGAATGATGATAATTATATTTTGAGCAAATGTAAAGTCTGCATTGCTATAGAGAATCAAGATCCTTTAGTTATCAGTAAGTATTGTGTCTGTTACAAATGTGCATGGTTCACTGCAAACTTAAGAACAGTTCTATAGGTGATATAACGTCAACAGAGCATGAAGAAGACATGTAATCCTCACACATAGATACACCTGGACATATTAGGCACCACGTCTTATATATTCCTCCTTTAAAATAGCCATTTCAAAAATTGCATCCTGTATGTATTTTCTGAGTGAATATATTCACTTTTGTTTATGCAGTGACATACACATTGATATACAGAAATCGAAATCGATCATGTGGTCAAATGACAATCTGTTGTCCAACTGATTTTCAGTGAGCCAATCATATACTTTTTATCGCTACTTTGCCATTGACGCCCAATGACGTTTTATATAAACACAATTTGTAAATGTTCACTGGAAATACTTAATTGTCTACCCTTTGAATTGCTTCAACATATGATATGACTCCGCACTTGTGACCATCTGGAGAAACATACAGTGGTCTTATATATTCAATCAAATGAGATCAATGCCAAATGTCTACTACTAGTTATTTTCAAATCATACGCCGTTCGGGACATACGAAAATAAGGAATGAGTGGCGCTTACCATTTTCCAGGTGTATACATCAGAATATTAACATGACTTACGTGCATTCAAGGTGTTCCTTCAGCCCCAGGCACTGTCAAACGCCCCCAATCACGTCTTATATACGTGTTCATCCATCGATATACCCAGCAATGCAGCCATGAGTGCAGGTGTCCAATGAAATATAATCAAACACCTGATAGAATTATATTTCAGCACAGGCAAATGTCCCCAAACAGTCGCACGTGTTCTTCTGTACTTATCACTTGTATCTAATTCCATCATCGAACGGTTGATTCTGGCTGCTGTGTCTGCTCTTTAATCATCTTATTACCATTTATCATCTTATTACCATCTTATTGTCAGCATTCATCGTAAGTTGGGCTTCTTTCAAATAGGATCAAATTGCCAATCATGGTGGATTCTTAGTTAATTGATAGCAGTCATACATTTACATGACCAATCAATGGTATGGATTTGTCTATAAACAGTTTATCTGGGGAATTCAATAAAATGATTTTACCTCTTCTTGCAAACATATTGCAACTCGTTCTTTGCTTCGTTTTATCATGAGAAGAATCTCGAAATTTTAAACTAATTCCATCGATATCAACATGATGCAGACCTATAAACAGCTCGATTGTAGATCACATCAAACGGTGTAATCCCTAATTATCAGATATATGGCACAAGTTGTGAAGTCAATAAACATGCAGATGTTTTCCTAAACTTACTGAAAAAGGTTTTTTTCTTTCTCTTTCAAGGCTTTCAAAACGTTTTATGGAAGACATTTCCAACTTTGACGCATCGGTGATCAAAATTATGTACGATGTAGATCCCTTTTTGACATGTGCTGTTCCTTACCCTGTTTCTCTCGGTTAATCATTTGACTTGCATTTGCATTTATAGACACATGCGCATGATTTGGTCGGAATCGCACTAATGTGGATTATGGAAAGGATTTAATAATAATAATAATAATAATAAGTGCCGTTTTTCACATTTGAGCAAGAATGATGAGGTCGCATTGCATTTACCCTATAATTTTTGCAATTTTGGAAGGATATTTTACATTAGTGACTGATATGTAATATACTCAGTCTGCAAAAAATAAAAATAAACGCAAAAGTAGTAAAATCGTAAATATCTGACATGTACAGAGTGTTGTCGACATCAATACAAAATTAATACCAAATATGAGTTGGTCATTTCTGCGTGGATTGATCCATGAGATTGATTTGTTGGAAAAAATGAGGAACTGCAGAAGATGGAAACATCGCAAAAACACAACCACATGAGAGCCTGGCGCCGAAACACACCAATATGACATGCACGTGCAACATGATTTGTTAGGCTATAAAATCGTTGGGTTTTCATTTGCATGCAATCACAATCCTACAGCAGGAGAACAGTGAAAACATGCCAAGCACCATTACAAGACTGTGCAACCATTATCGGACACACGGGACAACACGTGACCTTCCCATATCTGGTCGACAACGTATCACAATTAGAGCACATGACAGATTCATACGGCTACGTCACTTACCTGAAAGAATCACCACGGCAACCTCTACAACTACGGCAATGCCAGAATTGCGTCAGATTTCTGCACAGACAGCGAGGAACTAGAGGACCAGTTCGAGGAGTTAATTTGACGGACTGCGACTGCGACGTCAATGGTGTCAAGGTCAAAGAGTATGGCCACAATTTGATGCACTGGATCATCCACTGCAACAACCTCCGATAATTGGCACAAGCACTGCAGGCAGTGTGTGTGAACATTCCCCAGGCCACAGTTTGGGATTTGATTGCTTCCACGAGATGACGATGCCAGTCTGTTTTGGACTCTGATGGTGGTAATACAAGATATTGAGAACAGATGACCTTCATCTTGAATATCGGTTGTTTCATGTGTGCCATACGGAACCTGGGCAAATGAGAATGATATGTGCCAATATTGGACAATCGATAACCAGGTGTTGATTTTTTCATATTTTTTATAATAAACATCTAAAGTCATTTTTAGTTTATATAACATAGATCAAGGAATTTCGCATCAAAATCGTTTTGGAAATCTCAGTAAAGAGTTGACGACAAACATCTCACGCAAGAACGTTTATGTCTGTAAAACAAAACACCAAAAAACATCCGAAAATTTGCACGTTCTTCATGCAGTAGCGCCACACACATGCGTACGGTATCATTCCTATCTTGACGCTTTCGAGGAAGGTCGATTAATCTCTGTGGACCATTATCTCTGTTAATCTTACTGATTCTGCTTATCATACAGATGTGATTTACTTGATTGCATTCATTGTTGTTTATGAACTAGTCTACGTGCTGTTGGCATGCTGGAAACTTGCCGTGACGAATATATTCTATGTTTCATAGTCTGTATTTAGCCAATATCGCCAATAGTTTCGTAAACAACGTCAAAACTGGGGTTATCGTTGCTGGTCACGTGCCATGTTTTCTGATGAGTCCCGATTAAAGTTCCACTTCCGTGATGGGCGTGGTCTTGTCTGGCGATGTCGAAATGAACGTCAAGCCAATGTCAACCTGAGACATCATGACACATTTGTCGGTGGATCGGTTATGGTGTGGGGTGGCATCACTATGACTGTGCGAACCCCACTCTATATTGTGCAAGCAAGGGTCATAGGACAGTACTATCAGGACGACACACTGACACCCTTTGTTATCCTGTTTGCGATGCGTATGAGTAGACGTTTGTATTTCAGGACTGTAACGCCCGTGCTCACTGTGCACGAGTCGTTAATCCTCGCCTCCAGCAGCACAACATCCATAGAATGCCATGGACAGCAAAGAGCCCGGCCAGACTTTTCTTTCACTGAACACTTCTGGGACATGATATGGAGATGTGTGCGTCAAAACGTCATAGGACGCCGACGACGTAGGCTGAACTGCAAGGGGAGTGGGACAGACTACCTCAAATCGCCATTGTGAGATTCGTCAAGTAAGTCAATGTTTGAAATATTGTGGCTGTAAATAACTAACTACCGATTCAAAACGTCAACTAGATATTTTCCATCTTACGCCTATCGTCCTCAAGATCGTTGGTGGCCATAACAACTACTGTCATACTTAACTACCGGTTTTAATATGGTCCAATTCGTTCATTCTTATCATACAAGTGAACCATTACTTTGAAATAATATCCCATAATCGAGTAACTTATTTTGGCTTATTAATTCTAAGATCCGGGGAAAATAGGTCTTCAGCAAGCCATGCTTGTTGTAAAAGGCGACTATGCTTTTTGTAAGAGGCGACAAACGGGATCGTATGGTCAGGCTCACTGACTTGGTTGATGCATGTCATCGATACCAATTGCGTGGATCGAACCTCATGATGTCAGTCACTTGACTGTCTGGTCCCGACTCGATTATTTACAGACCGCCGTCATAATGCTGAAATTGTGCTGAGTGCGGCGTTAAACAACAAACAAACAGACAAACAAATGTTGATTGTAATACTGCTAAATGGTTACATCGTGAGTATTGTGTGTCCGGAAATATAAAAGTTGATGGGTCCGTCGACATACAACTGAATAGAGCCGTGGTCTGTTGGAATGACATTCATGTTGTCCGCCCACTAAAAGGGTTTTACACGGAAAACAGGTCATACACACTGAAGTCAACCCATCGAGCAGATTCCTTCACGGCACGTCTTCAATACAGCTTTTCCTATGGAAATCCCAATTTTCGGACCTAAAAGACAGCATACATGTATTGTTTCAGTTCGAAGCCTTATCTGTTCCTTCGGCTTCAACCATTGATCATATTTAAATATCCTCGTCAAACGTGTATTTGACGTATGTATATCCATAGGGTGTCAATATACGTTGTGTTGAATACTGATGTGTACACAATAACTTCTTCGAAAACATAAACACGCAAGAGAGTAGACGTAAAAGTTTTTATTCATCTAACATTCATTGATATCCAAAGCTCATTTAATCACAGTGCACGGGTGATTTCTTATATAAATACGTAGAAGCTCCTGTGTTTGTCTAACGAAACTCACACAAACTGGAAACATGACACCATCTGTTACTGATTGCTGAAACACGCCATACATTTTATATCGATTTTGAATACTACAAAGCCAGACATCTACAGTACTGTGCACATCACTAGGGCAGGACTGCTTACCCTTTACGGGAACACCTGGTGTCATAACTGATTTTCAGTGATCCATTCATATGCTTTTCAAAGCTATTTAGCCTTTTACACCCAATGGAATCTATTTCGTCGGACAATCGAGACTGATTATCCGCTGTCGTTATATCTTCAGAAAAACTAAAGGTGTACTTATAATTACCATGTAATAATAGATTCATGAATGAGTATTCGTAGAATCCGACAAATTATGTTCGAGTTTAAACTGTATAACCAAAAATTACAGTGGGCTATCCATTCATATAAAACGTTTTGGTCCTGGCAGTCCAATATATTATCATATAAAAATATGTCATGCTTGGTGCTTCACGAGGGTTAAAACTCTAATCCGACATCTGTCTAATCCGACATTCTTCCCTAGTCCTGAATAGTGTCAGATTACACAGAGTCTACCGTACATATCTAAACCTGATATGAACTCGTGGTTTTTTTTTAAGTACATAATGCTATCATGTATGATATAACAAAAATGGGATGTTAAATGACACATGGAGAGTACAGAAAATGACATGAAACTTGCATACTAAATGACAATGAGTTTGATATGTAACGCATATAAACTTGAGATCAAAGAAGGCCGAAACGCGTAGTGACATGCAACCATGGGGATACAAATGGAATCATGGCATGGACTCCACGACTTGCAATGATATTCCTGAAACTATTAAGAACATCAAGTTGACTTTTAAAGCATAATATACGAATAAACATATTTGAATCTGGATCATGTGATTAATCATTTACAAGAATAAAGTTTCAAACAATATGCAATTCGTAGATTTCAAAAAGCAAATGCATACAAAACGGATACTAACTAATCGCTACAATAATCATATGGAATCGTTGACCTATTGTGTACAGTAATATTAACCAATAAAAACTGTTATCACTAGCTCTCTCTTTTACAACATTTAACTGTCTATACACTAGTATTACTTCAACTATGCAAGCAAGAATTCCTTTAATTCTTTTTAAACGCCCCACAATACATTGCACATGTGATCGTTATTCAAAGCTATGGTAATCCTAATATTTTGTTGTTTCGATTTTATTTCACGGCGAGGGACTACAGCTATATTTTCTTTCACGCTACTTCACACACAATGAAAGTTCGCCGCCTCCTCTCACAACGGGTATAATGCACACGCAACACACTTGTACACATGACCATTTGTAGGGTAAAAGCACTGTCATGCTGTTTGGGGAGTTATCACAGAGCCACTGTGATCTGTCAGCATATATTTGATATGTGACTCCGAATTCTGCATATTACAAAACCAGGATAGAGAGGAACTGCATTTTATGTTTTGGAATCATTAAAAAAGGCTTTGTTGTTTTCAATCTGAGACTGCATAGATGTTATCTCAAACATTGAAAGTACTTTCATAAACCAAACGTGTTACTATTGCGAATTATAACATGTAATATTTCGACGTTTCACGAAGGACATGAGGGAATAAAATTATGCATGCTAAAAGGGAAAGATTAATATTGTATAATTTCGTTTCTATGATCTTTACTTTTCAATATTATTTTAAAAGGCACATAATTCGTCTTCGAACTCGTGTTCATAGATTTTTTAAGGTTTAACGTCAACCTCATTTGTTGACCCGCGCCACAAATATTGACGTCATCGTGTGTTCACATATTACCCAAAGCTCGGCGTAACCTACCCAGTTCTAAGTGTAGATGGAATATTAGAAAATAACGAACTATGCATTAGTATGTACAAAAAAGGGCAGAATATTTTAACGTTTTGGGCCTTATTTCCTATGTGAAATATAACTCATATGAAATATAATATACAAAAAACTGACGCTTCACCTTTCAACATATCACGTTCACAAAATGTATGAAAATTATTCTGTGCCTGGGGATAAATTGGTGTCATCTTGTCCTCAGAACATACTTGGATATTTTCAAGCATTAAAATGTCCACCTTCTTTGTTCGCTACACTCGGAGCTCCCCCGTGTACATTATTCATTCTTGTCGGAACCATTCGACTCCCGTTTCTTCAGGTCACTCATCATAGCGTCCTTTTGGCCCTCTTCAACCTCTGGTTCTCCTCTGAAACGTCACGCAACTGTACTGAAAGCCAGCATATGTACTGTGTCATACTCCTTGTGTTATCTGTATGAGAGTTATCTACCCTGGTTCAAGGAGACGTAATTGTTCTATATTGATTTGTATTATTCCTTACCCTTTCTTAAGGGTTTAAAGTATGAATTACTTATCCTACCTTATTTCGGCTTTGGATGATGTAAGATACGTAATATATCTGCCAAAAGTTCCCATTTATTCTCACTGTTATGATAATTATGCATTAGAAATACAATTGTTACGATAATGTGTATAAATTACGGATTGAAACAGTACTATCAGAAACTTGGACCTTAAAAATGGGGAATACCAAGGGCAGATAACTCTCTTTTGTTTGTCAGCATGCATATGGATGGGATGATGGGGTGATCGGAGGGAGAAGCATGCAGGAATGAGAACACTATCAGGCATAAACACAATCAATGACAAAGCGAACAGCCATTTAAATGCTGTGTACAGTCCTAAAAAGCTGTATTCATTTATGCTCAGTAATGTTACCTGTCAAGTCATGTTTCATATAAAAATATGCCAGCTGACATAACCAGAACTACAACCAGTGCGAATCTCAGATTCAAACCTACGATCATACTTAGGGATATTCTTTGGTGGATGGAGTTGGCTGGGGTTCTGTATGGCATTATTTCAGCTATAACTGCTAAACCAGATATTTGATTAAGGTTAAACTTCTTTTTGTTTGTTAGTAAAATTGTAAAACAGCAGCTACACACACACCCACCCCAACCCCACCCCACCCCACCCACACATCCACCCACCCACCCCAAACACACACACACACACACACACACACACACACCACACACACACACACACACACACACACACACACACACACACACACACACACACACACACACACACACACACACACACACAACACACACACACACACACACACACTTTTTGCAAGATATCACAACCAGTCAATCGGATCGGTCGCTAAGTGGCGTTATATTGTACAGTATCTATTGATGCAATGGTTGTTTCTATGTTTCCGCGTCATGTTGGAATTTCAAAAATGAATACGTATCTGTTCATCATTGAATCTTCACTTACTTTTTGCTTTCTTTACGATCTGTGTTCTTTCGACGCTTCACGATTACAACGACAATGATGACTATGATGACAATAGCGGCAACAACACCAACAACAATACCGATAATTGGTCCAATCCCGGCATCGTCTGAGGCAGCTGAAAGAAAGCAGTCCCAGCTGTGACAGTACCGGTAAAACCTGCATGAGTATCATATGGACAAAAGGACGAAGGCACTATATTTTTACTTCATAGTGTATGAAACCAATACCTTAATTACTGTTTTACTGAGCATTGGTAATTTAATATCAATACTGGATAGCATTACCGGAAAACCGAATCACTTTCAACTCGCATTATTATTATTATTATTATTATTATTATTATTATTATTATTATTATTATTAAAAATCAGTAAATGTAGCAATGAGGGTTTGGATGATCATTCGGGGAACACACCGAATTTGATTGATGATAACAAATGCAGGGATTTCAGGAAGGTTAAGGTGTCATGGGATGTCAATGCATGCAATCAAATTAGTAGACAATCCACAAGCCTATGTGTACTGGTGGAGTGTTGCTGAAATAAAGCCATGGATTAGCAAACATACACTGATATGCGACTAGTTGTGATTTGTAAACTACAATACACATTATTATATTTCAAACAAAAATGCGATCCTGCTTTACAAGGGAAGACTAAGACTAAATAAAAGCGACAGAACCCTTCCCACAATCATCGCAAAGCTGTGCTTGTCAGAGTCAATGAACGATACCGACCCTATCATAAGCATCAAGTATCAAGTAGTGTTGATAACAGATGTTCGCAAAAAGATGATGGTATAGTGCCCTACCTTGGCACCCATCACAAACACATTCAAAGGCAAGACAAACTTTCTCCGGAGTGCACAAAGTAGGGAATTGCATTTGACATATTTTTGGTCATTGATGCGTAACATTTTCAAATGTACTTAACATATCTACCATCACATACTGTGAAAGTTTTACTGAGGCCTTGAATGATGTAACCCTGATCAAACATTTTTAGCAAGCATCCAGAGCACCCATAACAATCAAAGCACCCAATGACAAAATATTCAACCTTGTCTTTAAAACTGCACTCCCTGTTTAATATCAATATGTTTTGTCAAGACTATATACTACGGCAGGATATCACGCTTGTCTTAGAATGACAATGAACTGTATATATTATTACCCTTTCTTACCCTAAAATTATGCAGTTCCTAATTTTAAACTAAAAGCGAAGGGCGATTCCTTAAATTTACATATTCCCGAGGCAAGAGAGTTAACTAACTTTAAAAGTCCAGTTTCCACGTGGAAACTGGACTTTTATAGTCAGTTAATTCACTTGCCTCGGGAAGATGTAAATTCTACCATGAATTGGGAAATTACTGGATTCTGATTGGTCAATCAGAGGCTATTAAATCACAATAAACCCCCTCTGATTGAAACAGCTGGTTTGACGGCCGCTTCACAGCGGAAGCTAATATTCATAGAATAGTACTATTTTCAGTCATTGTCGGTAGGCATATTTAAATAATTATATCTACAATTACAGGTTACAAAATGCACAGATGCGGTTACTACAATATTCAAAGGATGTGTGGCAATACATTTTGTGCAGAAAAACACGACAGAAATCAACAAAGGGAATGTATTTACGTTTTGGAAACAACAGAGAGCTTGGAATTTTGGCGCTTTTCTATATACGACTCATATCTATTGCGTCACAATGAGCGATATGACGTCATAATGGTGGCGTGCGATGTAGAGCGAAAGCCTTGCAAAGCTTGCTTTGTTTCCTTGGGGATGCCCACCTCATGTTTGCTTACCAAGTTGCCGTGCTTATATGCTTTCAATGCCTGTCAATGCCGAGTGAAGTATTACGGTGTAAACAAACTGCTTGAGGAAATACAGCACCATATCTTGTTCGGTGATTCCGTAATTCAGATCGATAACCCACTCAAAACACAGAACTCAACCCATGCCGCTTCACTCAGTATATTTGCTAACACCAAAGAGTTCGCGTTTTATTTAGTCATGGTAGAATGGAGATAAACATACTGTGTTTTCAATGTAGAGCTAGGTTACCGCGCTAAATTTAACATTTGAAACCTCACGCTGCGCGTTCGGTGCCAAATTCAATTTAGCGGGGTTAAATCTACAGGTAACCCAGCTCTACATTGAAAACACAGTATGTTTATCTCCTAATTGAAGGGATGGGGCTTTTGCAACCCTCGTCACCGGATCGTGAAATGGTTTTGATAAATAAGAGAAGAACATTTTATTTGGCCATAATATTTGTGGCAACAACATAAAATATTTCAAGTTTCACTTACTTCAAGCTAGGAAATAGAACTTCAATAATCCGTGTATGGCCATCGAACGTGACAGAACTGAAATATTGTTCCAAGCGCGTTAACCACATTCACTCACTCACTGACTTTAACCATCCCATCCATCCAGTGTCTGTTCATCCGCAAACCAAGCGCACCACCACAACAATTATGTTACACGATCTGTTACTTCAAAACATCATTGGCACTTACCACTACACTGCGCAGACACTGCGGGCATCCACTTGGGGTCACCGAAGTCAGCGGAACAAACGTAGGTTGTGTCGCCGCTGAGGGAGCCGCCGTTACGACATCCGGTGAGGGTGACGGTGTTGCCGACTGAGTAGTTATAGTTGTCTTTGGAGGCGTGTGTAACATCAGGCAAGCCACACGACAAAACTGGAATGTGAAACATACGGAATATTAAACTAACAAAATTATACAGGACCTGCCCGTCATGGTTCCCTTTATGACAGCAGTATTAATTGTCCGCCTCATGGGTCCAGTGGTAGAGCGTGCGCCCGGAGAACGGAAGGTCCGGGGTTCGATCCCCGACCGCGTCATACTAAAAGACGATAAAAGATGGTACTTGTTGTTACCCTGTCTGGCGCTCGGCATTAAGGGGCTAAAACAAGGACTGGTCGGCTCGGAGTCAGCATACTGTGTCTGAGTAGGGTATTCATGTTAAACTGCGGCATGGTATCTCAGTGAGCTAGCACTATAAATCGGCATCAGTCCGGACTAGTACAAGCAGCCACACAAACACACACACGTACATGCACGTCGCTATATAAGTGCAATAATCTTTGACGCGACGTTAAACCCCATTTCACCTCACCTCACCTCACCTCCTTCTGAACAAATCACGGTGGCAAGTACATGGAGTTACTTATTGGACGGTGATTCAGAAACACGTGATCGTGATATAGTCGGAATCGTACAAAATATTTGCTTTTACCTGAGATTCCTTTTGTTATTATCATGGCAAAGAAAAACCGTAACTGAAATTATCCAAGAGTGTCTATAACAGAATATCGCTTTGTGATAATGCCACCTTCTGGGATATGTACATAGATTTTCGCCAGTACACTCATGCTTTCAGTCTCTGTGATTTGCTTGGTTGTGTGCCATCTGTAGAGATCCGTAAAGCGTTGGTTATGGTAACATTCACATTAGCCTGGTCCACACTTAGTTACAGGCCGCGGTAATACAGCTTACTGACCGTGGCGTTTAACAACATTCAATAGCTCACACATTATACTATCAAGAAAACGTACCGACTGTACTACTCCAGCAACAGTTCGCTTGATTATGTACCCATACTCGCGGGTTTCACCAAAGTGGCACATGTCCAAGATCTGCATCAGCTTTCCCCACACACCCAGCTGACACGCGGTGATATTATATATACAAATAAATACTTGGGTTCGAAACCTTCGGTAGTCTATACGGACTTTGGCAACGGCCTCAGAGTTCGAGTCCCGGGTCCTCGCCAAGCGTAATCAAACGTTTTGCTCCACGGAAATTCCATTAATTTGCCCTCTTTTGAAGTCAAAGTATTAAATTACAATAATTATTACAATTCAGTCTTGATCATCTTAAGGCATATGGGCGAACCGTGCATTGCCACTCACAGACGCCACGTTGTTTTCCAGCTGACAGAGTCAATATTGATCATGTGACGAGTCAATATTAGACGTAAGTGACAGTAACGTCATTAAACGAAGTCCAATAGGGTCAGTTTTCTATTGTCAGGCCAGTGTTGGGATGTACTGTTTTGTCTGGGTAACCAATAAAATTTAAAGATTGTTAACAGACGTTAAACCAAACTCTACTAAAATACATTCACCGTATAACTCTACAACACGATAAAAGAAAACATAAGCATTGCATAGATTCTAAGCAGTATTACATAGATTCTAAGTAGTAGTAGTAGTAGTAGTAGTAGTAGTAGTAGTAGTAGTAGTAGTAGTAGTTAAGTAGTAGTTAAGTAGTATGCATCTTGTCAGCACACAAGGGCCTGTCGGGTGGATTAGTGGTTACAGCGTTCGCTAGTCACGCTGAAGACCCGAGTTCGATTCCCGACATGGGTACAATGTGTGAAGCCCATTTTCTGGTGCCCCCCGTCGTGATATTGCTGGAATATTGTTAAAAGCGGCGTAAAACTAAACTCACTCACTCACTGTCAGCACACAGTCCACTTACCTGGTCTCTGAAAACTCTGTAACTCCGAGAACCAGCCTGCCGCCATTTTGGTCGCATTTGCAATATCTCTATTTCCGGTGACCGTGTAGTCGAAGCGGCATTGTGCATTGTCTCCACATGTGTGGTCAAGGTCTACTCTTGAGAAGCCCGCCCCGCTGGGTATCTGGGGTTGGTTGTACGATGGAACAAAACTGTCATCAGCCTCAGTGGGATTTTTGAACATTGATTCGACGTTTGGTGCTTTCCCTGAAACAGTGTGTCGAAATATAGTTCCTTGTGTCCAAACGTGGTCCAACCATGCACACCAACACCAACACGGTATTTTCTGCAACAATTATATTTTCGTTTCTGGAAATCCCACAACACGCGCACACTAACATCCACAACACAGGACACCAACATTCACAACACAGCATACCCACACCCACAACACAACACAAACATCAAAACCCTCACCCACAACATACGCACACCAGAATCTACACCCACACCCTCACCCACATCCACACCCACACCTTCAACACAAGCATACCAACATCCAAACCACACCCACATCCACATCCACAATACACGCACACCAACATCAACACAATTAACACACGCACACCAACATCCACACCCACAGCCACACCAACACCAACACCAACACCAACACCAACACCAACATCCACAACACACGCACACCAACATCCACACCCAGAACACCAACATCAACACCTTCAGCACACGCACACCAACATCCACACCCACACCAACACCAACATCCACAACACACGCACACCAACATCCACACCCACAACACCAACATCCACACCTTCAGCACACGCACACCAACATCCACACCCACACCAACACCAACATCCACAACACACGCACACATGTTTCGAATATGTATACACCTGGTTAATATTCATTATATAATGTATTTTTACTGAATTCAAACATAGTACATATTTTGAAATCATACCATGGATGATGACATGTAGTGTTTAATGGTGCTGTTGTTTGTAATACCGAAAAGTGTTCATATGTCCTGTTATGTTACATGTTCATTTCGGTACACATCTGGGCGGTAGGTTTGTTTAGTTGTTAAAGCGTTCGCTCGTCAAGCACAAGGCCTGGGTACAAGTGTGAAACTCATTTCTGATGTCCCCCGCCGTTACATTGCTGGAATGTTGCTACAAGCGGCGTAAATCTATAATCACTCACATCGTGCCTGCTGTATTTATGGAGCTCTATATACTCAGTAAGACACAAATGTACGCACATGTCTTGGCAAACTGTTGGTACACAATCTGTGGTGATGATGCAATGTCAATGTTGTTTCCACTCCTTGGGGTGAAGTCGTCCTCGACAACGCCGTTCCACGTCCCCATTAGCCCTTGGGTCCTGTTCTGAACACAGACGTACAACAGCCATAAAGAGGATGAGGCATATCGTTATCTAAAGTAGTACACATAGCACACAAACATGTAGCTCATGGTGAGGTGAGGTGAAATTGGGTTTAACGTCGCGTCCAAGATTATTGCACTTATATAGCGACGTGCGTGCACGTGTATTTGTGTGTGTGGCTGCTTGTACTAGTCCGGACTGATACCGATTTATAGTGCTAGCTCACTGAGATACCATGCCGCAGTTTAACATGAATACCCTACTCAGACACAGTATACTGACTCCGAGCCGACCAGTCCTTGTTTTAGCCCCTTAATGCCGAGCGCCAGACAGGGTAACAACAAGTACAATCTTTTAACGTCTTTTTGTATGACGCGGCCCGGGATCGAACCCTGGACCTTCCGCTCTCCGGGCGGACGCTCTACCACAAGACCACGGAGGCGGTCTGTAGCTCATGGACAATATTAATAACTTCGTGTTCACATATACAACTGTAGCTTCGGCGTAATCAAATAACACATGCAGCACCGAGATGGCATACATAATTTCCTGATCGAATACACATACATACATACATACATACATACATGTGTATATCCTTGATCCCATATATTAATCCGTGAGCAAAAATATAAACCCGTCTTCAGATATATTTCATTTCGTCATCACATACACATACAAAGTGAGTGAGTGAGTGAGTATGGTTTTACGCCGCTTTTAGCAATATTCCAGCAACATCACGGCGGGGGACACCAGAAATGGGCTTCACACATTGTACCCATGTCGGGAATCGAACCGGGGTCTTCGGCGTGACGAGCGGACGCTTTAACCATTAGGCTACCCGACCGCCCCTACACATACAAAGAGCCGGGATTACAAACTTCTTTCAGTGACAATTAGAAGTTGGTGTGATGAAGTAAGACGAGTTCTATTGATGAACAAACTTCTTTAATACAATTAGTGCGACGTTTCGGTGTAGATCCTAACACCATTATCAAGCAAGTGGTGGATAGTGCTAAACAACATAGGTATATATACTTATTAACATCAATGTTTGTACAGTAAATTGATTGATGGACACAGAGAGCTGATTAAGATAATTGGAAGCCAGTGGATGACTAATGAACACAGAGTAAACAAGCAGACTAATTGTAATAAAGAAGTTGTTCATCCATAGAACTCGTCTTACTATGTCTTTATGATTATACACCTTATCACAGAAGCTGTGTTGTATTTTGTCACGCCCATGTATGGTCCAGTTTATAGTCCAAAAGTGCAAGCTTTTATGACAAAAAAGACGTCTTTACTGTATAACAACAGATAATTTAACTTTCAATATTTTTGTACATTAGTATTACGTCTTCCTTCTAACATTGATTTTTTTGTGAGGTGAGGATCCAACAACATGTGCCTGTGTGCCTGTGTCTGTCTGTCTGTCTGTGTCTCTTTGTGTGTGTCTATGTGTGAGTGTGTCCGCGAGTGTTGTGTCTGTGTGTATTATAGCTCACCTTAAAGTTGGGCGGCATGTTGACGATGACGTGAAGGAGTCTGTTTGCCGCCGCTACCTGCACCCCTACTCCGGACTTCAGGATGACGGTGAAGTTGTCGTGACGGTTGTCGTCGGGGTCGATGGCAACGTTGACAACAGTGACACCCCCTGAAAACCACATTGGAAAATACTCCAATAGCAATTCTTATGTATTCGAGGCGCAAAAAAATATACATCGTCTACTGGAAGAGCGTATTCGACATGGGAAATAGCCAGAATGTATTTGAGTCTACTGGATGCTTTCGTTTAACAAACCGAAACAGATGTCCAAAAATAGAGTAAAGGTTTTTCCACAGTCTTCTGGGCCGGAGTTTATATCCGAAGAAAATAGCGAATCTACCTGAGAAATAGATCGTGTGTTGATTTAAGTTCATGAAAATATCTTCCAGAGGCAAGGGCGTTAAGTGACTATATAAAGTCCAATTTCCGATGACTCCGTGGTCATCTGCCAGCGAGTACTCGAGACGAGTCGGCGAGTAGCTGCATATTTCAACGGCTGCAGAGATAAACTTACTTAACAATAAACAATTACTGCTTGGAATAAACAAAACAGGATTAATCACATGCCTAGATTACCTCAATCTCATTAAACTGTGGATACAAGTTCTCGCTACCGCTGATGACATCCCGGTACACGTCACGTCAGAACGACCTCTCGCGAACTTTGACCGACCAATGAAATAATTAACAGGAAGTCGACATTAGCCAGAAAAAAAGCAGCTTTCATCATAAAAACTGCGGCACTTGTTTCAAATTGGCGACTTCCATTCAAGACTATGCTTTAAAAAGTATTTTGAATCAGTTATACAGTCCGTAACAGTAGTTTTGTGTTAAACTTTAGAGGTTGCGTGATTAGAAAAAATATTCCGCTAACAATGTGAACACAACAATATGAATATTTCCTTTTTCCTTTTTTTAATTACTTGTTCATATCGTTAACTATCGTGTAGTTGTCCAATTTTCGAAATACAGTAAAGTACGGTTATAACGAACTCAAAGGGACTACTGATTTTAGTTCGTTATTTTAGTTATCGTTTATCCGACATACTCGTTAATCCGACATATTAATCATAATATGCAACCAACAATGTCGGATTAACGGGACTTGACTGAAGGCTGGAATTTACAATTTGGCTGGACGAACGAGCCTATGCATAGTCCAATTAAACTCACGTGACAAACTGGACATCCGGTTCGTAAACAATATGGATTTCAACGTGCACATTTCGGTCGACTGCAAGATTTGCAAAGCATGTGTACCGCCAACTGGGCGTCGACAGATATTTTACAAATCTTTTCATGTTTTTCATCATGGTGCTCAAGTGATTTGATGCACTTAGCGGGGAAAGGCCCGTTTTATTACAATATTGATCTTGATTATCGATCAGATCGTTTTGACTGGGTGCCGCCAATTTGTTTGCAGCAAATGCAAGTGATATGAGTGAGTGAATCTGATTGGTCAATAGGAAGGACATGGAAGGGACATTACTCATAATAGCCACTGGTGGCGCTGCGATCGAGCCAGGAAATGCCAACCTTGTCGGGCAAGGGTGGAAACTTGACTTTAAGAGTCAGTTAACGCCCTTGCATGGGAAGATGATGAAAATATTCAACAATATCCAGAAAATCGAGATATACAGAGTGCCAAAGAAGTGTAGATGGAGGAGGTTTACTGTACAGCACTTCAGACAACCCCGTATACAGTAGTTAATACCTTCAAAATCCTGTTTAAACAAGCCTTGTTGGTTAAACAGTTTGATTTTTTTATTGACAAAGACATCGAGACCCCTGCCACTGTTGAGACCGGAGGGAGCGAGATGTATCTCCACTGTGGTGCCAGATGACACCGAGTCAGACATTGCCACTGACGTCAGCACAGTGGCGTTGAAGGTGCGGTTAACTAGAATTAAAACAAACAAGATTTAGTGGAGACGAAGAAGGAGAAGTGGAAGAAGAAGAAAATGTTCGCGTGTCATATAAAAAAACAGTAACAATGTCAGTACAATATCCCAACATTAGACCAGTGGCCTATGAGACGAGGCACATTATTCAATGTATACATTAAAATAGAGAAAAATGATTCGCACAGTTGAATCGCACGGGACACATGGGCGGTCATATAACCCACCAGCCAATCTCGCCAAATGGTCGCCATTGCAGATTTAAGCCACCGTAGTAAAATGCCCGGCCAAACATCTACACTTCTAATTCATTTAATATTTTTACTCTCAGACAAAGGACGATATAAGGAACATATCATTGGAATGCTGTCATTTTGATCTGCATTGATTTTGCATCACCGTTGTGGCTTTACGAGAATAAATTGTGTCTGTTCCGTAATGTCCTTCTCATTTGTAGTATTTATATTCCTATACTTTAAGAGAGGGTTAAGACATTTGAAACACTACGAATCCTACAAAGATTTAAAGATCAGGCGTAGCGTCAAGGCTCATTTGCCTTAATAACACAATTACGTTTGTCGAAGCTCTAAGCGTTAACACTAAAAGGAACGACAGTCGGAGCACGAGGAAGTGACCCAATTCAAGTTCCATAAGACATAGATCCTGTTTGTTGGCAACCTGCTGGTCAAACCTACTTGGCAGTCGATTGCCATGTGTGTGGTTAAGCTGCACAACACGGAGTCGAGAATGGTACAACACACGCCACTGGACTCAGTTGAACTAACGCCACTGGACTGAGTTGAACACACGCCACTGGACTGAGTTGAACACACGCCACTGGACTGAGTTGAACACACGCCACTAGACTGAGTTGAACACACGCCACTGGACTGAGTTGAACACACGCCACTGGAATGAGTTGAACACACGCCACTGGACTCAGTTAAACACACACCACTGGACTCAGTTGAACACACGCCACTGGACTCAGTTGAACACACGCCACTGGACTCAGTTGAACACACGCCACTGGACTCAGTTGAACTAACGCCACTGGACTGAGTTGAACACACGCCACTGGACTGAGTTAAACACACGCCCCTGGACTGAGTTGAACACACGCCACTGGACTGAGTTGAACACACCCCACTGGACTGAGTTGAACACACGCCACTGGACTGAGTTGAACACACGCCACTGGACTGAGTTGAACACACGCCACTGGACTCAGTTGAACACACGCCACTGGACTGAGTTGAACACACGCCACTGGACTGAGTTGAACACACGCCACTGGACTGAGTTGAACACACGCCACTGGACTGAGTTGAACACACGCCACTGGACTGAGTTGAACACACGCCACTGGACTGAGTTGAACACACGCCACTAGACTGAGTTGAACACACGCCACTGGACTGAGTTGAACACACGCCACTGGACTGAGTTGAACACACCCCACTGGACTCAGTTGAACACACGCCACTGGACTGAGTTGAACACACGCCACTGGACTCAGTTGAACACACGCCACTGGACTGAGTTGAACACACCCCACTGGACTGAGTTGAACACACGCCACTGGACTGAGTTGAACACACGCCACTGGACTCAGTTGAACTAACGCCACTGGACTCAGTTGAACACACGCCACTGGACTCAGTTGAACACACGCCACTAGACTGAGTTGAACACACGCCACTGGACTGAGTTGAACACACCCCACTGGACTGAGTTGAACACACGCCACTGGACTCAGTTGAACACACGCCACTGGACTCAGTTGAACACACGCCACTGGACTCAGTTGAACACACGCCACTGGACTGAGTTGAACACACGCCACTGGACTGAGTTGAACACACGCCACTGGACTGAGTTGAACACACGCCACTGGACTCAGTTGAACACACGCCACTGGACTGAGTTGAACACACCCCACTGGACTGAGTTGAACACACACCACTAGACTGAGTTGAACACACCCCACTGGACTGAGTTGAACACACGCCACTGGACTGAGTTGAACACACGCCACTGGAATGAGTTGAACACACGCCACTGGACTCAGTTAAACACACGCCACTGGACTCAGTTGAACACACGCCACTGGACTCAGTTGAACACACGCCACTGGACTCAGTTGAACACACGCCACTGGACTGAGTTGAACTAACGCCACTGGACTGAGTTGAACACACGCCACTGGACTGAGTTAAACACACGCCACTGGACTGAGTTGAACACACGCCACTGGACTGAGTTGAACACACCCCACTGGACTGAGTTGAACACACACCACTGGATTGAGTTGAACACACGCCACTGGACTGAGTTGAACACACGCCACTGGACTCAGTTGAACACACGCCACTGGACTGAGTTGAACACACGCCACTGGACTGAGTTGAACACACGCCACTGGACTGAGTTGAACACACGCCACTGGACTCAGTTGAACACACGCCACTGGACTCAGTTGAACACACGCCACTGGACTCAGTTGAACACACGCCACTGGACTCAGTTGAACACACGCCACTGGACTCAGTTGAACACACACCACTGGACTGAGTTGAACACACGCCACTGGACTGAGTTGAACACACGCCACTGGACTGAGTTGAACACACGCCACTGGACTGAGTTGAACACACGCCACTGGACTGAGTTGAACACACGCCACTGGACTGAGTTGAACACATAAGTTATAAGATCGGTTTATGAATACCAGTAATAGATACCCTGAAGTTGTTGTCCCAAGTCGAACTTCCCTTGAAGAGAAAACTGGTCTGACTTCACCAGGTAGAAGTCTCCCTTGCCACCAAAGTTGTACAGCTTTCCGTCAAATGTCGTGATGTGGGGGTCCCCGAAAGCAATAGCTAAGTAAAACACAGAATACATGACATTGCAGTAGTTTCAACATGTGCAATATTCCCCTTTACAATGAAATAAAACCCTCTATTGCCACAAAAGCGATTATGAACAATACTATGCACCATGTTGCCGGGGCGCTTAAAGATTCATATTGCCATAACCGTTCACTGCTGGGATCATTTCCAGCGAAATCCCTTCTCTGTGTGATACAAGAAACATCCCGAACACTGTCAGAATGAGTTCGAGAGAGATGGAAAGAAATTTACCCTTTCCATCAAAGCATTTGTTCGTCCATCACTGCGCACTGCCCTGCTTAAGGGTGGCGCTATCCCGGATCGGGATTACACAGCACCCTCATTTCCTATAGGATGGCAATACCCGTTACAATCCAGGATGGAACCAAATCACACCCAGCCGTGATATGGCGGTGCCCCTTATAGTTTTAGACATATCATCTTCTTCTGTACCCTCAGGATCATCTGTTTTAAGAGGTCGGTACCCGTTACAGCACCGGATGCCCTACCACCCCCACACACCCACCCACAACCCAGCCCACCCCCATCCCCACCACCCCCACCCACCCCACCCACCACCACCACCACCCCCCTCAATGTGTTTTTTGAAATGTAGTGAATATTGCATGTAGTCGTGTTGGGAGACAACCATTTTGACATGTTCTTATTTTGGAGGATACCGAAGTACCTGTTTCAGCACCGGGTGGTTTAATAAGGTTCCCTCACCTGCTTTAGGAGGGTTGTACCCGTTGCAGTCCCGGGTAGCCCGCTGGTCCATGTAATAATTACAGTGGCTGTACTTCGTCCACAGACAGCAATAATAGAAGGAGGCGACGTCCTTAATCCAGTGGGAAAAAGAGGGGACGTGGCCGGGTGTGTTGTAGGGGGCGGCGCCCCAGTCGTGGCTGCGGTCGGGGGTGCTGCCTTGGTAGGTGTCGGCAGCGTTCATGAGAATACCGTCCTTATCGTAGCAGCATTGATTGCCCGCCCCTGCAGACCTGGCAACAGACATTTCTATGAAATGTAGAAATTGGGTCAGTTAGCACAGTGGACTCTATCTGAGAATTAATTATTAAGCATAATAGGTTAGTGTCATAAGAATTTCAACAGATATATAATAACCAGATTATTACTCCAGTGTATTAAATGTAATTTCCTTTTCTGATTTTCCGAAAAAAAGTGATGAAATTTGGTATGGAGAAACGAACCATGTCACTCTAAGTGCAAAACAACTCTAACCCGAACCACAATGCATGGTGAGTGGCATGTCCTTCGTTGCCATAACACAAATTGCCCCCCGATACCAAAATAAACATAGAATTGTATGTTCAGGTAGCTGATTGGAGATGGTTAATCTACAGATTGGACATCATGTTATTAAATTACAACACAATATCACTACATGACTGTTATAGAAGATATATGATATTCATATCAAAACTGTTACAACACAATTACATAAAGACGTGAAACATGAATGAATGTTATTAAATCAGCTAGATTCGAGATAAACTGACTGACTTAAAAAGGTACACCCTTGGAAGATGGATGTGACCAGAAATACAAACGTTACCAAAACGTTACTATGCTGCGAACTGTCCAATACGCAGCTAGGAATAACGGGTCAAATATATCACCATCGAGTAACCATTTCCTGTTTGCTTCATTTTTAGCCAGTTTATATCACGATCACACGGTGGTATGTAAGTAGTCGAATCTGTGTCCGGGACGGCACACCAGTAAAATTATATATATATATTAAATTTAATTATATTAAATTTAGCATGAGAACAGTGGCGCGCAATACAAAGGTGATGTCTGGCCTGTCTGGTTCAGTAGATGGGAAGCAATATTTATGACCTTTCATATCAACAATTATACTAAAATAGTAAGATGCATATCGTGGCATATTATTTACAATGTAGTTATTGTGACATGACATGAGACATGAGTTGTTTAAGGATTGATATCATGAGCATCGATCCACGCAATTGGGATACGATGACATGCATCAACCAAGTCAGTCACCTGACCACCCGATCCCGTTAGACGTTTCTTGCGACAAGCATAGTCGCCTTTTAAGGCACGGATCCGGATCTTTACGGGTCTGAGACGTGAATGAATGAAGGAGTGACTGAGTGAGTTGGGTCTTACGCCGTTTTGAACAGTATTGCAGTTATATCACGGCGTGTCAACTTGATGTCTTAGGAAAGCCCGAAGTGATGCAGGTCTCAGACGTTTCGTACGATTCGAACCCTCAATCATAGATTTCTAGCGTGCTCAGGGGACGCAACTCTGCTCAGCGAATTGCGGCCCTATTAAGACAAGGTGAGCCCCTATGCTAAGAGACTCGCCCAGTTGAGACGGAACGCAAAATGAGCCAAGTACTGGTGATGTCGCTGCTTGTTTCAAAGAACCGTGTAATTTTATAGAACCGGACTCACAACGGCGCAATGGTGGCGAATGTGCCCTGGGTAAAAGTCATAACAGAAAGGAGATATAAAACCCTGGATAATCGAGGATGGAATCGTACTTACGTGGGTTGGATAGACCGCACGCAATGGGCCGCACTGCGCTGACCTGCTTCACGATGGTAGTAACAGATGGTAGGACTTTTGGAGAACATGCTGCAAGACAAATCGGTTTGAAATCGTCCGAAGTCGGCTAGGGCTTGGTCCACGTTGCACGGACAGTTGAGCAGCTGGTCAAGCCAGTCCATGGACTGTCGGTCAGCGTTGTACCACTGCATGCAGCGTTGTTGGGGCCAGTCGTCGCCATAACGACGGGTCATGTCGCTATTGATATACCACCCAGTGGCGATAGGTCCCGAATTCATCACTCTGTGTATGAAATCATATCAAATATTTCAATTCTATATCCTGTGTGAACAGTATATCAGTTATGTCACGATCCATCAGCTTGATAGGGACGAAAAGCCTGATGTTATGCAGGTCTGGGACGTTTACCACTTTGATGAAACTATAGAGTATTAGTATGATCCTGACGCCCCCTAGAAACATAATCTGGGATTCGATCTTCCGATCGTATGTTTCTGGGGCTCCTAAGGGACGCAACTCTGATGAACGAATTGTGGTTACCTGTCTGAAAGAAGCCATAATGGAACACAACTCGTAACACTTATGACTTATAATATGATGAGAATTTACAGTACAGATCAGTCTAAAACTCCCCAATGCCATGGGTGCGTTCAAGTTGGTAACTATCTGTATCACAATTATAGAGAACCACTTGAGCTTCACGAGCATTGTAAGAGGTTACCTATCAATGATATGAGGCATTTTGCCTGTGCGTTACTGCCAACATAGAGACGATCATATCACAGGGGTATAATAACCATACCTGTATCACATCTTTAAAAGATACAGTTTACAATCTGATGGCATGGTGTATGATGAAAGGTTATTATATGGAAGTTATATAATTTATACCCCATATCAACCCGAGACCCCCATATTGACCGCGGGCCTTGCGTCTGATATGGAGATGCCGGGTTGAAGTGTGGTATGATATCAAAACTGCCATACAATAGCCTCAAAGTATTCATCTTCATTCTACAAGAATCAATAACAACTTGATACATAACACCCGCATCATGAATAATGTCATTGACAGACTTAGCATAAAAAGTGTCTTTACGTTCTGTTGTTGGCCTGGCTGATGAATTCCTTCTGAAGTTCAACCTCAACGACAGCGGCTTCGAAGACGTCACAGTCAGAGGGAAAACACTGGTACTGAGAGGGCGTGATGGTATATGTGCCAGAGTTGTCTGTCCCTGTCGCAAAAGTCGTTAGAACCTTCCAATTAACCTGAAATGAAGGAACATCAGTGTCCTCAAAGGTCCATTCAAAGGTTTCAGAAAGGGGACCTTGCAGGCCCATCACGCCTAATTAACTGGAAAGATTTTCTGTTGATCTGTCAGTGCCAGTATCTCAGCGTTATGAAAGGACATTCTTATGTTATCAGTATTATGATGTTTGTTTGTTTAACGCTGCACTCAGCAATATTCCAGCTATATGACGGCGGTCTGTAAATAATCGAGTCAGGACCAGACAATCCAGTGATTGACATCATGAGCATTGGTCCACGCAGTTGGGATACGATGACATGCATCAATCAAGTCAGCGAGCCTGACCACCCGATCCCGTCGGTCGCCTCTTACGACAAGCATAGTCGCCCTTATCGGCAAGCATGGGTTGCTGAAGACCTATTCTGCCCTGGATCTTCAAGAGTCCAGTATTATGAACTTTTGTAATAACCGACATGCATGGATACTAGGTGCATATAGATTACATGGTTTCAAATTGAGAAACCAAAGGATTGAAAGCCACTATGATGTGAGCTAATAGCATTTGTTGATAACTTATATTGACATTAAGGCATTGAATGTACAAAGGCGGTCCTTTCATCAATGTATAGTTTATGAATTGTTTGTAATTAGGCCGGATGGCCTACATTAACGAAATATAACATTTGAAGCATACATACAACTGGAAACAATGTATTGTAAAACAGCTCTGTCAGCTTGTAAAATGAATGTCAAGACTATTAAAACTATGTAGTATGAACATATTAACCAGAAACTTATATAATTCAATATTCACTATAGCAATAATTGTAAAGCTTTGAATATGATGCGATAATTTGTCATTAGCTATATTACCGACAACGGTTCGAAATTACTACTTATGGCACGTCCAACCCCGTGGTTTTTGTGTGAAGGTTTAAGATAATCAAAATGCATTTTTTATCTACATGTATGCTATATGCGCATTTGATTTGTATCGATGATTATCAATTTTAAGATCAGGTAGACAATTTGATTACTTGAAAACATTATGTGTACCGAGTATATAGTAATTTACCAAGACATTATCAAATAAGAATACTGATACAGTGAGTTTCTTATAAACTTTTTTTAAACAAAAAATGGGTAAGGGAAACTACATTTGTGTCTGTTTCCGAGTATCCTATAAGTCGGATGTCGACCTTGACCCCTGGGTCAGTTGACAGTGCTGTAGAGTCCCAGGACATGGTGAGGCTGTCCGCGGTCACAGAGTACCAATTGTCCGGTAGGGACAAACTCTTACCGAGGACCGCTGGTAACACTGAAACAAACAAAAACATAGAAATTACTTTATAGACAGCAACGTAAGATGCCATACCAATATTTTCCCTATTGTGTACAACATTCTGTCCGCACAATGTGCCTAAAATGTGCCGTAACACAAATGTACCTACAAAGAACCTGAAGGTGGTGTCATGGTTACTGAACACGTCTCGCACCTCAACCAATATCCGGCAAATTCAAGGTAAATAACGTTTTCGTCAATTCCCCTGTGTAATATTAACTATCAAGGGCCACTGAAGAAGGTTTGCCATCAATAGCAATACGGGAGTGAATTACGTTTAACGTCGCTTCCAACAATATTCCAGTTATATCAATGAGTGTCGAGATTTAAGTCAGCTTTTACAACTTGCATGAAGTACTGGAGCCAAGTCTGACTGAGGTCAGGTGAGATGAAATGAGCTCATCGTCGCGTTCAAGATTATTGCATGCACGTGGGATTGGTGCGTATGTATGTGGCTGCTTGTACTAGTCGGGACCCAATACTGGTTGTATAGAGGTAGTCCACTGAGATAGCATGCGGTTGTTTAACATGGATAACCCACTCAGACACAGTATACCGACTCCGAGCCGACCATTCATTGTTTTAGACCCTTAATGCCCATCGACAGGCAGAGTAACCATCTTTTAATGCCTTTTGGTAGGACTCGACCGGGGATCGAACCACAGACCTTCCGCTCTCCGGGCAAACGCTCTATCCACTACGCCATCGAGGCAGTGTACACGGCGTGACAAGCGAATGCTTTGACCACTAGGCTAACCGGCCGCCCCATAATTAGTAGACCCATCAGGTACTTATAAGTGACACAACTTATCACAGCGAATCGCGACATCTATCACAACGAAGAGTCCTTTCAGAGCCCCTAAGACAGAATCCCGACTTTCATCCGATAATTTACTGAATTTATTCAAAATGTAATTATTTCCGAAACATGCACCCCACACCCGCAATTACCGACGAGAAAGGCCTGTCGTCGTGATACTTACCTACGTATATGTCCGCTTGTCCCAAGTAGCTGTGAGCTCCGTCTGTGGACACAGCTACCGTCACTGACCCTCTCTGCGTGAGTCTCGGCACTGGACACTTCAACCTCATGGAGTTAAACCTGAACCCCTGGGAGGTTACTGCACTCTCGCCGCTTCCGAACCGACACACGACAGCCACGTCCGGGTCCATACACGGACCAGATATGTCCAGTAGCTCACCCCCTAACATCCCGACAACTGTGGGAAGAATCTGCAAGTCCCCTGACAATGAGAGCAGTAAGGAGAGTGTGAGGTGGAGCTAAACGTTGTGATCTCTAGGAAACATGTCATGGCCGTGTCTCAAGCATAAAGACCATTACTACCGACCCATGACATCAGCATTCGAAACTAGTGAGTGAGTGAATGTTGTTTTAAGTCAGTCATATTCCAGCCATATCCGGCGGTCTATAAAAGAGTGTAAGCCAGATTTGTTTGTTGTTTATAGATGTAATGTGATAAACACAATATTAATCTAATGTCACATCAAAACTAGCATATACATTTCGTTTGACTTTGTATAGTTTCAATGAAGTTTAAGTACGTCATAAACTAAGATGTTGCAACGTCTTACTTCTACTGTCAGAACATCCGCCTCGTTCGATGGTATCTTTTGAAACCCTAAATATGAATCTTCCCGTGACGTCACTTCCTATTTTCCTGGGAAGGTCTTGGGGACTACATCCGGTACACACTGGCGTCCACCCGACGCCATGCCCTCCGTTTATGCCAGCCTAGGGAAGTAAGAGTGCAGTAGCGTCTTAAACAAGTCAAAACAGTAAAACCACACCATCAACTACACAAAATAAAACACCATCACTCTTATTGGCATCACACCGGCCATCACATGGGCACCGGTTGTCAGGTCGTTCAAGGCGCCCGAACTCGACGTACAGAGTTGAGGCCCTTACTTGTGCCAGGAACCTATGACGGTGTGTACGTTTGTTAGCTTCGTTGAATTATCGTAAGGATCTTAGGTCAGCATCAGTTTGGCCTCACCTCCCACATTAGGTGCCACGCCGTGACGTAAATATAAGCCGCAAGAATCCATAATCATGCCAAATAATTGTTAAAAGCAGAGTCGATTGCACTGTTCCGACTATATTTTATGAGCACGTGTTTATGAATCACTGTCAAATAGATGATATCAGGTGTTCGCGAAAAGATGAGCCCATCCCTTCCCACCGGCGGTACCCGTCACAAACACATGCAAGGGCAAGCCACTTATTCACGTAAAAAAACACGGGAACATATGGAACAATAGTGAATTGCATCAGGTATCTTTTTTATCATGAACCCGTCCCCTTCCTTCCACATTCATTCACTCACTCAGTCACTCGTGTCACTGAATCCTCTAAATAACGGTATTTTGTCAGGTTATAATGTGTCTACGTATGTGTTGAGTGCAGTGGCCTCCCTTCCAACTCACTTGGTAATACGGTTTATAGGGAACATCCTCCCACAGGTAGTTGAAGATGACAAATGTATGCATCGGACAGGCAACCAAGACTAACTGGAATGTGGCGCTCTGAAATGAGTAAGGGTACAGGTAAAGTATTCATTTTCAAAATTGTATATTTCATTGTATGAGCACGGTATCTGCTCATTGTTTATCAGTTTGATTTTCCATTCGCTAATCATAGACATATTCCGCTATCTCAACATTATTATGAGATATATATATACATAATAATGTTGAGATAGCGGATGTTGAGGAATATATATGATGAATGTAAGTTCGAAATTTGGGTTGTAAGTGGTATATGAGGAATGTAAGTTATATACAAGGAATGTAGTTTATATGCAAGGAATGTAACTTATATATGAGGAATGTAAGGTTTTTTATGAGAAATGTAAGTTAGATATGAAGAATGTAAGTTGTGTATGAGGAATGTAAGTTTTAAATGAGGAATGTAAGTTTTATATAAGGAATGTAAGTTATATACGAGGAGTGTAAGTCATATACGAGGAGTGTAAGTTATATATGAGGAGTGTTAGTCATAAACGATGAGTGTAAGTTATATATGAGCAGTGTAAGTCATATACAAGGAGTGTAAGTTATATATGAGGAGTGTAGGTTATATACGAGGAGTGTAAGTTATATATGAGGAGTGTAGGTCATATACGAGGAGTGTAAGTTATATATGAGGAGTGTAAGCCATATACGAGGAACGTAAGTCATATACGAGGAGAGTAGGTTATATATAAGGAGTGTAGGTCATATACGAGGAGTGTAAGTCACATACGAGGAGTGTAGGTCATATACGAGGAGTGGAAGTCATTAAGAGAAGTGTACGTTATACGAGGAGTGTAGGTCATATACGAGGAGTGGAAGTTATATACGAGGAGGGTAAGTCTTATACGAGGAGTGTAAGTTATATATGAGGAGTGTTAGTCATATACGAGGAGTGTTAGTCATATACGAGGAGTGTAAGTCATATACGAGGAGTGTAAGTTATATACGAGGAGTGTAAGTTATATACGAGAAGTGTAAGTCATATCCGAGGAGTGTAAGTCATATACGAGAAGTGTAAGTCATATTCGAAGAGTGTATGTCATATTCGAGGAGTGTAAGTTATATACAGGGAGTGTCAGTCATATACGATGATCGTAAATAAAACCCGCAAACCATTTCCACATTCATAATAAATCTCTTCCAAAACAGTCGATTGGACGATTCCGACTATATCATGAGCATGTATTTAGGAATCACTATCAAATAGTGATGATACGAGGTGTTCCCAAACACATTCAAAGGCAAGTCAATTATTCATCTGAAAAAAGACGGGAACATACGGTACAATTCAGGGAGTTGCACCAGTCATCACGTTTGTCACTGATGCGTCAAATTTGGAAATGTCCTCCTCGTGTCTACCATTAAACTTTTTGAAAGCTTTACTGAGGCCTTGGATGTTATGACCTTGATCAAATAATTTCTCAGCAAGAGTCGTATGACGCTCTTTGAAATCTTCGTAGAAAGAGCATGTTCGATTGTACCTTAAAAGTTGTGAAATGTAAACACCAAGGGCTGGTACTGCAGGAGTATTGCTCGACATAAAGGAAAAGTTGACTATTGGAAAGTTGAAGTTATCCCTCTTTCTATGCCTTCTTGTGGAGATTGATTTATCCCTCTGAATCTAAATATGACACAAATGAAGCGGTCTCACTGGTCTCCTTAATCTTCTGGTTCGGGTGGGTAAATCAGGTAAATAAGTTGATGCTTATTGAACGATATCAGATCATCGATAGACGTGAAGATTAAGCTTAACTTCTTGGCCAAATTACCTTTTTTTACTTTGACAATCCGAGCAGAAATTCTGATTCATATGCATAAAGAAAACGATCAGCAAGAAGAAGAGCGTAATTGGTGTCCATGGGGATGCTTTTATTACTTCTTGCCTAGATGCTTTACCCCCAAACTCATCATAGATGCTATCAATGAGGAAATCAAACATTTTACATGTTGTTTTCTCAGTAAACTTCAGAAGGCATTTGCTTTCATTTTTGACAAATTGTCCTGAACTTCTGAAGATATGAAAATATATCTATGGTCACCACGTTTTGTAACGTTATATGTGAGGAATGTAAGTTATATATGAGGAATTAAAGAGTTATAGTTATACGTTTTATTAATAAATTTCGGGTAAACTTACTTAAAGCCCCAACAGTGCGAGTCATATACAGTTGTCCATTTAATGTGCATCTTCCCGAGGCAAGGAAGTTAACTGACTATCAAAGGACTTTTAAATAATTTAACTCCCTTGCCTCGGGAAGATGTTTAATGTGATGTTTGCGTATCAGCGCAGACAAAAGTAGCTGTAATGGACTTCGCAAAAACGTTTCTTAAACATGAATAGATTCCATAAGCCTCCACACAACCGCCAATGGCAGAGCAGTCGGTTCGAAGTTTCATCAACAAAAAAGAAATGCTTACTCGTCATAAATTATCTAATCACGTCCCAGATTATATGTTTTGTTTGTTTCGCACCGCAGTCAGCGATTGTCCAGCCATTTTTCGCGAATATTTATATCTGGGCCAAAAACGAAAGGTTGGTATAATGGACGTCCTTAAATTGTTTTAAATTGCTTATGGCATACAAGTAAATAATCTTAACATGACTACATCTGAAAAGAGTGTCTGTGTATTATTGTACCCTGGTGTTGGATATACAAATGACTGTATGTAAATCAGTGTGGGATATACAAATGGATGTACGCACATCAGTGTGGGATATATAAATGAATGTACGTGGGAGGTATACAAATGAATGTACGCACATCAGTGTGGGATATATAAATGAATGTACGTACATCAGTGTGGGATATATAAATGAATGTACGTACATCAGTGTGGGATATATAAATGAATGTACGTACATCAGTGTGGGATATATACATGAATGTATGTACATCAGTGTGGGATATATAAATGAATGTACGTACATCAGTGTGGGATATATACATGAATGTACGTACATCAGTGTGGGATATATACATGAATGTACGTACATCAGTGTGGGATATATACATGAATGTATGTACATCAGTGTGGGATATATACATGAATGTACGTACATCAGTGTGGGATATATAAATGAATGTACGTACATCAGTGTGGGATATATAAATGAATGTACGTGGGAGGTATACAAATGAATGTATGTACATCAGTGTGGGATATATAAATGAATGTACGTACATCAGTGGGAGGTGTATAAATGAATGTACTTACATCAGTGTGGGATATATACATGAATGTACGTACATCAGTGTGGGATATATAAATGAATGTACGTACATCAGTGTGGGATATATAAATGAATGTACGTACATCAGTGTGGGATATATACATGAATGTATGTACATCAGTGTGGGATATATAAATGAATGTACGTACATCAGTGTGGGATATATACATGAATGTACGTACATCAGTGTGGGATATATACATGAATGTATGTACATCAGTGTGGGATATATACATGAATGTACGTACATCAGTGTGGGATATATAAATGAATGTACGTACATCAGTGTGGGATATATAAATGAATGTACGTGGGAGGTATACAAATGAATGTATGTACATCAGTGTGGGATATATAAATGAATGTACGTACATCAGTGGGAGGTGTATAAATGAATGTACTTACATCAGTGTGGGATATATACATGAATGTACGTACATCAGTGTGGGATATATAAATGAATGTACGCACATCAGTGTGGGATATATACATGAATGTACTTACATCAGTGTGGGATATATAAATGAATGTACGTACATCAGTGTGGGGTATATAAATGCATGTACGTGGGAGGTATATAAATGAATGAACTTACATCAGTGTGGGATATATACATGAATGTACGTACATCAGTGTGGGGTATATAAATGAATGTACTTACATCAGTGTGGGATATATAAATGCATGTACGTGGGAGGTATATAAATGAATGAACTTACATCAGTGTGGGATATATACATGAATGTACGTACATCAGTGTGGGATATATAAATGAATGTACTTACATCAGTGTGGGATATATACATGAATGTACGTACATCAGTGTGGGGTATATAAATGAATGTACTTACATCAGTGTGGGATATATAAATGAATGTACGTACATCAGTGTGGGATATATAAATGCATGTACGTGGGAGGTATATAAATGAATGTACGTACACCAGTGTGGGATATATAAATGAATGTACGTACATCAGTGTGGGATATATAAATGAATGTACTTACATCAGTGTGGGATATATAAATGAATGTACGTACATCAGTGTGGGGTATATAAATGAATGTACTTACATCAGTGTGGGATATATACATGAATGTGTGTACATCAGTGTGGGATATATAAATGAATGTACGTACATCAGTGTGGGATATATAAATGAATGTACGTGGGAGGTATACAAATGAATGTACGTACACCAGTGTGGGATATATAAATGAATGTACGTACTCCACTGTGTCATACAGAAACGCATCTACGTACATCAGTGTGTGTTATGACATGACTGTACGTTCATCAGTGTGTGTTATATAATGAATGTATATTCACCAGTGTAGGATAAATACATATATACGTACCTTACAAGGATTGCTTCTAATCCCCGTACAAGGTCCGTTTTCTACTTGTGACTTATCCGTGACATTTTCCCACGTCACAACCAGAGCCAGGTCAGGTACAAAGCTGCCTGTGCCAACTGTAGCATTCAGCATATAGTACTGTAGTTCCGTCAAGAAGCTCTGGCTCGAGTTAGTAAATACCAGTCTGTAGTAGATGTTTCCCTGGTACTCGTTCGTGATGTGTTCTCCGTCGAAGTAAAATGGCGCAAGGAAAGGGAAATCTAGGTTGACGTCACGAGCTCCGTCTTTGAAAATAAAATGTTCGTATTTCACGTTGGCGTCGAATCCGACAAAGCCGTCCTCTGTTACCTGCATAAACAAGAATACATGTCAGTTCATAACGTGTTATAATTTTATGTGGTATGAAATCTAGACCGTTGATATAGCAATGAGTGAGGGGGAGAAGGGGTAAACGACAGAAATTAACTGCACACATTGTAATTATGTGAATCGAAACCGGGTGTTCGTCGTGACGGGTGAACGCTTTAACCACTAGGCTAACCCACCACATCTGCTATAATAATATCTGGGGATGAAGAGAGCATGATAAACGTAAACGTCGGGTAGCCTAGTGGTTACAGCATCGCATCGTCACGCCGACGATCTGGGTTCGATTCCCTACATGCGTGATCTTTGCTCAAATGTTACTTGCTCTTTGGCAGGATGTACACACCATGCTTATGGTAATGTTTCAAAAAAATATTATCCAATTACAAAGTTAACAATTTTCTCAATATACCACGGTAAGAATCTCATATTTTCATTCTTTCAGTAACATGCGAAAGCTGGCATTATTCGTCTTATAGATGTGCATGGCAGCCTACAGTTTTCCGGAACCCTTGAAGTACTCACATAGGCGGTGTTGTATTTCCTGCCATAGAAGTTGACGTTGTAACCGAGGTAGAGTGGGAGGTTGCTGTCTGTCTCCAAGAGTTGATCCCCCGCCTCCGACCCATATGGGTACAGAGGGAGCTTGGGGCTAGGTATCTGACCAGCTGGATGAAAGAGGGTTTCAAATATAGTCTGGTTCAAAATAATTGGGAATTTTAATGTCATATTCAAGGAAGCATACATAAAATATCAATATTGACAAGTGTTTAAAATTAAGGTATGGTCAAAGGGAAGCAACTCTTCTTCAATTTTAGAAGTTGCAAATTAGAGTTATCTCCCTTGATTATGGGGCAGACGACTCTTCCTGATATATGTCAGAAATGAGTGCAGAGGAGAAAAGAAGGTTGATTCTACAGCTCCATGATGAAGGCATCACTGATGCTGCTACATTAGCAAAGAGCACAGATACTCCTCTTTCTACAGTGTATAGAGTTACGAAGAATATTGAGAATGGGTCAGGAATTGAGCACAGAAAAGGAGCGGGGAGACCTCGAAAACTGGTGTTTGGTGATTGTGTAAGACTGGGTATTTTGGCTTCTAAAAACAGAAGGGCGAGTATTTCAAATATCAAACATGAAATGGTAAATAGAGGGACAGTAAATGTATCCAAATCTACAGTAAGAAGAAATTTGATTGAACTTGGATAGGAAAAAAAGAAAGGAATTGCCTCTCCGCTCTTGAAACAAGAACACAAGGATAGACGTGTAGAGTGGTGTTGGGCGCATGAAAACTTTGACTCGAACAGTGTTATTTTCACAGATGAGAGCTCTGTATGGGCGTATCCTAACAATGTTAAAATGTGGACTAAATGTCATTCCGTTCCATTGTACCAGAGACCGAAGTACAGTCCGAAGTTTCATGTTTAGGGAGGGACAGCTTCACTTGGTACGACGCCCATGTGTGTTTTTGAGGGTAAATTAACCAGTGAAAGGTATACAGACATTTTGGAAGCTCACCTGATCCCAAATGCAGATGTTTTTTTATGGAAATACTTGGATTTTGCAACAGGATAATGACCCCAAACACACCGCAAGACATGCGCGGCAGTGGTTTGAGGACAACAATGTGACCGTTTTGGACTGGCCTAGCTACAGCCCGGACTTAAATCCTATAGAAAATGTGTGGGGACTCGTGAAGGAGTCGGTGAACCAAAAGGGATTGACAAAAGTTGTTGACATGAAGAGCGAGGTGGTGCGATATTGGGACTCTCTCACCCACGAGACTCTAACCTCTCTCATAGGAGGTATGCCCAATCGTATAAAACTGTGTTTGGAAGCAAATGGTGGTCTGATAAAATATTGATGTTACTGTGATGTGATTAAAGAAGGTTTGTGCTCACTTAAAATATGTTTTATTTTTTTGGATGAAATTTTCATATTTACAATTTTAAAGATTTTTCAATTCCCAATAATTATGACTCATGCTGTATATGCATGAGCTGGGGTATACATAAATTACTGAAAAAGTAAGGGATCGTGAATATTTTTTTTGGATTTTTTGTGAAATTGTGTGCTCAGTTTTCATTACAAAAAACAATATGCGCAAACATATACATCATCGCTAACATGTTTTGCTCAGTATATTACAGCTGCAGGAATAAACATTTACAAATATTTCAATCCCAAAAAATATGTAGGAACATGTGAGCTTCGAAATTGTCTTATTCTGGTCACACATTGGCCCAGAACAGCATGTGGTGCAACCCATTTGCATGTGGTGTAACCCTTTAGCTTGTGATGTAACCCTTTAGCTTGTGATGTAACCCTTCAGCATGTGATGTGACCCTTATGCACGTGCCACAACCCTTCAGCATGTGGTGCAACCCTTCACCATGTGCTGTAAGCCGCCACCATGTGGTGCAACCCATTTGCATGTGGTGTAACCCTTCAGCATGTGGTGTAACCCTTCAATATGTGGTGCAACCCTTCAGCATGTGGTGTAACCCTTTAGCTTGTGATGTAACCATTCAGCATATTGTACAATCCTCCAGCATGTAGTACAACCCTTTAGCATGTGCTGTAACCCTTTAGCATGTGGTGTAACCCTTTAGCATGTGGTGTTGCCCTTTAGCTTGTGATGTAACCCTTCAGCATGTGGTGTGACCTTTATGCATGTGCCACAGCCCTTCAGCTTGTGGTATATCCCTTCAGCATGTGGTGCAACACTTCACCATGTGCTGTAATCCTTCAGCATGTGGTGCAACCCATTTGCATGTGGTGTAACCCTTCAGCATGTGGTGTAACCCTTCAACATGTGGTGCACCCGTCAGCATGTGGTGTAGCCCTTAAGCATATGGTACAACCCTTCACCATGTGGCGTAACCTTTCAGCATGTGGTACACTCCTTCAACATGTGGTGCAACCCTTCACCATGTGGCATAACCCTTCAGCCTGTGGTACAACCCTTTACCATGTGGTGTAATCCTTCAGCGTGTGGTGCAACCCTTCACCATATGGCGTAACCCTTCAGCATGTGGTGCAACCCTTTATCATGTGGTGTAACCCTTTAGCATGTGGTGTAACCCTTTAGCATGTGGTGTAACTCTTCAGTATGTGGTGCAACCCTTCAGCATGTGGTGTTACCCTTCAGCATGTGGTGCAACCCTTCAGTATGTGGTGCAACCCTTCAGCATGTGGTGCAACCCTTCAGCATGTGGTGCAACCCGTCGGCATGTGCTGTAACCCTTCACCATTTGGTGTAAACCTTTACCATGTGGTGTAACCCGTCGGTATGTGATGCAGCCCATTTGCATGTGCTGTAACCCTTTATCATGTGGCACAACCCTTCAGCATATGGTGCAACCCTTCACCATATGGTGCAACCCTTCACCATTTGGTGTAACCTTTTACCATGTGGTGCAACCCGTCGGCATGGGATGCAACCCATTTGCATGTGGTGTAATCCTTTACCATGTGGCGCAATCCTTTAGAATGTGGTGCAACCCTTCAGCACGTGCTGTAGCCCAAAAACATGTGGTGTAACAGGACATGCTTAACCTTTTCGTGAACACCTGGTGTCATCACTGATTTTTAGTGATCCATTCATACCATTTCCATCACTATTTTGCCATTTACGCCCAATGAAATCTGTTTTGGTGGGAAAACGAGAATGGTTATTTCCTGGCTTTGACCTTTCATATTTACAAATATTTGCATTTATAATGTTGTCCAGTGATATGTTTCACGCGTCTTGTAACGCGTCATATGTAAATGAGAGAACCATGTTGTCGGTCAAGTCAGCCAAATAACCTCCCACATCCAGCTGACACCGGTCATATAACGTATATACCGTTCCAACCGCGTTAAACCCTACGCTCACTCTCCCATGTCTCTTTCCTATGATAATGCACCTTCCACCAGGTGCTCGCTAGGGGGTTGTGTAGTATGACCTCATCGCAATCAGAACAGGCTTGTTATCTTCTACAACACAGAATGTTTCAACCTACTTTGTAGCAGATAGTAACAGACTGACTGAGATAATCTACGCCTGCATCCGACACATTCCGTGATGTCCTATCCTGTTAACAGGTACATCACTTGTTGGCCAGCTTGTCTTACAATGAGATATCAATGACAATCTGTTGGTCACAGTTTATGCTAAGTCAGTATACTTCGATTGGTGATTCAGTGCTTAAAATCCCGACCTTAGTTCGCCAGCTCTGAGTTAGTGATTGAGTGTTGTTTTAAGCAATATCCCAGCAATATCACATCGGGGGACACCGTAATAGGTTTCACACAGTGTACCCATGTGGGGAATCGAACCCGGATCTTCGGCAACGAGCGAACGCTCTAACCACTAAACTACCGCACCAGCAAATTTTGTTCTGAATCCTTTCATCTGGAAACTCATACACCCACCCACGCACTTACTCACTAAACTACCCACTCACTCACATATCTACCCATTCACGTCTAACATTCTCAACCGCCCACCCACCTACCTACTCAATCACAATCATCTTGTATATTTACGTTTGGTTGTTCATAATTATTATAACTTATCTTAAGACCATACATTCATGTAGGTACAGTGAGAATGTGTGTACGCAGCATATCCCCTTCTATCTATGCACTTATCTAATCGTGTGAGATAAAATTGTTTCAACATGACTGTACGTTATTATAACGCAATACAATGGTTAGTCATCTTACACCTGAGTGTCCATGTGAAATAGAACACTGGTTGCCCAGTCTTCTAATCCACCGCAATTTCATGTGCAGAGTTGCGTCCCTTAGGCACGCCAGTAACCTGTGACCGTGGGTTCGAATCCCTGTTCGCATTGATTATTTTTCTAGGTTTGTCAGCACCATACCCATGCTTATGGTTTCACTAAGAGGTAAACGTCTGAGACCTGCGTCATTTCTTGCTTCCTCCCACATTAAGCTGACTGAAATACTGTTCAAAGAGGCGTGAAGTCCAAATCGCTCACTCACTCAAATATTAGTAGATATAAGATTAGAAACCAAGACACATTTCAAACCGTCAGAAGTTCATTAAACATCTTACCTTTCATTTATAACCAGCTCCAGCTATTAGTCTTTACGAGATACAAAATTAACAACATTTCAGATTTTAAATAACACAAAAAAGAATTAACTACAAATAATTAGTTCTGCAAGTATTTTTTTATAATCAAATAATCCACTGTCGCCCCGAATCAGCTGATTTAATACAGACAGACGATTTACATCAGAGACAATTGTGGTCACCATTTGAAGGTGCCATTCATGGTTCTACGCGGCACATGGACATTAGACACGACTGTTTATTCCATAACACATTTTTCACCTTAAAGAACATCCGATTCTTTCATATTACTAAAACTGTCATGCCAGAATAACGATAGTAATGTGAAAGAATCGGGTGTTCTTTAACTCGTATTGTAGTAGTTTTCTGAGTAGTACACAAATATGAATATTCAGTCACCTCACGACATATTTCTGTCCAAAAGATTTAACCTATAGATTCCAACTTTGAAAATAATAGTACTTCTCTCTCTCTCTCTCTCTCTCTCTCTCTCTCTCTCTCTCTCTCTCTCTCTCTCTCCCTCTCTCTCTCTCTCTCTCTCTCTCCTCTCTCTCTCTCTACTGTTTATGTTGTGCTTTGTATGCGATATACTGTATGTTGTATATATATGCGATGTCCACTCTATAACATATATATACTGTTTATGTTGTGCTCTGTGTGAGGCGCTGTTATTGTATGTCCACACTTACTATAGGAGATTAATCTCTAATGTCACATTACGTGTTATCTGAGCATATAGTCGTAGTGGTTTTATTTCTGACAAGTCACGACCTAGCATATGAATCAGCAAAGGGAACATGTTCAAGGTCGAAAACCAGATCTCTGAAAAAGTCCTCAAGGCCAGTTTTCACAAAATGCTCTCCTACTTCAAATTAGCTCATATTATTAATGTGAATTTGCACAAGTACTTAATATGAAATTAATACAACTAAAATGCACATATAATGTCACCGAAATCAATTTCTTGTTGGTCACAAGGAAAATTTGTTCATATCTCCTTTGTATGAATCACGATCCATTGGTGGCAATGACCTTTGACCTACATTCCAAAATCTCCATGTTTGGATGACGTCTCCCGCCAACCACCTCGCGGGCTGGGCTTTCTGTTTGAATAATGGTAGAGAGTTATCTTACCGCCAGATGAAACCGTCCAGTCAATCAGATATTTAAAACTACATCATTGCTCAAGTGTCCTAAATGAAGTCGACTTGTAATAGTTGCCGCATTGGTTAATTTGGCATATTTTCCAGTTATTGAAACTGATAAATGAATGAAGTGTAGTTAGAAAGAAAGGACATAGGTAAAGGATATCACTTCCTATTTGATTTCCAAAATAGTCCGAGCTACAGCGAGCTACACCGAGCTACACCAGGCTACACCAAGCTACACCGAGCTACTGAAGCCACAAAGAAAGAAGAAATCTTTGCTAAATCACAGCCAATAAAAGTTGCTCCACATTATAGATACGCAACGCGCATGGTCGAAAAAATAACATTGCATCGTTCCAAAAATTGTCACCAACTGTTTTGTATAAATATGTATGCCTTGAAATAGTTTTTTAAACATGCATTATTAGGATTGAACGAAAAAAAATCTTACGTGATAATCTTACTGGAGGGGCGGTTTGGGTAGCCTAGTGGTTAAAGCGTTCGCTCGTCACGCCGAAGACCCGGGTTCGATTCCCGACATGGGTACAATGTGTGAAGCTCATTTCTGGTTTCCCCCGCCGTGATATTGCTGGAATATTGCTAAAAGCGGCGTAAAACCATACTCACTCCTTACTGGAATATCAAAACATATCAATGAAATTTATACATGTTCGCTTTATAACAGAAATGCCAAACAAGTGCAACTATGTGCAATGTGCAGTGCAACCAATATTTAACCATGTGGTAATTATAGCAATGATAATTTGCCCAAGGGCGTGGCTGCCTAATACATGTATGATACTATATAAATAGTATTATCAAAATAGTAATTCAACATCAGTGGACACAGAAACTTGGGAGTTTGAATGTATTATTACTGTATACGATCTTGCTTACTTATGGAAATGTTTGGTTGTCATAATGTATTTTTGAATAGACTTATAAATCGAAACTGTTGGTGTCATATGATGGTTTGAGATTTTGAGATTTTGTATAAATATGTATGGGTTTTTTATATCTATCAACTGTTTTGTTAATGTGAACCTTATCCATGCCTCCTATCATACTTTATGTCAAATATACGGCAACGTTAGTTTTGGACGAAGTGTATAATGCTTGACAAGGAGTAGTTCAATTTGAAATGATTGTCCGCCATTGTGCAACCACGTTAAGGTAGCGAGAAACTTGTGCAGTGCGTCCGGCCATATAAGACTGACGACCTTGTTATTCAGAGCGATGGTTTGTAACTCTACATTCAGTCATTGTATGATATCATTGTTTGATTAATGTTGATTGTGTAACGTCAAACAGGTCTGGACAACGGGAAGGGAACATCCACAAAACATTGATTTGAATAACGGTCAAATGTGGTTCATGAAATACATAGCATGAAGGGTTCATTACGTAGTGTGAGCTGTCTCGTCAGAAGGTTGACAAAACCTAAACATATTTTAAAGTTGAATGTTCACTTACCTGAGAATTGTAAAAGGCATATTAATGCAAATATCCGACTCATGGTCGCGGCGAACAACGCTTGTTCGTTAGCGTTATTTGTCAGTATGGCCAGGACGCAGATAACGGTGGACGGTGACACGGACAAGGGTTTACTGCGGTGTGTTTGCTTCTGATAACACACCTAATCGCCCACCAAAGGAAGTTGTCATTTCGTGGACCCAGGTATTACACTACTACATCTGACTCATGCGCTAAACGGGGGCACGGGTTGCCCAGTCGTCTAAGGCGCCGCGATTCGCTGTGCAGAGTTGCGTCCCTTGGGCACGCCAGAAACCTATGATTGTGGGTTCGAATCCCGGTTCGCCCCGATTATGTTTCTAGGTTTGTCAGCACCATACCCGTGTTCGTGGGTTTCACCGAAGTGGTAAACGTCTGTGACCTGCATCACTTCGGGCTTTCCTCCCACATTAAGCTGACACGCCGTGATATAACTGTAATACTGTTAAAAGCGGCGTTTAACCCAACTCACTCACTCACTCACTCACTCACTCATGCGCTAAACAGAAATTGTCCAATCACAACTCACCCACCTTTTCCAAAAGGGTGAATCGGCGCTTGTTGTGTCAATTTGATGAGTGACGAAAGCATTAATGTATATATTAGTGTTGTCTGACAAATTTAAACAAGCTATGTGTCTGTTTTAGTTAGTATTAAAGCAGGACCTACAATTTCCCCGAAACGACAAAAAAAACTACAGTAAACTACGGTTATAACGAACACGCTTATAACGAACTGACGGATATAACGAACTTACTTTTTTGTCCCTAAAATTTGCTGTAGTTATGCTGTATATATGCTTATAACGAACTACGGTTATAACGAACTAAAATTAGCGGTCCCTTTGAGTTCGTTATAACCGTAGTTTAGTGTACATGAAAGCTGCGCGTAAATGTTTTGATAATGGGATCAGTGATTAAGGGGGAATCGATGGAATAGTGAACATGGCTGAGTTTGCAGAAGGAGAACAACCTGTGAACAAACATTGGGCATCTAGATCTTGGACCCGTTTCGAAATAAGTATATAACGTCAACACCAGAAAACAATCAGCCTTAACCATCCGCCGAAACGGAATCACCCTGGATTCAGGAGGCAAAATAGTGGTGAAATTATTATAGAAATGGATCCCAGAAAGTGATGACACCAGGTGTTAGAGACAAGAGTGAGCATGTCCTGCGCGCCAAAAGCGACGACTGTCGTAAGTCCTATATTTTAACAGACTTACGGTGGTTGTGGAAGTACGATCGCTTTATGAAACGGAGTGAGTGAGTGAATATTGTTTTACGCCGCGTTCAACAATATTCCAGCAGTATCACGGCGGGGGACACCAGAAATGGACTTCCCACATTGTACCCATGTCGGGACTCGTAATGAAACCCAAGTACTTGTTTCAAATAGGGATGTAGTGATATACATGTATACCATATGCATCTTGACAGTAGGGTCACGAAATGAGAGCGTTAGATCTTGATAGTAAGGTTGCAATAGTTCCGACATGTAACTTGCTGATAAGGTGGCGATATATATGACACTGTGTTACAGGAAGCGCGATATACGCCATTTTAATCTTGATAGTTGACACGCAATATATACGACATTACTTTGATAATAAGATAGCGATACAGACATTTCGTTTTAAAATAAGATCGCGATACGAATTAGATATTATAATCCAAACCTTAAGGAGCCGCATTACGTATCAGCAAATGACTTGGCGAGAGACCGATTCATCTCTAGAAACAAAACATTTGCCAATTAAACTAATAACCGCTTGATGGCCACAGTCAGGATATGTTTAACATGTCCTCTCATACTATAACGTACACACACACACCCCACCCCACACACACACCCCACACCCCACACCCCACACCCCACACCCCACCCCCACCCCCACCCCTCTTCAAACTTCATGCGTGCTTTATAAACTGAACAAAAACATGGGTCATGAATAGTGAAGACATGGCTAGTGAAGACTAAGCATACAATGTAATAGATATATCCCACATACTATTCATGATCCCTAACTTATTAAATATACCGTATTTGACGTAATAAGCGCCCAGGGCGCTCTCAAAATTAGTAATAGGGGGCTCTTATTAGAATATTATTTTGGTGGAAAAAACAGAGTTGAATGATAAATTTCGTGGTTTATGCTGACGGCCTGATTGTTTATATACGACAGATATATTTTTCCAGAATTTAATTGCCCATAATTAAGAGTGCATATAACCCACGATTGCGTATTATACACGAATAAATAGGTCTTGTGTACATTGATCAATCGGAAGGGGTGCTAATTGGGATTGTTCACTTGCTAATATATTAGCAAATATCGCCGTGGGCGCTTATTGGAGTGGTACATCAAGCAGATAATCAGCATATTATGAGTGGGTATGTTTCTGTGTGTAGGTAGTAATCAAAATTATTAAACTTCCTGTTGCGGTTGTTGTCGTTTTGGGAAGATCGCGACACAAACTAAATACAATGTGTGTTACATGTGTATATGTGAGTGAGTGAGTTTTTGGTTAAACGCCGCTTTGAACAGTATTTCAGTTACGTCACGGTGTGTCAGCTTCATGTGGGAGGAGGGGGCACAGGTGGCCAAATCGTCGAAGGCGCCGCTATTCGCTGTGTAGAGTTGCGTCCCTTGGGCACGCCAGAATCCTATCCTTGACGCCTCGACAGGGCAAATCTGGAGTTCGAGCCCACGGTCAAAGGGTTTCTAGCGCCTGTTGTACGCGGCTCTACAGAGCTACTTGCGGCGTGTTATACGAGGGGTGTTAATTAAAGATTTCCCCTAAACCACTTAGGGTTATCATATTTGGTTGAAATTTCACATGTGTAATGATACATGTATCTATCGGTTATGTCTGAATTTGCAGCACCGAACTATTAATCTTACCACTTTTACAGGTGTTATGATCGAGTAGGGTGTGACAATGGAGCCAGTAGAATACCGAGCAGTGATTAGGTTTTTTATATTTGAAAGGTCGCACACCAAAAGAAACTTTCGATGAAATGAAAGCAACTTATGGGGAAGATGCCCCATCATATGACGTTGTTAAACACTGGCATCGCCAGTTCAAGTGTGGTCGGACATCTGTGGAAGCAGCTGCCATTCCTGGTCGCCCCCATTCAGCCATTGATGAGGACACTATCCATCAAGTGGAGACCGCCATTTTGGCAGACCGACGTATAACTTCGCCAGTTAGCACAAGATGTCAAGATCAGTGTAGGGTCTGTGGAAAAAATCACATGACAATTCGAACATGCATAAGGTGTCTGCACGATGGATTCCCAGGTTGCTCACACCTTTCCAAAAGCAGGAACGAGTCAATTGCTCAAAGGATCTTTTGGACATGTGCCAAAAAAAAACAGGCAAACTGTTTTGACAGACTTTTTACACAGGATGAAACATGGGTCCATCACTATGATCCTGAGACTAAAGTTCAGTCGATGCAATGGAAGCATGTGGAGTCACCACCCCCAAAGAAGGCACGTGTCCAACCCTCTGCAGGCAAGGTCATGCTCACGGTGTTTTGGGACCAGCACGGAGTAGTGATGATGGATTTCTTGGCAAAGGGTACCACAATTACAGGAGCTTATTATGCTTCACTGCTGCGGAAATTGCGGGACGCTATCAAGCTTAAGAGGCGTGGCATGCTGACCAAGGGTGTCCGTCTCCTGCAAGACAATGCTCCAGTACACAACTCTCATGTTGCCCAAACAGAAGCGCGGTCCTGTGGCTATGAAATCCTTCCACATCCTCCTTACTCTCCTGACCTGGCACCATCTGACTTCCACCTCTTTCCAACCATGAAGTCACTTTTGAAGGGAAACGTTTCACAGATGAGGAAACACTGATTTCTGAAGTCAAGTCCGGGTTTGAGACGTCAAAATGAGGGCTTTTACAAGCAAGGTCTCCATAGTTGCATAAAACGATGGGAGAAGTGTGTAACTCTTGGTGGTTCCTATGTGGAGAAAGACTAATACCCATACCAAGTTTCATTCCACTAGGTCCATCGGAAGTTGGTCAGGGGAAATCTTTAATGAACACCCCTCGTAGATATCATTATAAAAAATAACTACGATGGTCTTGTGGCATTGTACCCATGACGCTGGTAGGATACGGGTCTTTGCTTTTCCAACCGAGCGAACACCTTAACCACGATATGATACAGCGGTGTGAAACCATATCGTCAGTATCACCACTGTCAACAGGCCACCGGGCACATAGCTGAATTGACACACTGATAGAAACTCATATTATTTCAGAACCGAACAGGACCCTTATCATCGCCTTTCGATATCCTTAGAGCGACATTATTTAGCCTCTGCATTAAAAAAGAATCCGATGTAAAACACACGGGTCTTCTGTCTCGTAATAACATCAGCATAAATAAAATGGTGTTCAAATTTAAGCTGTTATCGAAACAACACTGCAGGGTTACAGCCGTCCATTTGTAACTAGATTTGTATCTGTGATCACGTGACCCGTCAACCCGGTCGTGCAGACTATCAGCAACAACGGGCTGATAGATGTGGAATGTAGGAATGAGGGGGTGGGACGAGGGCAGGGACTGTCATATCTCAACCTTGCCGTGGTGTCTCACCCTTCAAGGGACATGCCTCATAACTTGTGACTGTCGCAGCTTTACCATAACGTTAGGGGGGACTTGGGTGAGGGAGAAGAGGGGGCACTGAGATTAAGGGTGTGGGGGGGGTGTGTGTGTGTGAGGGAGGGGGGGGGGGGTCATGAATAAGGGCTAAGTTCGATGTTTTCAAATAAAAAATATATTTTTGTGTCTGTGTTTCTGATTGTGTGTGTTTCTAATTGTGTGTGTGTTTCTAATTGTTTGTGTGTTTCTGATTTGTGTGTGTGTGTGTGTGTGTGTGTGTGTGTGTGTGTGTGTGTGTGTGTGTGTGTGTGTGTGTGTGTGTGTGTGTGTGTTGGGAGGTGGGTCATGAAAAATGTTTCATGTATTTGGTGTGGGTGTGTGTGTGTGTGTGTGTGTGTGGGGGGGGGGGGGGGGGGGCATGAAGAAATATGACATATAGCAGGGGGTCAACAAAATATGATACATTCCATACAGCACCAATGATCAATCTCTTGTTTGGCATTCA